CAGTTGATATATATATATATTAACTCCTTCCATAATTATACCTTATGTATTAACTCCTTTCTCTTCACAATTGCTATTGTAAGATCTTACCATTTTTTCACCCCCACCCCCCCAATTCAATTCATTAGCCTCAATGAGAATATGACATGGATGTCATTTGAATTTAAATAAATAAAACCTCATAAGAAGCAGATGGGTATAAGGAATTGTGATAACTAAATTAAATTGACACTTGTAGGCTTTCAAAGAATGATTATTGTTGTGCCATAATTGATTCAAAAGGTAAAATAAATGACTTATTTGCATAAATTAAGTATACAAAAAGAAAAACTATTAATTTTAACTTGAAAATTTTATAGTAGTAAAAATTCATGCTTATAGGGTTGCCTCCCTAGTAACGTTGAGTTTTATATCTTTAGTTGGACAATCTTATTGATTAGAGTGTAGCCAATAGGTCAATCTTGTCCCATGCCCCCTTTTCATTATGTTTTAAGTAAGCTTTGATTTGATGTCCTTTCACCTTAAAATATCAATCAGATTATGGGCCTTTGATTGTGGCCCATCTCATCAGCTCCTTTGTCAAGGAAAAGTTGAAGTTTCAAATTGTATAACCATACCTTTTGATTAGGTGAGAATTGTCTTTTGATTATATGTTTATCGTGAAATTCCTTAGTTTTGGCCTTGTAGATCTTGACACTTTCATATGCTTTGTTATGCAGTTCATTTAACTCTTGCACATCTAAAAAATACTTCTCTCCACCTTTGAAACGATCAATGTTCAATTATTTGATAGCCCATTAGACTATATGTTTCATTTCTATAGGTAGATGACATGCTTTACTATAGACTAACATAAAAAGGTAAAATGTTCAATGAAGTTTTGGATGCTGTGTAATAAGTTCACAATACATACTCCAATCGGGTTGATCAGTCCTTGCTTGGTGAGACAACTTTCTACATAATCAATTTAATTTCACAATTAGTTAATTCAGCTTGTCCATTTGACTTGGGATGATATGACATAGTCATTCTATGTTGAACATCATACTTTCACAAGAGATTTTGAAAGTGAACATTAATAAAATATGAGTCATTATCATTGATTATTATTCAGGGGTATCCAAATCTAGTAAGAATATGACTGCGAACAAAGTTTGTCACCACTTTATAGTTATTGGTCTAAGTGAGGATAACCTCTAACCACTTTGATACATAATCTACCGTAAGTAATATATATTGAAAATGAAATGACAGAGGAAAGAGGCCCATTAAATCGATCCCCTATACATCAAATATTTCAAATTCTAAAATGGATTATAAAGGCCTAGAATCTTTCTTCTTCATATTTATCATGGCTTGACATTTAGTATGATGTTTAATAAAAACATATTGAGTCTTTAAATAAAGATGGTCAATAAAACCTACTTTAAAATATTTTAGCCAATGTTTTCTAGCTTGCAAAATGACCCCCACAAGGTAAAGAATGAAAATTTTTTAAAACTTTAGCTTGCTCTTCATTTGGAACACAACATCTTAAAATTTGGTCTTCTCCTAAATAAAATAAATCAAGGTCATCCCAAAAAATATTTAACTTAGGAGAATAATTGATCTCATTCTTCTTTTCTCCATCCTATAGGTATTTTTTCAATGGTCAGATAATTTACCATATTTTCACAGCACGACAAGTTTCTTACTTACTGAATTAATAAAAGTTGTTTATCTGGAAACACATCCTACAACATATATTTGTCAAGCTACACAATTCGAAATAAATGGTCAATGACTACACAATTCGAAATTCTTGTAATAGCAAAATCCACCATAATAGTCTTGACTTATTTTATAAATCATATAAATTATCAAAATTATAAAATTAAATATAAAATCACTTAATATCAATGCATTATAATTTTAACAATTATTATTTTATATTGATTTATGAGATAATTATTTTAATTTTACCTTTGCTATTATATAAAAATAAAGTACTAACAATCACTTAATGATGATATATGGATATTGTTCAATTATTATGCTATATAATCAAGTTAAGATGAAAGTTGAATTTATTAATTAGATGAGACTTACTTCCGTAGTGAGAAAGAATTGATATAAGAGTATGGTAATAGTTTTAAACTACATCTAGAAGACCATTTTCAATTGAAAATTTCATATTCTAACTCATGAGAAAATTATATACATGTTTGGGTTGCATTGATTACTAGTTTTAAGTTTTCACTTCCCACTTTAGGTCCTTATATGAATATACATATTTAGGTTGGTAAAAAAAGTCCAAACATATAATAACTAAGCTATTACATAACATAAACGAGTCAAGTCACCTTATATGAGGAAGTCACAATTATCTAAGTGGCCTAAGAAGTGAGTAAGCTCCTATTATTTAAAGAAGGCCAAGTAATCTTATTCACTTAAGTAATAAGTCACTTACCTTATAAGAAGGCTAAACACCCTTTATAACTAAGGAAGCAGTTCCATTTACCTCGTAGTAAACTAAAAACATTCCTTGTGACAAAAATATCAAATAAAAAGTGAGCTGACTCACTCAAAGAAAGTACTTGAAGAACACTCGAGTTGATTGGATTCACTAAATCAAATGAAAGTCTATTGAGGCCCTTGTATTTAGGTTGTATAGTTATAGCCATTAGCCTAACCTAAAACCTAGTCTTTAGGCACTTGCAAAGTGACTTGGGCAAAAGTCAATTGATGTAGGAGTGACTCACAATATTTGGCTAATCAAATCTTGGAGATTTGAATTCCAATGGTCATGTTTTTAGGTTCTAGTGAAATTGCATCCCAAGAGCTTTCAAGATATAATTGAACATTACATTAATTCAACATGTGCATTAAAATTCTGCATCTTTTCTCTAGTGTTAGTTCAAAAACACTCTCAACTTCCTCAAGCATCCAAAAGTTTATCTAATCAAAGAAGTGATTCATCTAAATGTGTGGATCATTTATGAGTATGCTATCATTACTCTTCTATGTTAAGGTACTCTAATGAATTTTGGTAACAAGGCATAAATTTAAGGTAATGACTTGCTATCTAGCATCAGAAAATAGATTCATAAAATTTATTGTGTGAAGAAATTTGTTAATCCCTTGAATTTCATTTCTTATCCTTCATGAGAGAATGGTGGAGACCACAATTAGGAAACCCTAGTAATTGAACATAAGTGAAGGAAGATCAGACCATTATAAAAGAGTATGTCCATCCCTAATAATCATTTAGTGTGTTGACCCAACTTAACATATGTCAACCAATGCATTAACCCACTTAATGTAGTCTAAATAAAATAGTTAAAAACACTATAAAAGAAATTAAAATTTTAAATAACCAATTCACCACCTTTCTTAGTATTCTAACCTACCAAAGGACCAACAACATTTTCATATCATTGTTGACAATACATTCAACCCAAATTAAAATGTGCCAAAAATAGTAAAACTGTTTGTTCTTTAAGTTCTTATATCTCAGTAATTCACATACTTTGGGCCAACTTAAAGCTATCAACTTTATAGGAGATTTCCAATGATTTAATATGGCTTGCCTCTACAATGTGTTTAGGGAACCTGAGTTGATTCAATTTATTAAATCTTATGAAGCTCAACCAAAGCCTTTATATTTAGGGTATGTATTAATAGGTGCTGGTCAAACCTTGGGACTCTTGGATTGGAGTGGGTTATGTGTGGAACAACTAAATTTGTAGCGACTATATGATCTCACAAAGTAGATATGAGTTTGTAAAAAGGAAAATTCATCCTCTTCATTAGGTTTGCAGCCTCCTTAAAACACAAACGATCCATATATCAAAAGATATAAAAATGACAAAAGGATTTCATTTCTCCTCTATTGATTCAATCAGCCACAAACTTTATTCTTTAAATTTTATTTTATTGGGACAAATAAAAAGTTGATTTACTACCTCTTTACTAAATTATCATGTTGTATATGACCCGTTGTCTTTTCATAGCAACATCAAGTTTGGCTAATGAAAGTTAGTTGAGTAGTTGAGCATAATAAAAAAAATTGACACACAAAATGGGAATCAGCTCCATTCATTTTGAGGTGGGCGCATATTTTATCTTTTAGTATGTGGTGAATATAATGGAGATGAACATGAATGAACTTGGTTAATTTAAGATTATTATTTGACCCTCGTGCCAAAGTCTTCTCATGATAGCCGCATCATATTTCTTTATCTAAAACCCTAATCTCCTCTCTCTCTCTCCCCCCCTTTTGTGAACCGGCAAGGTCATCAAACACCCATGCACCAGGAAGTCATCCGCCTCATCAAGAAGCCATAAAATAACTGACATAACATTTTATGCTAATAGAACTTATGGGGAAACTTCTTCATAATTCGATTAGGTTGTAAGGAGGTTGGACGCCTCATAATTCATCGATTAGGTTGTCCGAAATTCAGTGTCTGAAACTAGAACCTATTCGGGTCGCGGGGTCGTCGATTTTTCCGAAGTAACTTCGGATTCTAAACTCGAGTAAAAGGCAGCTATTAAGTCAAACTTAATGAATGGATTTATATCCTCCAGAATGCAGAGTCTTCGTCGCTCGCGGAGGCCTTTGGCGAGACCTCGACCATGCACTATTCCCTGTCGCCCGAGCTCGAATTCTCGGTGGGATTCCGGCTTAAAGAACACGGTGGGGAGCACGAGCAAAGTGTGGGCTTCCTCTCTCCGGCGAGGTCGCGGCGGCACGAGGACGGTGTGGACTCAACCACTCTCTGCTTGTTCAAGGAAAGATTGCCGGTGGAGGGTAGGAAATCGGAGCGACGGCGGGGGGAGTGGCCTGAATGTTTTCTTCTTCGCTCATCGATGGCGTCACGAATTCGACGCCGCCGGGGTTTTGCTTCCTCTGTCGGCGGTCGCTCAAGAGGGGGAGCAGCCGCCGCGGTCGATAAATTGCCGCCCTGCGCCGGCGGTCCCTGGGGCTTTCAGATCTTCCGGGGATAAATCAGAGGGCGATGGTGGGCGTATTGGAGAAGCTCTTCCGTACGGCCCCGGAGAGAGGGAACTCTAGCCACAGCCTTCACGTCGATCAAGAAAATGAAGATCCTTCTGTCCAACGTCAGGGCCCAGTTTCCGACCGGAAACATCTGATTCTGGGCCGCATGGTGGGAACCTCTCTCTCACTCTCTGTGCCTCTCTCTATGTCTCTCTCTAGCTTCATCGTTTCCTTATGCACTCCGTCAGTGGAGCAGGTTCTTGCAGAGATGGTCGGGACCTTCATCCTGGTGTTCTCTGTGTGCGGAGTAGTATCCTGCTCTTACGTGAGCAGGGGGGAGCTGGGTCTGACGGAGTACGCCCTAACTGGATGCGTCTCGCTGGTGGTCCTCGCAGTTGTCGTGGGACCCATCTCGGGAGCCCACGTCAATCCCTCCATCACCATAGCCTTCGCCACAATTGGCGAATTTCCCTGGTCCAAGGTAACTCTTCATTTGCTCCTAACATGTTCGACCATATGCCTCTCAGAGTGCTAAGGTTCTAGTCTCCTTAATGGTATTCATGTTCATGACTGCAATCCATGGCCGAAAACATGCTCGATCATATGCCTCTGCCGACACAGGTCCCTTATTATGTTGCCGCACAGATGGTCGGATCGACCATGGCAGCATACGTTGGCAAGCTCGTGTACAAGACCCCCCCTGAGTTTGCCGCCACAAGGCCGACCAGAGGATCCATGACCGCATTCTGGGCGGAGCTGTTCGCCACCATGTTCATCATGCTGATTTCTTCTGCCCTCTCTTTCCATGCTGAGGTGGTAAGAATCAGTTCAACCCTGTTTGTCACTTCATGATCTTCCTTCCATTATGGTCTCACCACCCAGAAAAAAGCGGAAATAAATAGAATCTGATGTTAATCCCTTCCTATAGATACAAAGAGAGATTTGAATCTCTCCATCGAATCAGGATGATTCTTGTTTCAGCAACCAACCAACCCCCCCTCCCCCGGCACAAAAAAAAAGAAAATAAAAATATGACATAATCCCGTTCTAATTTATACAGATTTAAGGGCGGATACGCAGAGGAATTTGAATCTCTACAAGGAATGAGGATGATTTTGGATTCAGCACCCATGAAAAAAACAAGAAAAAAAAGGTCTGAGAGAATCACCATCTAGTTCATACAGACTCAGAGATAGATACACAGAGGCTTGAACCTGTTCGCCGAATCAGAGGATGATCTATGTTTCTGTTTCCATTTCAGTTCGGACAAGTGGCTAGTTTTGCTATTGGCGCATCAATTGGCCTCGCGGTCTTAATCACAGGGTATGGCATCTGGTCATGAAGCATATCAATCAGTTTTAATATTTACTGATGCTAATATCGTGCACTGAAGAGGTGTAGTCGTCGCCAGTTCTCATCAAAGTTCAAGTCTTATGGCCTTAACTCTGAGCAATTCATGCACTATTATCTCACCCCTAATGATCTAATTTATTGGGTTTCTTTCAATATGATATGGTCTGAATCTAAACTCAACAGTCCTTCCAGAAGTGATGTACCATGTTGATTCCATAACATCAGATACATCTGAATAAAATGGACCATCTGTTTTTTTCATTTTGGATTTATTCCAATTCTTCATCTCTGTACCACATTTTAGTTATAGATTAATATAAAAATCTATTTAACTGGCAATCTTACTTTGTGTAAATTGATTAAATGCACAAGAATAATGGTATTTAATATTAATGATAAGATATTTAGGATATGTTGGCCAATGCTCTGCATCTACAACAGGGCAGGATTTTAGAATTTTTATCTATTTTCTTCTAAAATGTGGTAGGCCAGTGTCAGGAGGTTCCATGAACCCAGCAAGATCGCTGGGCCCCGCGATTGTGTCGTGGAGGTTCGATGACCTGTGGCTGTACCTTGTGGCCCCCACTGCAGGGGCTGTCACTGGGGCCCTCCTCTACAAGCTCATGCAGTTTCCTCACCCCCACCCTACTCACGGGCACTGTAATTCTTCTTCGTCTTCTTCCTCTTCGCCCTCCCCTTTGGGCGCCTCGCAGCCAACTGGAGCAAGCTGACCCGGCCGACGCGCTTCTTCATGAGGCTACTCCAGAGAGTGTTCCTGTTAGTTACATGGCAACGTGGATGCCACCTCGACTGTTTTTTTTTTTTATGTAGCATGGGAAAGAATGCGGGCCCAGATGTTGAGAATGGAACAGGAACACTATATATTTTATCCTGTTCGGTGGGTTTCTTGGGGAACTTCCTGATTGTTTCTATCCCCAGTGTCCACCTTTTTGAGGAATTTCTACTGATTATGTGGCGGGTTGAGGAGGATCTTCGTGTGATTTACGATTAGTTCGTGGGTTTTAACGTAAAATATTTATTTTTATTTTTCAACGTAGACCCAAGATTTGGGTCGTTCTTCCCCGACAGTCGGCGACCTTCTTATAGTTTTGGGATTTCGAGTCTGGGTGTCTCATGGGAGGGCCTTTTCTAATACGAGGAGACGATAGTCTGAACGGGAAAAAAATAATTTTACATGGAACCTTAGATAAAAAGTGTAGCCCAGAGCAGAAGGTAGAGGAGAAGAGACCGGCCCTAGAACAAACAGTACGGCCGTCGTCCGGAAGGCGGCGGTTCTCGGCACCACTTTGTCAGAGGCGGAGAACGATCGCCGGCGGCGTTGCGGAGACCGATCGAGTGGGGGAGGGGAGGAAGAGGAAACGCTGGAGAGAGGATGAAGCTGCGGTACGCGATGGTGTGCTCGTCGAACCAGAACAGGAGCATGGAGGCGCACTCGCTGATGAAGAGGCAGGGCTTCGACGTCTCCTCCTACGGCACTGGCGGCCACGTGAAGCTTCCCGGTCCCTCTCTGCGGGAGCCCAACGTATACGATTTCGGCACCCCTTACAAGCAGATGTACGACGAGCTTCGGCGCAAAGACCCCGACTTGTATCCTTCCCTCTTCCTGCTCTTTCTCCTCCCCTCCTCGTCCTTCACAATTTCCTCGTCTCCGGGTCTTCCCCTCGAGCATGTTGGGTCCCCGCGAAATCGTGAAGAAGACCTTCGGATGATGATTCTGGTAGTCCAAACATGGTGAATCCTACTGTTTCTCCTGAACTCTGTGGAATCTAGATACAAACGCAACGGCATCCTTCCGATGCTCAAGCGTAATTCGGGCATCAAACTTGCCCCTCAGAGATGGCAGGACAACTCGGCCGACGGCATCTTTGATGTGGTGCTCACCTTTGAGGAGAAGGTCTTCGATTTGGTACTCGACGGTCAGACGTTTCCCCACACTTCAATTCTCCATGGACCGTGCGACCCATTTGTTTTTCTGTTCAATAATCTTCATGGATTTGGTATACCCGCCATAAAAAACAATCTTTTAGGCCTGTCGATAGGATCTTAAGCTCTTTTCAAATCCCTTAAGTTCATCAGGAGCCTATGTCATATCGATGTTGTGAGGTAGATTGCTATAGTGGACACATTACGGTCGACGGAAGGATGTCTGTTCCGTGGAAATGAAGCATGATGTATAATACTTCAACTATCTAATCATGAAAGCCTTTGTGCCTGAATTTCTACTGCTAGCCTATTGATGAAATAATATGCGCATGCCTACCTTTTATATCAGCACAATGGTGGATGTGATATTGCTTAGATCGCAGAGTTCCGAATTTACCCAGAAACAAAATTTTGGTCTCATGGTTAAGTGTCATTATACAATGAACTCGATATGCATATTTCTCTTCTTATTAAATGAATAAAGTCAATGCTTGAGACATCAGGTTTAAGCGTGATTTCAGATCCAAGATTGACTGATTTCTAAGTCTTTTTCTTCTTCACTCTGTTGTCTCTGAGGATGATCATGCACTGCTATTTGACAAAGCATGCTCGCTGCATTTCAGAGGAACTGAAAACCTCGTAGTTTCATTTATCGTTCAACTTGTTTTCCAGACGTCATATGGCACATTGATTGGATTCTACATATTAGCCTCCTGCCCTAAATATATTTTGGCGGGCGAGGTTAGATTTTGGGTTCGGTTTATCTTGATGCTACGAGATCATGCGGTCCAAATATAGGAAATGTTTAAAGAGCAATGAACACTGAAATGAAAATCTAATGCGAATGATTCAGTGTGCATTTGTTCCGTGATTATCCTAGCATTTGGTTTGACGCCATTTTCTCTCTCATATTTAACCATTCTCCTCATTCTCATCTACAGAAAAGGATGCCATCTGGATCCTTTCCCTCACTTTGTCCATCTTACGGATTCTTGCCTGAAGCTTTTTTCACAGCTAGATTATTTTTACTCTCATCAGTAAGCTATCCATTCTCTTCCTTATGTAAGTGATACTGAGCTCGTAATCGAACCGTTTAAAATATATTTTCATATCAGTTATCATGGATGAGCTCTAATGGAACCTCTACCCTCTCGCAAGGGCTTCTAGGGATGGGAGAATTATTCATGGAAATTTCTTTCCTGCCCAAGTTTTAGGAATACATTTGGCTCATCTCTGAAGCCCTGTGCCCAGCTTCATAATATAATCTCACCCAGAACCGTGCCTTGATCATCTGCAGATCTCAACAACCGAGAGCACTCGCTGATGAGACCGGTGCTCATAATCAACTTGGAAGTGAAAGATAACCACGAAGAGGCTGCTGCTGGGGCCAAGGTCGCCTTGGATTTATGCCAAGAGGTGCTGTTACTCACCCAACCATTTCTTTCCCCCCGCCCCTTGGGGTCCGCCTAATTAGCCAACCCAGTCCTGAAAGGCCAAGCTCTGTCCCCACCTGACTCCATTTTGCCGGTTACTGACGGGTTGACCTGGTTCATCTGATCTTAGCATGGCCCATCTGGGTCAGATTTGGACCAGCAATAGAATCCTGGTCTTTGGTTGGCAGTTCTGATTGGCTCGATTTGTCTGAACCAATCGGAGCCCTCCTCAGGTCAGGATTTCGGCCAGCAGTGGAAGCGGTGACAACGGATAGATATTATGACCCGCAATCCTCTGTTGGGAGTTGTAGAAGAGCAAGGTTTGACCCAGCTGGGGGTTCCTGAGCATTGGGGCCCACTTTTATCGGTCAACCCTCTGGCCTCTTGACTCAGGTCAACCTATTCTATAAGACTGTATTTCTTGACTGTGTTTTTGAGTGCAGCTGGAGGCTACCGACTGCTGGGAGGACTCCATCGACAGCGTCGTCACGGCCTTTGAGAGGCAGCACAAGCGTAAGCTCCTGTACAGCATCTCCTTCTATTGATGTCTCTCGGCCTCGCCATCGGCCTGTCGGTCCGTCGGTCGGATTCATCTCGACCGTTGATGCGTTTGAATCCAGCGGATCAGCATTCCTCTGAAATTTATTTTATGACTCAGTGGTAAATTACGAACCCAACCTTCTTAGAATTTTTTTGGTATAAAGAGCCATATTTTTACCGACCCTCTCTCTCTCTCTCTCTCTCTCTCTCTCTCTCTCTCTCTCTCCCCTTCCCCCCCCACCCCTGAAGTCACGGCCTAGCCATATGTTTATCTTTCGGGCCTTTTTTATCACCGCAGGCCATTCTTTAGAAGTGGGTTTGATGATGACTAGGCTTCTTCTTTATTCGTAAGCCTCAGTTTGGATAGCGGCCCACTGCAGCAGCTATTGAAAAAATATAAAATAATGTAAATAAGAAATGTATAATCCGTTCCTTGGGATTCTTCCTCCCCTTTCCAACATCTTTGTTTGGTGAACTGGTGAACAATAAATTTTCATAAATAGAAGGAAATATTGATTGTTCACGTGGCATTCATATGTCACAATGACGTTTGCATCATCACAATTCTTACCCAAAAATTATATATAAATAATATGCATAGAAGGGGGGGGGGGGGTTCTGATGTTGGGTTTGGGTCAAGCCAATGGGAAAAAGTTTGGATAATAATGTTCTCATGGCTTGAATTTTAGCTCCATCTAACTCATCTTCCTCTCTCTCTCTCTCTCTCTCTAATGCAATAGTAATGTAGAAGATAAATAAGATATGGGTTTGAATTCACAAAGTTTTAATCTTGGAAAAGAAATCTACTTCTAAATCTATAGATTCAGAGTCTTCAACTCTTAAATCCACAAGGGGGTGGCTGAATCTACAAATAAGAGGAAAAAATTCTCACAGTAGAGAAAATTGATTCAACTAAAAAAATGAGTACCTCAAGTTACAATAGGGACCTTTATATAAGTCTAGAAAAGAGGTTGGGCGCTCCCAAAAAAAGTATCTTAATAAATCTTGGGAACAAAGTTTGACTAATTCTGAAATGACTTAACATAGACTTTAACAGATTAAAATCTTAAACAAATCCTCTAAAAATAATTTGATTAACTCTGAAATGACTTAAAATAGACTATGACATATTGAAATCTTAGATGAATCTTCTAAAAATACTCTGACTAATTCTGAAATGACCTAAAACAGACTTTAGAATGTAAATATCCTGAATAGATCTTAGGTACAGATTCTAAAGGACATAAAGTAGAAAATAAATATTACGTTTTGGACCTCCAATCCAATGGTAACATATGTGAGCTACTTTTTAGCACTTTTCATTTTATGACTCAAATTTAAGATAAGTGGGCCCAAATTTGAAGTTGAGACTTCAACTTGTGTCGTGAACTACATCAGTCTCAACCCGAATCATAAGTCTTTCTTTGAAATGTCCCTCTCAAAAGAACTTAGCAAGGTCAAAGCCTGAACAAGCATGTTGACCTCTCTAACTTCGTCTCCCTAATCATAGTAGGAAGTTTTAAGACAACCAAGAACACATGGGCTGACCACATTACTCTAGATCTGATGGGTCACGCCTCTTAATGCGACTCAAAGATTACCTCAACCAACCAACCCAATATAGACCTTGATCAGAAATTTCTTGAATTTGAAGCATATTTCTTGAAATAAAAGCAGGCTTGATGAAGACCAGGCTTCTTCTTCATTTGTAAGCCTCAGCTTGGGTCGTGCCCACTGAAGCAGCGATTAAAAATATATATAAAATAATGTAAATAATAAATGTATGATCTGTTCGTGGGGATTCTTCCCCCTTCCAAAATCTTTGGTTGGTGGAGAGATTTAAATCTTGGTCAGAGAACAATAAATTGTCTCTTTTTCATAAATGGAGGGAAATAATGGCTGTTCACGTGGCATTCATACGTGTTGACCTTCGCACCCTCACAATTCTTACCCAAAAATTATATAAAAATAATATGCGTAAAAGGGGAGAGGGGTCTGCTGCTGGGTTTGGGCCAGGCCGATGGGAAAAAACCCGGCCCGGGCAAGCCGTTGACCTCTCTAATTCCGTCTCCCTTTACTAGTCGTTATCAGGAACTGTTAGGACAACCAAAATTTCATTCCTCATTATTCCTCATTCCATCTCCCTTTCATTCCTCATTGTTCTCCTGCTGACGGCCACTATAACTATGGATGTGCGTTAAATGTAGAAAAGTAGAGTGAGGTGAGCTTGTCCAGGCACATTCCCTTGGTGCCCACAGGAGCCTCGGCCCTCCAACAGCGGGAACAGGCCGCAGAGAAGACCATGGTGAAGAGTATACCCTCTTTAGGCAACATCTTTTTTCATCATCGTCATATCGTCGTCTTCTTTTCCGGCTTTTTCTTCTTCATTATAATCATCATCTTCTTCTTCAATATCTTCTTTTTCCTTCTTCTCGGGCACTATCGTCTTACTGTTATGTTCATTAGCATTTTCTACATCATCATCTTCACCGCCATCATCACGTTCTTCTTCCACCACGTCATCTTCACTGTCAGCTTCATCATCTTCTTCAGAAACAACTTTATCACCTCATCATCTTCTTGTTTTTTCTAAGGTGTTTTCCTTCCCCTCTAAATCTCCATTGTCATCATAATCGTCTTCTTCCGCTCTATAAGCGGGTTAATAATCATGATCATTATCTATTTTTTTCTGTGAAATTCTCCTTCTCCCCCTCCTTCCCCACAATCTTCGTCTTCCTCTCTGCTCTCAGAACTGATGGATTGTTTGCTTTCGCTAATGAAACGTAGTCACCATGTCCGAGTCCGTGATGAACGTAGTCCGAGCCCAAGAAGCCTGGGATGGCCACCCATCTCCATCGGCCGGGGGAGAATCTTGCTGACCTTAAACCAGTCGAGATCTGTAGTCGTCGTCCCGTTCCTGACGTTTACCGTCTGGGTGTGCGCCGTCGAGTCGACGATCCTGCTGGCGGAGAAGGTCTTCATGGGCTCCGTGAGCTTGCTGGAAAAGATTCTCCGCCGGCGATCAGGCAGGATCTACCCATGTGCGCCATTGGTCGAAGATGAGGAGCTCGGCACCGCCGCCTACCCCATGGTCATCGTTCAGATACCCATGTACAACGAGAAGGAGGTTGCCCTCCCTCTCTCTCTCTCTCTCTCTCTCTCTCTCGCTTTCACTCTCCCTCTCTCTCGCTAATATCGGAAGCATGAACAGGTTTACCATTTGTCGATTGGAGCTGCATGCAGCCTGCAATGGCCGGCGGACAGGCTCGTCGTCCAGGTCCTCGACGACTCGACGTAACCCCTGATCAAGGTCGATCTCCGGGTGCTCCCGCCGTCAGAGCCGAAGCTCGCCCTGACAGCGCCTTCTTCTCCTCCGGCGTCTTGCAGGATCTCGTGCAGAAGTGCCAGAAGTGGTTGGCGAAAGGGGTCGACTTGACGTACGAGACGCGGGGAGACCGAAGAGGGTACAAGGCGGGGGCGCTGGAGGGGATGAAGCTTAGTTACTTCAAAGAGTGCGACTACGTGGCCATCTTCGACGCTGACTTCCAGCCCGAGTCTGATTTCCTGATCCGGACGGTTCCCTTGTTCGCCCTCGTCCAGGCCCGTTGGAAATTCGGTAAATTACTGGGATGAGGGATCCATATTAGAATTTGTTCGTCCAATCAACCGACAAAGAGTTCAAACCATGACATAATATCTCTTGGAGTAATTCCTTCTCAACTATTCAATGAAATGACTAGTCTCTGAAATAATTCCAGTTTTTTCTTAAAATTAAAGTCAAAATTTGAAATATTCCGGTGGTTGATTTCCTATGCAGATCATCTGATATCAATTATTCTAAATTATTTCTTATCACAATTGGGTATCTATGCGTATAGTATAATGCCGAACATGGAAGCATCTGTTAATAATAATATACATATTTAGAAAAATAGTCTCATAAACTCATAGAGTAAGATTGACGTGTCCCCTCTATCTTTAAAATATGCAGCTAACCGCCATTTGAATCTTTGATAAATGATAGTTTTAGCTATATATATTTTAATTAAAGAATGAAAATGATCTCTATGCTGTGACTTTGCCTTTTTAGTAAAGGCTAACGAGTGTTTAATGACGAGAATGCAAGAGATGTCAATGGACTACCACTTCAAGGTTGAGCAAGAGTCTGGCTCATCTGCATATGCATTTTTCGGTTTCAATGGTAAGAAAATAGAACTCCAGAAAAATTATCAGAACTGTTATCCATGCCTGTGATCATCCAAAAATTTCTGAATTAAATTCATTTATACGAGATTTTCATTTACATAATTCTATTGTATAGGAACTGCAGGGGTTTGGAGAACCCATGCCATTAATGAGGCTGGAGGATGGAAAGATAGAACAACTGTTGAGGACATGGACTTAGCTATTAGAGCGACACTTCTAGGTTGGAAGTTCATATATCTAGGGGATGTCAAGGTACCAAGTTTCTATTAAATTTCTACAAATAAATCATCTTCATCCAAACTAATGTATTGTTTTCTACTAATTAGGTCAAAAGTGAGTACCAAGCACCTTCAAGGCCTATCGCAACCAACAACATCGGTGGTCGTGTGAACCTGAAACTTTAGTGTGGAAAATTGCAATGGAGATAGTAAATAATAAGGTTTCTTTCCCACAAGAGGTTTTTATATGAAGTATACATTAATTAGCATCAGATAAGGGAGTACTAGAGGCAAAGGATGAAGGAATCTCATCAATAGAGTCATATAATTTATTCATTGTTTGAATGTGGGATAGTTCTAACATTACCTTTCATGTATAACTTAAAATTTTGGCTTTGCTCCATGGACAAAAGAATATAGCCTTAAATTAATAAACGATTATGCCATGTAAATTACAATAAGTAGAGGATCCTCAAAAAACTAGTATCTTATTTATTATTTTGAATAAGGCATGGTTCTAACATAAGTTTCTAACACAATATATCGTCATCTTGCAAAAAGTCTCATTATGGAGGAAATTTTATCTCATGTACAATTTCTTCCTTGTTCGAAGGATCATATTTCATTTGGTGACCTTCTGCTACTCTAGTATTGTAATCCCAACATTACCCTTCTTCCCAGAAGTCCAAATTCCATTTTGGTCAATTGGCTACATCCCTATCATGATAACACTTCTAAATTGTGTTGGGACCCCAAGGTTTAAGATTAATCTTGATGAAATTTTATTTAAGCTCTATATTCCTTATGATGATTCTGATCTTTGAAATTTGTAGAAGTTCTAAATATCTTTTTCTTTTACACACATTTTTTGTTCTATTTAAAATATAACATAGTCATAGTTTTACATGGTATCCCTTCTGTAAATTTTTGCGCCCTTTCATTTTTACCGTATAAAATTTAGAAAAAAATTATTTGATCTCTTATTTATACCTACTATGTTAAGAATACCAAATATCCATATAAGCATGATATTTGATATGATAATCTTTAATAGTATTAGTTTATATATATATTCACACTTTTCAATACTTATCATGATAAATCTCTATAAACATTGTGTTTAATCTTTGTAACAATTTAGTCTTATCCAAAACATGATATATTCATGTTTCTATGATGTCTACTTTGATAGGCAAATAAAGCTAATGAACAATATTTATATGATTTACCTTTGAGTGAACATTTATACCTTCTATAACAAGATTAAGAAATCATTTTCACACGATTTTAATTATTGAATCAAGTAAATCGTTTATTGTAAACTTCATTTGCTTTATTTGTCTATCATCAAGGTTATGAGGTTTTAGCATTTTTATGACTTTTGGCACTCAAGTCCTAATGAGTTGCATTTTATTGTAGATCTATCCATCTTGTGGTCTTATCGTTCTTATTTGAGAATGTTATGTCACTCCACCCTTCCAAGGTAGTAATCATTGGTCTATTGGAGGTTGGTAGAGTAAATGAGTGGGTTGTTACCAAAAAGTTGGGTCCCAACCCTAACATGAGCCAGACTGGTGGCTGCAAGTTCTCATGGAATGCTATTGCAAAGTATTTTACACGGTATTTGTCTCCTAATATATATTTTACCAGCAAACATTTCACATACTTTCATCTATTCATAGTGTATGTGTTTAATTTCATAGGCCCTTTAAACTATGTCCATAAAGAATTTTTTTTTGAGTGATAATTACTTGGGGTGCTGATAGGCCCAGCTAGGTCTTTTAGATAGTCTAGTCTGAAGTTTCTATTTTAGGCTTGACATAAGACCAAGGCAAGATAATCTAGCTAGTCTAGGTCGAGCTCTCGACTTATTATTTAAGCATGAAGAAATACAACTCATATTTTAGGTAAATGACTTCATCACTTTTCACATCTTAAGGTGATTAATAATTAATTTCTTTGTGAATTGCTAGGTTCCATCTTCTTGAGCTGGGTGTGGGGATTTACCTTGTGGTATGCACTTCCTACAACTATGCCCACCATAAGAACTACTACTTCATCTTTATCTATCTACAGTCTCTTGCATTTATCATTGTTGGTGTTGGGTATGTGGGCATATTCATCCCCAATTCCAAATAGCAAAATGGGGAAAAGATGATGTGTTTCATTTCATGGAAAGATGAAATGAATCTACTAGTTCCTAATTATGTATCTCAAGGCTTTTAGGACATCTCTCTCTCTCTCTCTCTCTCTCTCTCTCTCTCTCTCTCTCTCTCTCTCTCTCTCTCTCTCTATCTATCTATCTATCTATCTATCTATCTATCTATCTCTCTCTCTCTCTCTCTCTCTCTCTCTCTCTCTCTCTCTCTCTCTCTCTCTCTCTCTCTCTCTATCTATCTATCTATCTATCTATCTATCTATCTATCTATCTATCTATATGTCTATCTATCTCATATGGGATATGAGAATATGATTCCTTGTAATACTTGTGATATAAGAGATGAAGAAAAGATGAATCCTTCTTACTATCATCTTCTGATGATAGTAGACTATGATGTTAAATTAATCATTATACCAAATATTCTTGAATGACATTGAGATTTGAATTACGATTTGAAGTTCTTAGATAGACTTATTTTGCTTGTTTAAGTTTTTGATCATGTACATAAATGAGGAAGACACAATGAGTGCTTAAATAATTGGTGGCAGATATTAATAATAGTATTTTGCATGGAGAAATCATTAGGAAAAAACTCAAGACAAGACCCTATTTCTTTCCATTTCTCAATGCTCCCTTACTTTCCCTCTCTATCTAGATATACATATGTATCTTTGAAGAAGAGTAGGAAGAAGGAATTTCAGGTGGGCTAGGTCAAAGGTGTTAATTTTCTTCTCTTCCAATTTCAACTTCGTATCTCTTCCATGATGATTATTCTTTCCTGATTTATCCATGAAAACAATAAAAAACCTAACTAGTTACAAAAATTTAGATCTTAGTCCAATCATTAGTGCAACATATTTATGATCAATTTCCCTTTTTCCACTTATATTACTATTTTTCAACACCCACTCCATTAGGCCAATTTGCTGTCCCTCTAGACTATTATTCATCCTAATTAATATCCTTTACACACATTTCATGTGCTTTCAAATGAGTGAGATAAATGAAGGTTCATTTGAAATGGTCTACATGAGAACATATTGCCCCATTGTTTTTATAAAAAATATTATTCAAATGAAGACAAATGATGGGCTTGGCAATGACACTTACCATGAGGCAACCTCATGATCCAAAGTCATTCAACAATGTCATCATCTTATTACCCTTAGCTTGGAACGTTGGGAGATTTTACTCTAGAGTGAGCTAGGAACGACAGCATCCATTTCTAGTGGCAAGACAAAAAAACAACCCCGTTTGCCATAAATGAGAGGATATGCCTGTTTTACTCTAGAACTAATTTGGTACAGGAGAACCGGCCACACTCCAAATATGCCCATCACAAGTTGATCCACTTTGAAAAATCAAAGCACCCAATATGTCTAAATGATGAAGGTAACAAGGCTGAAACCTCGAGAAGACCTGGCTGAAACAAGGTAACAAAAAAAAAAACTCAAGAAATTCTCTCTTTCATACAACATGTCCTTAAATATATCAAAATCCGTGGAAGTATTGCAAGTCCCTCTTATAATAGAATAACGAAGCTCTTTTCATGGAAAAGTGGAGCTGACCAAGCCTTTGAGCATTAAAAAATTGTTAAATCCGAGTGATCAATGACTGTTTGACTTCTTCCACAGGTAGGGGTTGACGTTATGTTGATGCAAGAGAATCAATCTACTGCATACGTGAGTGAAACTTTCAAGAAGGAAAACCCTTGGGAGAATGTGGCGTTTGCCAATGAAATAAATATGAAATAATTTCTCCATCTAACCTATCGAAACTACTGTCAATAAGTTCAACAATTTGCTCAGATTCTGACATTTGATTTTATTACATTTTTCTAAATATATGGAGATAAATTAGAATTTCGGCAGTGATAGGCTAGTCGTATAGCTAGCCGTTTTGTAGCTTTAGTCTTCTTTGGTGGCAGTGAGGAACCGATCGTCAAAATATAGCAATTTTATAGCATAAACTATCTTATAAAACAAAAATTAGAAAAGAAAAACTCGGATAATAACTGAGTCCCCATTCGAAACTAAACCATTCTGAAAAACAGAAACCACGAAAGGGAAATTCGGAGAACATTCTGCATAATTATTGAGTGCCCAAGAATTTCCATTCAAAAGCGCCATCATCTCAGCTGCTGCCTCCAGCCTTCAACTCAAGACATCTAATAATAAAAGCGACAGCACTCTCAGATACTTCAGTCAAACAGAAGACCCATCATATAAGAGTCCATGAACTTGCACAGCTTGACCTCAAGGACCAGCACTAGTTGGCGATCTCTGAGTATGAGAAAAATAAATGATTTTGTGGGAAAGAATGCGACCAATCTTTAAGGCCATATCAATGCTGATTCGATTAGTAGGGAAAACACTTCCCTCAGTTGCTTTTATCAGCCCTTATGACCCTCACCAATTTGGATCTCAGCTCCGAAGGAATCCGAACTGGGTGGCCATTTTTGCCAAGCCAGACTGCTGTGGCCTTCGCCTCCAAGATCAGCTTTTGGGGGGAATGAGGGGGGTTAGACAGTGAAAAAACAATGTGAGAGCACTAGAAACCTTTTAAGAGAAAGGAAGTCAGATGAACAGCTGTGGTGCGACGTTCGTTACCTCTTGATTCGGCAATTTGACGATCAGGTGTTCAAAGAAAATCCTCGCAGCTGAGGAGCCTGAGACTCTCACCCTCACAACGAACCTATCCCCACTCTGTCTGTGCACGAACACCAACGTGAAAACATGTCAAAATTTAGAATAATTTATAACCCAATGAAGGCCTGGGAAAGATGAAGAGCCCAAGACAAAACACATCCTGAATTTTAAAAAAAATCTGACTCGGTAGAATACAGGAAAAAAGAAAAAATCTATACAACGGGTTAGAATGTAGAAAATATGCAGCTAAAAATTTCCCAACATCAGCAGTATATATATATATATGAAGGCCGATCGAAATCGTAGCTTAATGATGAAGACAGTCTCATAATAGTATCTAGATACCCATAAAAAACTCTACGAAACAAAAGAGATAATTTAAACATAATGGTATCAAGTTCATGAATAGCTTTCCAATTAGCACGTTTTGTTAAGATTATGATAAAATTTCATGTCAACGTAAATGGAAATCTTAAGAAAGATGTAAAATAAAGGAGGTTTATGTCTCACTGTAAAGGACCTCGTTTCCGAGGAATAACAGACGTACCTTTAAGGGTGAAAGGAACTTGAGAGACAACTCTGATAGGGCCAGCGATTCCCCACCACGAGCAACTCCATCTGCACTGAAGCCAATGTCTTCGAGAAACTCATGACGACCTGAAGGATGAAAATAGACAGAAATAGTCACTCAGATCAAGATGGAAAAGAAGAAGAAGAAGCCCAGCAAGCATAAAGTCCACAGCCTTTATTGCCATAAGTTTCTATAAACCAAGACTGTGCTGAATTTTGAAGCCTATATAGTTTTGATATTGATAAAATAGATAAAAAGGTAAAATAGAGATTTTACACTACCATAATCATATTTATATTTTATCTTAATATTTTCATAATACTTTTATAACTTTAGGAGAAGTCTCATGTGATTTCAGGACCGATTGGGTTACACATAGTCTATCTTTCTGGTTTTCAAGAAGGAAGACAACTCAGTTAGCAAGATGAGTTTTACGCTCAGTGAGAAAGATGCCACGTAAAAGTGAAACTAGTAATTTCGTATTTTTGAGATCACATCCTAAACATAGATTAAAACCCCTTACATTTTTGTGCTTGCAAGTTTTTATTAGTCATTTCTTTATACGAAGTGGTTCAACTCACTTGGTATGAGGAATGACTATCTAGGAAGAACTGGTCTTAAATTTAAAGAAAGCGTTTACAAGGGTAAAAACAGTAGTTTTATGTTACGGAAAAAATTGAACCTCTTCATAATCCTTGAATACACCATAAATGCTCTAATCTATCTTGTGAAATTTTATTAAAATTTTAAGAACTGATTTTCCTGCAAGTTTTTCTCTTTTATTATTCATAGCAATAAGTGAGTCAACTCAAAGTCGACTCATACAGAGCACAGTTAAGGGGCACGGTACTATGGGACAAAATAGGAATATGCGAGTAGCTGTTGAGATAACCATTTCTAATTGCTTTCTCACCATTAAAAATACGAAAATCACGGGGGAAAACAACCCTATGAAAGATGAGTCTCCTGAACACCCCAAATGAGGAAAAATCATTCCAAGAACCTCATTGCACATTCTTTTTCAAGCATTCAAATAACTGCTCTCCAAAGAATGCTTCTGAGCCTTTGGGCCAAACAATTCAGGCCACAGGAAACTACTGGCTAAATCTGCAAGAGCTTTTACTTGTTCTTGTCTTGTATTTGAGTACTTCCGGTACATGGGCTGACCTACAACTATGAATCTTTACCAGAATAACTGAGTACTAAACTGATTAGTCCCCTAGAGCTGTGAATCTAGGAGTGTTTTGAGGAAACACTTGGGTGGCTGGCACCTTAAATTCTAGTGTGAGGCTAGCTTAAGCCTTTTTTGTTCAATTTTTGTACTGTAAGTTAGTGAAACTGAAGGATGTGACCCTGAGAGAGTGAAGTAGACCGAGCTAGTTGAACCACTATAGTTTTCGGTTTCATCTATTGTTAGGAAACCAAAATTAAGAGGAGAGAAATAGACTAATGCATCCCACTCCCACCTTCTCGGCTCCTCTCATAGCCTCCATCAAAACAACAGAATGTTGTAGATTTTTTTACAACCATCCCACGGAAAATATAGAACATTTTTTATATGATTCACTATCTAGGATGCAGATTTTTTTGGACAAGTTCAGATATAATAAACACAAGAAATTCAAATGAGCTTATTAGTTCTACTACCCCATGGTCTTTTGATCCTTCTAAGATAAGTTCAATGAACAAGAAAGAGACCGCAATCATGGTTTCATCACAGCATGCTCTATTCCGTTCCAAGGATGAGTCCCTATTCCAACATGGTCTCCTCGAAACTTGAATTTCCACTCCAACCATGAGCTTGGATTCCAAGCAAGGAATTGGTTCTATCCTAAGCATTGATTTCAGCTAACTGTGCCACTTTTTAGAGGTAAAAGCCATGTTTGCTGTGAATGTATGAAGAGTGGTGACCGCCAGACCTATGTTTTGGAATGTTTCAGTCCTAGTTCTCAGTTTCTGTGCTCCTCACTAGAAGAATAGATTGCATTCCCCCAAAGTACAAATTTGAAAACATAACATTTTAATCCAAAATCAGATATAAATCGTGGAGATCCTTCCTTCCTCACAAAAGGAAATCGAAAGAATCCAAAATGCGGGTGAAAGTTACGGAGGAGCAATGTTTTTGCCTCAAAAAATTCATCACTGGAGCTCAAGATCACCAAAAAGCAGCGCATACTTTTCCATAAGAAAAATGACTTGCTGATAATATAAAAAATAAAGGCAATGATTTCAGAGCTAAACATCAGTTCAATCCATTGGTCTGCGATGATTGGATAAAGCGTTTACCATGCTGGCAGTAGCTCGCGTACACGGCATTGTTGACCACGCCGTATTGATCGAGCTCGTAATCCCGGACCTTGAGCTCAACCTCAAAGAATTCGCTCATCCTTGAATCATTGGAACAAGGAAGGGATTTAAAACCCTAATCTAATGAATCCAGGCAAAAAAACAGTGCGAAACTTTCAAACGAAGAACCGGACATGGATCTAGCCTTGATCGATAGAAACGGTGATCCCTCGGAACTAGATTCAGATTGCGCGATGTACAACTAATAGTGGACAACGAGAAATCGCAAGTTCCAGTAAATCGGAGCATCCGACTGCACTCCCGGCGGGGGAAGTCACTCACTGGTGAGAACTTTTTCACCCAAAACCCTAATCGTCTCCGGCAAAGAAAGAATCAGGAGACCGTCCGGTGATTACCCTTTTCCTCCGGGCAGATCGAAAAGCCCTGCAACGGGAGAGTTCCCAGGACGCCGGCCGGACGGGACCGCCGCACAAATCCGCGGCCAGAAGCACCTCCCGAGCACACGAGATGGGCAAGCCAGGGAGCGGGAGCTCGTTGATCTGATGCCCCAAGAGGAAACCAGACAGAGGCAACGCCCGGTGGCCACCGGGCTCCGTAGTGCGATGGCCATCGCCTGCTCCGACCAGCGAGCCGGAGACATTCAGGAATCAACTACGATGAATTCCTGTCAACTAAAGATTCTGTTCTAATTCAGCAAACTACCAAACCTTCAGTGAATTCTCATTTTTCGATGTTCAAAATCCAGAAAACGTCGGCATTCGCATTTAGTGAGGACGACGAGAGAATTAGAGAAATATTACAAATTTACTGACGAGACAACTAATTTATTGACTTGGGTTAGTCAAAAACCTGTCATTCTTAACTTTTCTTAAACAGCTTATCGTGGGCACCCAACAAAGAATTTATTTTCTACCACCAGGGCATTTCTTCTTATAGGATGTGTCGGCTGATAGAGTCAACTCTTATTCATGAAATGTACAGAAGAAGAATGAACCATCATTCAATGGGTTTATCTATTGATATATATCTCCAAGTATTACCGTCAAAAGATATCATATAGAGAATGGTACTTATATCTATAATAATTGTCAAATTACTAATTTTCTTCTTTTATGGTGTTCTATTAGTTGACATTATCACAAAAAATTCAATAACCTTGTAGAATATGCCACTATCAAGTAAATTATATAATGTAGTGGAAAATGAAAATATGATGATTTGAGAGAGGCTTACATAGCTTGAGTTATACATGATTTACATAGAAATATTGTCCTTAAATCTATAAATGACTTGATTTCTATGAAAATTCTTTAATCTAAGTCTACAGAAGGAAGAAACATTGACCTTTGAATCCACATGAGCTTGATCTTCAGTTCACATGATCTAAGTAGCTTCTTTGAATCCACATAGGGCATTAGAACCCCCAAAGAGAGTAAAATTTGAAGAATTGATTTAGTGTCTTTTTGGGCTACAATGGGAGGGGCAGGGGCGCATTTTTTAATCCAAATAGTATTATTAGATACTTGTAATAGCCATTATGAGCCAAAAATAAATAAATTTATATTATGAGACCTGTCTCCTTGATTAATTTTCACACTCCCACTAACACTTGTTGTCCCTATTAGAGGTCATAAGTTATTGATTTAAAATAAAACTTTAGACTTATATAATTGTGGATTGCCATAGAGGAGCCGCCTATTGTAAGCTTCATCCATATATATTTCCAATCCACCACCATGGCATCAAGCTTTAGACAGAATCCACTACATTCCTAGAATGACATCTATATTGCCCAGTTTCAAGAGTAATTATTCTTTATTGACCTTCAGCCCTTTGTATTTCTGAAGTCACTCTTTGATAGATTCTTACTCCCCTTATGGTTGTACCATTTCTTATAATGAACATATAGTGAGTGATCCTAATCACCACTGCTTCAACTCTTGGAACAATATTTGAGAGATGAAATTGCTAGTTGTCTCACAACCGATTAATATTGCAAATTCTCTGCTACCAATCATACCTTCAAACTTCATGATTCATGTGTTGTTAACAATAACAAAAGCTATAGAGATCTTGATATTACATTATGGGTCTTCACTCATAACTTTAAGTGTTTTGATTGTCAACCATTGCTCTATATCACCCCTCAGTTCCTTGTCCTTTTTATAAACCAAGAATAATTATAATTCGTCTTTGTATAAATGTCTCAGTTGGTAGACCATTGTGCCCCTTGATTGAACTATCTTGGTACTCTAATTATTTTCCTTGATCATAAGTACTTATTACTTCTTGTACTCACCACTGGAGTTAATTATTCATACTTAGTCATATCATGTGGGTGTCTTCAGCCTATCATTTCTTGACTCTGTCACAACTTTAAGTATATTATTCTTTACCTCCACTATTTAGGAAGTTTCTATGACGTCACTAAGTCATTTTATGTTGAATAATTTGACTTTCCCATTAATTTCTAGCTTAAATCCTTCCATGGAGATGCTTTCAAGAGCCTCCTCCGAGATGTCGTCAAGTGCATTGAACAGTTGGTTGAATTTTCTCTTGTAATCAGCCACTTGTACTTGTTACTTAATATTAAAAAAATATTCTCATATTATTTCAGTTAACTGTGAATTAAATATATTTGTTTCATGCATTACTTAACATATTTCTAATCTTTAAATGGTTCACAACTATCCGACCACCTGAACCATACAGGGGGGCTCTATCATCCATGCTGAGTGTCGCAGCTTTCAATTGATTCCTTATATCTCACAATACATCTCTACACGGAAGGTCCCACCCGACTCCATTTTGCCCGGTTACTGACGGGTTGACCTGGTTCATCTGATCTTAGCATGGCCCTGTCTGGGTCAGATTTGGACCAGCAATAGAATCCTGGTCCTTTGTTGGCAGTTCTGATTGGCTTGGTTTGTCTGAACCAATCGGAGCCCTCCTCGCGTCAGGATTTGGGCCAGAAGTGGAAGCGGTAACAACGGTTGGGAGCTGCAGAAGCGCGAGGTTTGTTTGACCCAGCTGGCACTATGTAACCGGGTTCCTGAGGATTGGGGCCCACTTGTATCGGTCAACCCTCTACCCTCTTGACACGGGTCAACCTATTCGATAAGACTCGGCTACCGACTGCTGGGAGGACTCCATCGACAGCGTTATAGCGTAACCTCCTGTACAGCATCTCCTTCTATTGATGCTTCTCGGCCTCGCCATCCGCACGTTAGACCGTAGGTAGGATTCATCTCGACCGTTGATGTGTATGAATCCAGCGGCTCAGCATTACGCTATGCATATTCTCTCTCTCTCTCTCTCTCTCTCCAAGTTGGGGGCCCGGCCCTACGTTGATATTTCAGGCCTTTTTATGATCACAGGCCATTCTTTAAAAGCGGGCTAGATGAAGACCGGGCTTCTTCTTTATTCGTAAGGCCCAGCCTGGGTCGGGCCCACTGAAGCAGCAGGTAAAACAATTTATAAAATAATGTAAATAATAAATATATGAATTCCGTTCGCTGGGATCTCCCCCCTTTAGACAACTTTGGTTGGTTGAGGCTTTAAACCTTAGTTGGTGAACAATAAATTACCGTTTTTTCACTAACAGAGGAGAATATGGCTGTTCTACCTGGCATTCACATTAGTTGACCTTTGCATCGTCATAACTATTACCAAAAATTATATAAATAATACACGTAAATCGGGGGAATCTGCTGCGGTTTGGACGGGCCCGAGGGAGAAAAGCCCGGAAATGGTCTTCTCTATGCTTGGACTTCAGCCCGATCTACCCCCGTCTCTCTCTCTCTCTCTATCTATCTAACTTCCTCAGTCCAAATCATGGGCTTTTCGTTGGAACGGGCCCCAGAAGAACTTGGCAAGGCCCGAGCCCGGGAAAACTCCTTTGACTGCTCTAATTCCATCTCCGTTTACCAGTCATTAGGGGGAACTATCAGGACACCCAACGAATTCACATGGACGACCAAATTATTCTAAATTTGGCGTGTCGTGCATTTTTATGAGACTTAAAAACTACCCCGACCAACAAACCAATACGAAGACGGTCATTATTTTCTCGACCTTAAAGCACATTTCTCGAAGTTCGATACAAAATATTAATATGGGTGAACCCATTGATAATTTATTTCCCTTCGTCCTATAGTTGCCCCCCCCCCCCTTATTAATGGCCCAGGGCTGGACCGTATTATCACTGGCCCAGATTGGCCCTGTCCGCTCCACGTGCATTTACAGCGAGAGAGAGAGAAAGAGAGAGAGTTGTAGACGTTGGGTCGGGTTTGATGGAAGGTCAAATTGAGCTGAGCCAGACTTCTCGGGCTGGATTCTAAGGCCCAAGTATGGGAAACTAGACCCCCAGCCACAGTGATGGGATTTCCCACGGTATCTCTTGTGAACCTAATGGGTTTTGACTTTGGGATTCATTCATCCGAACCATCATCAAGGTCAACGAGGACAGATTTAGTCGATCTTGTAGAAATTGGGCTGAGCGGACTGACCGAGCCCGCAGATTTCAGGTACCCTGAATCATGGTCAGCGCCCCTAGAGTTTTCCCCGCGGTTAATATATATAAATATAAATACGCGCATTTGATTGTGGCCCGTGAGCTTTGGGTAAGACGATAGCAACGCCGTTGACTGTAGCGAAGATATCGAATTGACCGAAGAAGCCGTGGACGAGTTGGAGAGAGAGAGACAGAATCGCCAGCACGTCTCCTTCGTTTGTCTCCCTCTTCCTCTTGTTCTTTTTCCTCTTGGCCCGTCCTTCGGTTTCGTTTAACTCTCCACCCATAAGCGAGAGGGATGGGCTTGAGAGAGATAGGGAGACAGAGATTAAATGCAGCGGCGGCGGCAAGGTTAGTAACCGCCACGTAAGCGATGCTGTCCAAATAATCCCACCGCCTGAATAGAGAAGCCTTTGTGACGTCGTCTCCTTCACCGGCTAGCCCTTCCGCTGTCCTCTTCCCCGTGCTCCGACCTACAACCGTGTTCGTCTCGTAAAGCTCCCTTTTCTCTTCTGGCCCTCGCAGGACCGCTTGCCATCCTCCCAGCGCCACATAGGCCCGTGGAGGCCGCTGGGGAACGCCGCCGGCCACGGCGGTAGACGGCGGCGGGGCTTCTGAGAGAAGCCGAGGAGGATGAAGCCCGTGGACAAAGTCCATGCGGCCACTGTCTTCATCTTTCTGGTGGTCTCCGTCCTCTGTTTCTTCTTCTACCAGCAGTACAGCGCCGTTCCCTCCGCCACAGACTGGGTGGTGGGTTTCATGGAGGAGCAGAGGCTGGCGGAGGACTCAAATGAGAAGCCGCCGGAGGCCTTGGAGGAGAGGCCGCCGGAGGCCTTGAAGGAGAGGCCGCTGGAGGCCTTGAAGGAGGAGGGGCGGGGGAACGGGCCGTGCGATCTCTTCGAGGGGAAGTGGGTGTGGGACGAAAGCTACCCGCTGTATAATTCCACAGACTGCCCGTTTATAGACGGCGGGTTTCGCTGCGAGGAGAATGGTCGACCGGACAACAACTATACCAAGTGGCGATGGCAGCCTGCCCACTGCGACATGCCCAGGTTCTCACCTCTCTCTCTCTTTCTCTCTCTCTCTCTCTCTCTCTCTCTACTCACGAGTGTGGTTTCTGGGTGGGTCGGGGAAGGTTCGATGCGAGGGGGATGCTGGAGAGGCTGCGGGGCCGGCGAGTGGCTTTCGTGGGGGACTCGATCGGAAGGAACCAGTGGGAATCCCTCCTCTGTCTTCTCTCCTCCGCCGTCGCTGACAAGAGCTCCATCTACGAGGTCAACGGGAGCCCCATCACCAAGCACAGAGGGTTCCTCTCCTTCATGTTCCGCACCTTCAACTGCACCGTCGAGTACTACCGTGCGCCGTTCCTCGTCGCCCAGAGCCGCCCGCCGCCGCGCTCGCCGGGGAAGGTCAGAGCCACGTTGAGGCTGGATTTCATGGACTGGAGCTCATCCCGGTGGCGCACCGCCGACGTCATCGTCTTCAACTCCGGCCACTGGTGGAACTACGAAAAGACCCTTCGCAGGTACCTCTCTCTCTCTCTCTCTCTCTCTAGGATTGTCCAAGAAAATTTTAAAACCCACATACCAGAAAAGGAAAATTAAATGCGTTCGGAGATAATCGCTTGGGGAAGAAAATAAGGCAAATTTGCGAATTATGGCAAGAAACAGGAGGACTAAGTTAATCGGGTATGAAGGTTTTTTTTTAACCCGCCAAATCCTGTTTCGGCAGCGGGTACTATTTCCAGGTGGGGAATCGGGTGAAAATGGAGATGACAATGGAGCAGGCATACCGGAAGTCAATCGAGACCTTACTCGATTGGGTGGGGAGAGACGTCAACCCCCGTAAAACGCTCGTCGTCCTCCGCAGCTACGCGCCGATCCATTTCAGGTAACCAATCGATCACTCAATCATTCCGAAACTCGCTGCACAAAAGCTGCGTTCCCCCAACCTCCTCCGTTAGCGCCGGCGGTGTAAATCCCCCACAGGAGCGGCGACTGGAAGAAAGGAGGGAGCTGCCACAAGGAGACGCTCCCAGATTTGGAAGGTCCGCCGCCGGCCGAGGCGGAGCACTGGGCTCTCCGGGTCGCCGGAGAGGTGATCTCTGAGAGGGCCCGGCGCCGCCGCCGCCACCGCCCGCCGGTGGAGGTTTTGAACGTCACCCAGTTGACCGCCCGTCGGCGTGACGGGCACGCCTCCGTGTACAACCTCGGCCCGGGGAAGGCGGCGCCGCTGCACCGGCAGGACTGCAGCCACTGGTGCCTCCCTGGAGTCCCCGACACCTGGAACGAGCTCCTCCACGCCGTCTTCCTCAGATGGGATCTCAAGAACCACCACTCCCTAACACCTGCGGGAGGTTGAAGACGACGGTTAAATACACCTTCACTCACACACATATGTTCATACACCGGGGAGTTTGGATCATAGGATGATACTGATATTTTCCTAAACTGGTGGCAGAGTCTTCCCGATTGTTTGACCAAACCCGGTGAGACGAGCGAGCCAAGAACAGCTCCCTGATTTCATGGGAGGGATATCGAGAAACAATACGCAGTTATTTGTTCCACACGGAATGTGCCATTAATTTCTTTTGATTTAATTTGTCCGCCGGGGAAGAGGAACTACAACTATACGTTAATTTCTTTTTTTTTGGGAAAAAATTATGTTCTTTAGTTTCCCCCTGGTATCATAGATCTTGCCCTGTCGCGAAAAAGGACGTTTTCTTCAGAAAATAAACAGAAATTATTGTTTAAATTATTTTTCTAAATATGAAAAAATGCCCGATATTTTTTAACGCTAAAGACTGAAAAATAGATTAAATCAGAAATTAATGAGTAACCGAAGAGTTTAACTTATATTTTCCGATGCCAACATGAAATACGGATTAAACTCAGAGAATCTGTAATTTAATCGTATGATTAAATAAGGAAAAATTACAAGTGATAATGGTTCAAAGAGTCGTTGGGAAGTGTCCTTTTATCCGTTTTATAAGAATACGTTATATAATATTTATTTTTATCGACGAGTCCCAAATTAATTTGCATATACAGATGGGAATTTATCCGTTTATCATAAAAAAAATACGAAATCATTATTTATTATTACTTTTGGAAAAATGGATTTTCTGATTGCTCGGACGCCAACCGATGCACACACCCGCATCCGATTCAAAATCCGTAGAGATCGTCACCTTGAGAAAGGATTTAGGAATGAATGTCGCGCTCTGGCCAGCATCACAGGGACTCACCGCCGCGATGAACGCCGCCATCTCTCCCCCCCCCTGGGCCCACCGGCTACCGGGCACCTTCCCATGCTTCTCCCAACTCGCCGCTCCGCCGCAGCGCCCTCTCTTCTGCCGCCACCGCGGGGAGTTCCTCGGCGGACGGTTCCACCAGTTCCTTCCCCTTTATCCCCTCCGCAGCAAGCCAGAGCCTCGCCGGAGCACTGCGCGGGGGACGGCGACGGTCGCCTTCCTGGGATGGAGCGCCGGCCGGCGGAAGAGGGGGAGGAACGGCGGGGGGCTGGACAGGGCCGTCGTGCGGCGATGGGCGTCGATCTTCCTGCTGGCCGCCTCGATCCAGAAACTCCTCGCAATGCAGCCACTGGATGTCCTCGCCGTCCTCCTCGATCAGGGGGGAGCCGCTCGGATCTGCGGCTGCGGCGACGGCGACGGCGCGTTAGGGCTCCTCAGGATGGGATTATCCAGAGAAGGTCGAGCAAGGCCGGCCAATCGGACGTGGAAGGGAGCGCTGCGGCTCACAGCGAAGGCGGCGGCAGCAGTGGCCGCAGCGGCAGCCATCTGGCTGTTGCTCTTCGGGAGGCCGCTGTGAAGGAATGGGGGTGGGGTTAGAGTTTCAGGCGCAGAGTTTCTGCAAGAGAGTGCTTCTTCTTTCTCCAGTCGGTAAGAATTTCAGATTTTGGAATGAATCGAATACATATAAAAAATTATTTTTCTTGTTTTCGAAATTATAAATTCTTATATTTAATCTTGAAAACAAGAGAAAAATGGTTATAAAACCACGTATTTTCCACGGTTTTGGGCCTCGACCGGACGTCTATAAGCTCTCGGCCCAGCCCGGACCCATTTGGGCCAATTCTATTTCATCACTGATAGATAGTCTATTCGAAGAGAGTACTCTTGGGTGGGACCTACCGGAAGCCCGGGCCCGGCTCGAATAATGATTTGGCCGGGCTTCGGGCTTAATTGTCGGTAGACGCTACTAATAGTATTTTCCATATTTTAAAAAATGGAAATAGGCACTCTGGTACATAAAAGAGCTCGTGTGTGTAGAAGACCGTGTTGTGAGAGGGAGGGGGGCCCTCCACCAGGAGGGCGAGTGAGGAAGGAGGGGGGACGGGAGGAGGGCGTGGCGTGAGAAGGTACCGATGGCGAGGGGCGGGTAAAGCGGTGACGGCGGCGGCGGCGGCGGCGGCACCGGGAATGGGGGACGCCTCGGCGGAGGAGAGATGGCGGGACCTCGACAAGCTCCTCGCCAGGCCTGGCAATATCGTCAGCCCCATCTTCGAGCCCAGCCCTCAGGTAAAACCTCCCACCCCTCCTCCTCCACTGTCTTGTTTTTTTTTTGGTGGTTTTGGGGGGTGGATTTGCTCTTAGTGTAGCGAGTAGATCGTTCCTGTTTCTTTGGTCTCTTCTGCCGTCGCACGGTCTGAAATTCTTGTGACTCCAGTTGAGGGATGAGCTGGGGGAGTACGTCAGGGTGTTGGTTGTGGGCGCGGGCGGGCTGGGCTGCGAGCTTCTCAAGGATCTCGCTCTCTCCGGTTTCAAGAACCTCGAAGTCATCGACATGGACACCATCGAGGTCTCCAACCTCAACCGCCAATTCCTTTTCAGGTCCCAATCTTTACAATGGCATCCTTTACTTACTCACTATCTATCTATTTATCTATCTATCCGTACGACTGCATCGCAACGCATATTTTACTCCCGATTCCAACATCAGGTCTTGAAACCCAGAATTTGTTAGGCGATTGAGAACTTCACACCAGTAATCCGGTTAGCGTGAAAATCACTTCTCAGCATTTTCTGTATTGTATTCAGGGTGATAAAAGCTTAAACGTTCCGTTCTAGAGCATTTTTCCCTCTGTGGAATCTGCAACTACCGAGTTTGGCTGCATTTGTTCTGAATGTTGCTAACATGGGGTTTGACCGCTACAAAATATCTAGAAGAAGGGACCTGGACCCTTTGAATAAATCTATGCATTTTCAATGAACTCACTCAATATACTAAGTTTCAAGGTTGAAACTTTTAATTGGAGTTCTATTTCTTATTAGTTCCATGATGGTCAGTACGTTTGAAAGTATTCTAAAATGAATCCCTCATCTGTTGATCACCAAACCTTTATAACTAGCCTATCCTTCTTAACATGTAATTCCTTGTATGGTCACGGGAAGCTTCTGACGTTCATCAGTTTGTTCTTGGTATGGACAATATGATAGCTGCCACTTGAAGACTGGGAATAGAGTCAGTTGGCACTTCTGGGTATACATGATCAAATTTTATAATTTTTTTAGCACGTCCCAGTCTATGTGAAATGAGGTGGTCATCCTTTGAGGAGCTCCTCCCAGAAAGAGATAAGCAGTGGACTTCCCTTGGTGGGAATGCTTCAGGGATAGTTTTGTGTGTTAGAGTAGAACCATATTCATAGGGCTTAATAATTCTCTTGCAAAAATATCTCCAAAGGAAATAAAAAAAATATTGATAATAAAAACCTACGGTTAAGACTTTTTATGTGAGTGAATGTTTCGGAGATTTTGTTCATAGAGGTTATAATATTTCATGGTTTGGGTTGAACTTAGGACATTCACATTCATTATGTAAGTTCATTATGTGAACTTGTGATTATTCTTTTGTGTCTGGTGGATTTTTTATTTGGCTTTATCTGGTTATATTTGAACACATTTCGACTTTCATCACCTTCTATTTAGGCAGTCTGGTAATAACCACTTTGTAAAAGTATATATATGGCGCAATAGCCTGTTTTGTGCTGTCATTATAGGCTAATTGAGGCTACACTCTTTGAATTCATGGATAAAATCATCCACAATTTTAAGTTGCTTCTAAAACGTTGTTCTTTCTATCGGACTATTTACTTCACACTACATTTAGTCTATAGAAAATATGAAATTATCCCTTTTAATTTGGGCTAGATTTTTTGTCTTATTTATGTGTTGATTCAAGAACAGTTCATGCTGGATGATGATGTTATGATTCAACATTATTCGCTTTAAATTCGCTATGTTGATATTTCTTTCAATGAAATGATTGATCTTTAACTTTAGGATCCATGATGTGGGAAAATCTAAAGCTGAGGTTGCCGCAAGACGTGTTATGGAGAGAGTTAGTGGGGTAAATATAGTACCACACTTCTGCAGAATCGAAGATAAAGACATTGAATTTTACAGAGATTTCAATATTATTGCCCTTGGTCTTGATTCCATTGAGGCTCGAAGCTACATCAACTCTGTTGCCTGTAGTTTTCTTGGTGATTATCTTTTTCTTTTTTCTCTCTTGAATAACGTTTGGATAACGTCATTTTCATTTCATAAGCTGTTTATTTTTTTCATTCAGATTTTTATCCTTATCTATTAAAGTTTTGCTGTCTTGGTTATTTTACTGATGCCTCATCTTAGGCGTAACTTTTTATGGCATAAGACTTTGCAGGGGACATACCAAAACACAGACAAGCGAGAAATACATACATGGGCATCAGCCAATAAAAAACAATCGAATGATGAGTATTATTTCATAATCAATTATTAGAGCACTTCAGGGAGATGTACCTACCCATGTAAAATAAGATGCCATTTTATTTTGTATTTTCCTGTCGAAAAGTGCCCACAAACTTTGTTCAAGGAAGCTGGTTTTATCCAATACATCAGATGAATAAGGGTATAACGACTTTTGACTGAAAATTCTGTTCCAAGGGCATCTTTGGGGACCCGAAATTATTTTTTTTCTGATCTCGTAATTTTATTTTTTCAAAGTGGATACTCTTGTCCTTGCACTAGATAACCCTTTTTTTCTTAAAGGATTAAAACACACGAGAAGGCATAAATAAAAGATAGGAGAAGTCGGGCTTCTCCTACTTTTGTTAAAGCAGCCCTAAGACTGTGAGACCAAGATAATAGGGTAGCAAAGCTCAGTGGTTTGGCAGGAGGCGCATGCCCCAGAAATAATATGCAGAAAGAGATAGCACGAGTAAAACATAGAATGGAAAGGAAACAAACCGACAATCAACATTCTATGATATCTCAAATACATCACAATTTATGCTACCATGGCAGTTTTCAGGGGTTACTAGCTTTTACAAAGGCATAATAAGAGTTCCATAGAAGTCAAAAACTAGGGTAAAATCTGTGACGACATAAGTAACAGCTGCATATTGAATTTCTTGGATCTAAATGACATTAGGATAACCTATTGTGCACTGCTCCTTAGAGTCAATTATTTTATATGGCTCCAAGTAGTGACTAGGTCTCATTGATCTTTTCTCCTCTGAAGCATGTCTGATCTATTTTTCAAATTTTAGAATATGACGACGATGACAATCCATGTGAGGAAACCATCAAACCTTTGGTAGATGGTGGAACTGAAGGTTTCAAAGGTCATGCAAGAGTAATCATGCCGGGCGTTACTCCATGCTTTGAGTGCACGATTTGGCTTTTCCCTCCTCAAGTGAAATTCCCACTATGCACCCTTGCTGAGACCCCTAGGACGGCTGCACATTGTATTGAATATGCACATTTGATAAAGTGGGATGAGGTACAGCTAACGAACTGGCCTAAAAAAAAAAATTAGTTTTTATTTTTTATTTTTTTACGGCACTAAATTGGTGTCTGCTATGCTCCTTTTAGGTGCATCGTGGGAAAACATTTGATGCTGATAATCCAGAACATATGCAGTGGATTTACTCAGAGGTTCGTTTTTCCAGAGGCTCGAAATAGATCTTCCCATGATTTTTTCTTTTTGGCTTTCGGTTTTGGTTAACATTACCCGCATTCCACGCAGGCTCTTAAAAGGGCAGAACTTTTTGGTATCACTGGAGTTACTTACTCTCTAACTCAGGTAGGTGACTGTTCTGAAGGTTTTGTTGCTAGTTCTTCTTCTATGTGGTATGACGTTCTGCTATTTTTAACCACAACTGCAACAAAACCAGTATTCCCAGAGCGAGTCATCTGATTCCCATAAATCTTCTAGATGGACATTGACATATAGTATAAGGTGGTTAATATACTGTTCATATCTTCTATATACAGTAAAACTCTTTTTTTAAATTTTTTTCTCAGGGTGTTGTGAAGAATATAATCCCGGCTATTGCCTCTACCAATGCGATTGTTTCTGCTGCATGTGCCTTGGAAGCACTGAAGATTGCAACTGGGTGCAGCAAAACGTTGTCCAATTATCTCACGTAAATCCTCCTGTCTTGTTGCCTCACTTTATGCTTTAGAGACGGACTATTCATGGGGGAACAAATTTCTCATCCGTTTTACTTTTATATGTTCGGCATATTTCTTGTAGAAATACAAAAACCCATTTCTCATCAATTATTTGCGTTTCGTTCGTCAATACTCGAAGTAACCATGTCTTCTCTTGTTTTATCTAATCATTCATTTGCGATGCCGTTTCTAGTTTTAGTAGTTGGGCATCATGGGCGATAAAGGTCTAGCATCTGCAAGGAATTTTTGCGCATGTTTTATGCCTTTGCTCACTAGTTTCAAGACCCTGTCCATTTAGTATTTCTTATCTAGGGTCATAAGCTGGCTTTCCTATGATGGGAACCCTCAACGCCATGGGCCCCTCAATGGATCCTACTACACTGACATCAAGTCTCGGGGCTTTCAATTGGACGGTCAAGAAATCTGGGGCAGAAGAGATGTGGCTGGGATGGTTGGGAGCATCCGTACCCGATTTAATTGGTTGCGACTGTTGTTTTCATCACAGATAGTCTTGAGTCGTTGGGTGGGGAGTTGCTTTTATTGCCAATTAATGCTGCAATTAGAGGGTGCGGGGGACGTAGAAAGAGGGGATATCTTCAGATATTGTAGTTGTTTCCACAGCTTCTTGCTGTATGTGGTCTCTGGGTAGCTTCTTTTAGTCTGCCAAGCTACATAGATGTTGATTATCTCCCTTATTCCTAGCAGTCTTTTGGGCTGTTTAATCATTGGACTGGCTTGCGATTTTCTTCGAGAATCACTCACTCGTTACCATATTCTGCAGGTACAACGGTCTCGAGGGGCTTCACACCAAGGTGACCGAGTTCGTCAGGGACCAGAGCTGTCTGGTATGTGGGCCTGGCACCCTCATAGAGTTGGACATCTTGGTTACTCTATCAGAGGTAGGGGTCTCCTTGGTTATTTTCTATGACGACTACCTCACAACCATGCTATAATTAGGGTGTTTATGTTAATTCTATGTATCCACGAATTCACTCATCAATCCACAAACCTTGAGCTACAAATTTGGTTGCTTTTTCAAACTTGAGGTGCTTCTAGCCCTCTAACCTACTATCATTTTATTTAATTTTTTTTTTTACCGAGACATCTGATGTAGATCAAGTTACTGTGCTGGTAGCAGGGGTAGTAGAATCTAATGGCATTTAGTGTTTTGCTTTATGCCCCCATAATATCTAAAAATCTCAACTGTCTGGAAAAGGAAATCCTGCTTCCTTATTTAGTAACAGCTTGACTTGTTCCTGGGCTAGGAGATTTCCTCTTCAAGGAATCCTTGTGAGGGCCCTTGAGGTTCCCAGAGATATACATCCACTACTATTTGCCATGTTTCTGAGTTCTGTTTGTCGTTTGGATTATTTCAGCAATGAAATTGTAGCTAAAATCTGTTTTTAAGTTTCATGGCTATGATGAAAACATGAATAGCAAATGAAATGAGGTGGCCTTTCTAGCATAGAAATATAATATTATAATTATCATCATTGCTATTACTACCGTCATCATCGTCGTCTTGTGTGGTGGGGGGCTTGAGAACCTGATGCAGTATTTTGTCTTGCTGATGAAAGCCCTAATCGATGATTTCTAAGTAGTTTTTCCCTAATTCTTGGCTTTGTATGATTCTAAACCGTACCCAAGCATATCAACACCAGAGCCTTTGATGCGGTGAACTTTCCACCGTGATTATTATTTTATTATTGCGAAAGTGATTGGATTTTGTGTATTAATTGAATTTTGAGACGAACAAATTAGGCTGTTCGGGTCTAAATTTGTTTTCTTGCTCATGATTTCATTTCTAATTGGCCTGGAATAGCTGATCGAACTCCTCGGAGAGCACCCCAAGCTGCAGCTATCTAAACCGAGCATCACTCACCAAGGGAAGAACCTGTACATGCAGGCTCCCCCCGTTCTTGAGGAGCTGACTCGGTCAAATCTTCCCCTCCCCCTCTTTGACCTCATGGGTCGTGCTCCAAGGGGGATCATCCATGCCACAGGTTTTGCCAACAAGAATGGAAAGAGGACATCCTGTCTGAGGAAGCTGCGCGTTGTCTTCAAGGGCGCAGTCGATGAAGGAGCTGCCAACGTGGACATGGCGGGTGTCCCTGCTTGAATTCTCCTCAGGACGCTAGTAAAATCGCAAGTCCCAATCAAGGGCTCTATTTTCGGGGCTGTTGGATTCTTTCTGATCGGTGGTGGTGGTTGGGCTCTATTTTTGGGTTATAAGGTTTCAAGAAAAGACCAAGTTGGTCATGAAATGTTTATCTGGATTGACTTTTGTTCCTTTTCTGCGAGCCATTGCAGAGATGGCCTCTCGATCAACCAACTGGTTCCATTGCAGAGGTGGGTGTTTCTCTTCTCCTTCTATAATCTTTTGCTCACATTGTGAGGCGTTTAAGAACCCAAATTCTCTCTCTCTCTCTCTCTCTCTCTCTATCTCTATCTCTCTCTATATATTAATATATCTCATTTCTACTAGGGGAGTAGTGATTCAGATGGATGAGGGTCCACAGGAAGCAGGGATCCGGGTTTCAATACCAATTTAATTGGGTCCAATTGGATTTGATCTCCTTTGACCATATCCTCAACGTGGGGGGGGGCCCCACTGGACCTCGCTGGGGTGGGTGTGCGAGCAGGGTAGGCTTCCTTGAGTTCATTCGGTGGAGAACATGCCCACTAGAGAGACGTTCCTTCGTCAGGAAGGAAATTCTAATTCTCCGATATTTATTGATGTGCTGGTAAGTATATCGGTCAATATAGTTCTTTGTTCTATTCATTAATAGGATCTTCTTGCTTAATTGTCCTCCTATCCTCGCTTCATTCTCGAAGGTACTTCCAGAGCAAGCGAGCTCCATGTGGTCGGCTTTCCTCTCTCTGTTCTCTCTCTATCTCTCTCTTTCTCTCGCTATCTCATTCGACTTCCAACTTTTTCACGATGGGAGAGAACGCAACCATGCAAGGTTTTACTTCGTGTTTTCCTCAAAATCACAGCCATGCAAGGGTCTAGAGAGAGAGAAACTTGGTAGGGCCGCAAAGCCGCGCGCCCAAGCCGCTGAGTAGAGAGAGAGAGAGAGAGAGAGAGAGAGAGAGAGAGAGGAATGTTTCTGTGGTCGGGGGGGTGGATGGGCGTCGTTCCCTCATGTGAGGATGTAAGACGTGTCCAAATCCGAGTTCCTCGTCGCCTCCGCCGCCTTCTCATCGCCAGCAGGCATGCCCCCGTCCCAAATAATAGATACAGTTCGGGCGAAGAAAACCCAAATAATTAACGGGTAGAGAGAGAGAGAGAGAGAGAGAGAGAGAGAGAGAGACGTGCGACATCATCGTCACCATCTTTCCGCCCAGGACGGAGAACAGCAGATCACGTTCGTATGTTGGGGGGTGAGGGCGGATATGTGATAAGGGTTCGTGCTGCTGCTGGTGGCGGAGGGGGCGCGATCGGCCAACTGCCACCTCCGCCAGCGGCCCCACGAACCCACATGTCATCCCCCCTTAACTGCCTCATTCTCCCTCTGCCCACCTCTTTTAAATCCCCCTTGCAATACTCACACAGTAGAAGAAACTCAAGTGCTCTCTTTCTCTCTCTCTCTCCTCCTCCGGCCATACAGAGAATTGATGGTAGGGATGGATGTGGCCGTCGAGCTAGAAGATGATCTGTTCTTCGCAGACCTGAGCCGGCAGATTGCCCTGCTGATATTCGACGAAGAAGAAGAAGAAGAAGACGAGGGCTTCCCTCTTCGTTGGTGCCCTTCTCACTCCTTCCAGGTACGGGGTAAAGAAGGTCAACCCTTCTCTCTCTATCCACATCTCTCCTTGAATGGCTTTACAGATCCGGCGGTCACCTCGAGGGAATCCTGTAAAACCTTGCTGAAAATAGGTTCTTTCTTGGGATGATCTCCTCACGAAGGTTTGTTGCCGTTGTTCTGCAGGCCTTTTCTCTCCATACATCTTCGCCGGGGGCGGCTATCGCCTGTGGCGGTGAGCAGGTCAAAGGCACCGGCGTTTTCATCCCGCAGTCGTCCCTCCCCAGGTGGCGCCGCCGGCCAGGGAGGCCGAGGCGCCCTGCCCCCGTTAAGGCCAAGATGGCGGCGGGGGCGGCACACGGCGGCGGCGGCGGCGGTGGCAGGGACAAGTTGCTGTCCAATTGCAGTAACAGGAGATCCAACGGGCTCAGGACACCCCCGCTGTCGGCACCGCCAGAGAGAAGAAGCTGCCCAATTGTGGCAGGAGATCTAACGGGCTCCAGACAACCTTGTGGGGGAACCCATCTCCCAGCTTGAAGAATGATGCTGGTAATTAGAAGAGCATCCGTGATTCTTGAGTCTGTATTGCCATGCCCCAAGGACTCCCCGTGGTCAATACTTGAATTAGCAAAAGCAATAAATGACGCTGGCAACGCCCTCCTTTGCTCCCTTCTCTCTCTCTCTCTCTATACTGTATTCTCTCCGACCGAGATGGAGAGGTGAATAGCATTCTTTCAGGTTGTGGAATCTGGAATCGGAAAGCTGTGCGTGGCAGGGCTCGCCGCTTGTCCTGTTCCTCTTCCATGTGGGAGGAAGAGGACAGGCACTTGACAGGGACTGCTCAGCCGCATCGCCGGGGAGCCCGGCGAGGCAAGCCGACACGCTGGCGGCGCAATCCTCGCTCCACTGCTGTCCAAATGGCGGCGAGGGAGATGGATGTGGCCCCCGTTTTCCTCCCACTCAGTCCCGTCCACGTCACTCGGGACCAGAATCTCAATCCTATGGCCAGCGTCTGTCGGCGCCCCAGAATCTCGGATTCTGCGAGAATCTAGTAAGGGGAGAAGGGGATTGGCTACCATTGGAGACCCCCTATCTCTCCCTCGATCAAGATGCCAGTTTTAAACCCAAATCCCCTCTACTTCCCCCCTCCAAAAAGCAATGTCCCAAGGACAAAAAGGAAGCTTTTTTCTAACTACGGCGGCATGATCAGTGATATCATGGGAGAAATAGTGCCCATAATGCAGGGTGGACTTCAAACGAATTCCGACTGAATACACGATTTAATAATAATAATAATAAATAAATAAATAAATAAATAAATAAATAAATAAATAAATAAATAAATAAATAAATAAATAAATAAATAAATAAATAAATAAATAAATAAATAAATAAATAAATAAATAAATAAATAAATAAATAAATAAATAAACAAACCTCCCTGGACTGGGGATCCAACCCAAAAATAGTAATTTTGAAGCTGGGGAGCATCTTGTGGTGAGCTCAGCGAACCCTTCTACCTTTATGGAGATGGCATCTCTTTCTCCCCTGGGGAGGGGGGTTGGAACAAAAGGACCCATCCTTCAGGACCACACCGCATAGAATTGGGGGCTCCTGTACCTCGGCTTCCTTCCCATTTACTGGTGGGCTCCTGTTGATCCTCTTTCCCCTGTGCTCTCCACATCTCTTTCTCCCTAAAACTGGGTTTCTCTCACAAACAGATCCATCCTCTTTGATAACTCCACATACACCACCACACCCCTCACGGGGATTGTTCTTCCGCTGGACTACTATCCGTTGGGACTTATTAAGTTCCAAAATCACGCTAGTCTGGTCGGGTTTTGAATCATTTGGGCAGTCACCTAGGTTAAATGACTCACTTGAGCTGAATCCGATGCCCAACTGAGGAAGTTTCCCCTCAGGAAATTTCCAAGTCCATGGTTTCAGCTTTGTGAGAAAGCTACGGAAAAGGCTGGCTCTTGAGAGCTTGTCTAGCTTCAAGATGATGTCTTCATAACGATAAGCAGCATTACCAATTCTATTCCAAGCATAGTCAAATACCTCAAGTAGACGAGCTTCTGCATCAAGAGCTTCTCTCTTGCTTCTCACCTGAAAGAGATGAAGAATAATCGTGAAGGTGCCCAAATGATGCAAAAAAATTCGACTATGATTGCCCATGTAAAAATTTATTGAAAGGAGTAGCTGCCGTAAGTGGCCAAGTAGACAAGTAGATTAACATCACAGAAAGGAGTAGCTGCATTCTCGTCTTTACCGCTATGGATGCTCCATGACACTCTTTGAAAAAAAAAAGCACCATAGGCAGGTTTTAAATAGCTAGCATAAGCACACTCCGAGTAACATAAGCAGCGCGTACAAGAATATAATTAAATAAATAATACAATCAGTTTTGGTATTGTATTTGGATAAATACATAAAAAAATTCATTCTTCTATGTTCCCTTAAGATAAACGAATGAATACAATATTCAATGCTATATTTGAATGGAGCTCACACCAAATGCATTGGAACATGTCATTTGAGAACGAGACATGTCATTCTATTTCTGTGAAGGGTAAATACCAAGTTAACTATAGTATGTGCAAGATAATTACGAATTATCCATATGAGATTTCTCCTTTCATGATGAAGGTGAACGATTATGCAAATCTTTCTGATTTTTTTTTCAAAAATGGACTTTACCGTGTATTCATTGAGTAGATTGAAGTATTTCAGCGATTTCTTTGAGAAGATTTAAGGAAGTCAGAATGCCTTTGAATTCGGTAACTCTCTGGAAGTGAAGAACTAATAAACATCCCTTCTACAGATAAATGAAAAGTTGTTGAATGCTTTAGAGAGCTATTGCATGGTTCACCCATCAATTAAATCATTTTCCCTGGAAGATCTTTAATTTCATATAATTTACTACTTAATATAGACTGTAGACATGATCCCATCATGCTGTTTGATAGAACTGAACAAACAAAATACTCACCGGTGCCCATCTGAACATGATAGAGAAACCCTTTGAAAACGCTTCTTTGAACAGTCCAGGTCTTCTTTGAATAGGTTTACTGATGATGCCTTTGCTTTGAAGGACGACAGTCGAATCACCGTGTTCCAAATGTGAGCCTGTTCTTCCATAATGTTGGAGCCTCGTTCTAACATTTTCAGCTTGTCCAAGGTAAACAACGACAATTTCTTTTGGATCAAACCTTCTAGAGTTGGCGGAAAGCCTAGCTATTCCAAGCTCATATATACCAGGACAAGAACAGCTGTTCGGAAGGTTATTTGTTCTGTATCTTTCTGCTCCATCCTTCCCCAACGAGTAGCTCTCCCAATCAGAGGGTCCAATGAGTATCTGAATCGGCAAAAAGGGAGCTCCATGAATAAATATTATATATCCCGTGATGCAATCGATCAACCCTAAGTACCAACTAATTATTCATGACACCATTTAAAAAACACAGATTAAAAAACTAAAGTGAGGTAATAGGATATAGAGTTTCCTGTTCTACCATAACAAGAAAGGGCACATTTGACACCAGGACATAAGTCGGAGGGAAAATTCTTAATGCAAATATCAATAAAGCATTGATATGCATCAGGGTACATTTGGACGGGATTAAATGATGGTATCAGAAAGTTTAGTCTATGCTTGAGTTTTTATGCATTACAAAATAAGTAAGTAACGATAACGTTAGGATCACCATAAATGTTGAATGAAACTTGGTTGGTGCCAGAACAGGAGGTGTAGATGTGCTCAGATATCAGAAGAAGGATGTGGAAAACATTTCAATCCTATCGTACCTAAGAAGATAACTCGTTGACTTGAATCGATACTTCCAAGATGCAAGGATGCAAATTCGGATCCATGATAACTTTGAAAGATCTATCCTCTAATCGTTTCTAAATAAGACAAAACTGGCACAGGTTATGAAGACAATCAGTTGGATTCCATACTTTGCACAATGAAATTAGTTCTATAAAAAATGAGAAAATATTATGAAAACACGCACTGATACATGATAAGAAATTCTCGATTTTATTTCATGAGGTCAATTGTAAACTTTGTAGGTAAGAAACTACATAATTAGTCCCAAAGAATACTACTGAAAGGAAAACAATGATTGTAGTATCTCAGATGGTGACCCTTCTTATCTCTCTTATCTTAATAATATATAAACATCATCTTCATCGTTGTTCTGTATCAAAACCATCTATTTCTTCGAGGATGAAGGAGAAGAATTTTGTGTGAGCGCATTTAACTGGGCTTTTCCATGTCGGATGGCCCTTCAGTAGGAAATAAATAGCACAAATTTGAATTATAATTGCTCAGGATTCCAATAGCAAAGTGTTTATAGAGACGAGTCATCGATATAATCTCCTCTATCTGATGTATCACAGCTAATCCGGCAGATCACAGTAGGCCTACACCCATGGATCGATCTCCCGCAGTAAACTCTAGTAGGCCTACCGATAGCATGATCGAACAGGCGAGGTCGGTTCGAACAGGCGTCGAAAAAAAACAACCCCGAGAGAGAAAACGATCGGGCAGAGGTGAAAAAATGCTTGCGAAGAAAAGGTACCTCCCACTTGGAGAAGGCGCAGTCGTGCTTCGTCCGCCGGGAGTCTTCCCTCTTCAACCTGCAACCATTAGCCACTGCCACCGCTTCCTCCCTTGCTCTCCTCACCTTTGTGGCCTTCCCATCTTTCCCTTCACCCAGCCGCCAGGCTACTCCCATCTGATCTGAGCCGGCAAGTCGACCGTTAGTGGACCCTTTTATATCGACGCAGGCCTTAGCCGACCCTAGGATATCCACTGTGCGGTGAATTCACCGCTAGAATGCCATCAGCTCCCACGACCCCACAGTTGGCTGCGGTGAGGAAGGAAGAGTGCTGCAGTTAGCTGGGCCGGTCAAAGGCTTCGCTTTGCCACTGATAAAGGGTAAGAAGATGATCGAGCGGATTGGGCTGGGAGGGAGCTGGGGGGAGGGAGAAGGGAGGGGGAGATGAAGGGGAAGGATGACTACGGGGCCTTCTTGGAGAAATTCGAGCTGCGGGCGCCTCCACCTCCGGAGGGTTCTACCACCCGGCTGCTCCCTCTGCGGGGTCTCACCTTCGCCGTCAAGGATATGTACGGTCCCTTTCAGCTGCTGTTTTCGTCTTGCGTTGAATTCCATACGAGGTTCCTCTGTTGTGTAAGAGTTCTATCGGGAGATTCATGTTGTGATTTCGACTCGGTTATAATAAATATATACTATTTGGCGTCACGTTCGTCTTGGCGTTCAGTTAATTTAATTTCTTTCATCAGTAATGAGAAACACCTACGGGTTGGACTCCGATCATCCCGTTTTTCCTGTTATCTAATTATAAAAAATGAAGGAGGGGGGTAGACTCTCTCTCTCTCTCTCTCTCTCTCTCTCTCTCTCTCTCTCCACCCACCAAAATTGTCACAGCGGCAGCTTCTATCAGTTTGAGTGCATGTTTCTCATTTCCCTTTTGAAAATTTCAGGGCATGATCCAAAAGGGAAAATTAAGGACGTTAGTAAAACAGCATGTGAGCTCACGCTATGCTTATAAGCTTCTAGTGATCTCCTAAGCTGGACCTTATCTACTCCATATTTCATTCCACTAAAATTTTCCCTTCAATGATAGGAAGATTATCTGAAAGATTACCTTGTCATCCTTCTTTCTAAGTAAATTTTTTTGTCTGCAGGTTTGACATCAGTGGCCATGTGACTTGCTTCGGCAACCCAGACTGGGCAAGGACTCATGCAGCTGCTACCACAACATCCCCCGTTGTTTTGGCTGTAATTAGAGCTGGTGCAATTTGTGTTGGAAAAACTGTAATGGACGAGATGGGTTACAGGTTCGTATTAGGGAAGTTTATCTTGGGCATTTGAGTAAGTACTAATACCACGCGAAATCCCTTTGACTATATACTTCATACAGGTTATCAACATGCTTTGAGCAGTTTACCTGTCTTGGCAGTAACACATTCCCATAAATTTCTCACTTCTCAACGTCTACCATATCTAGCAATTCTGTGTAATTCTTGGCTTGAGTAATATTATTGGAATGTCGAATCACTTTCCATTCAGAAGTAATTTTATGGAATGAATCTTGGATATTGTGATCATGCTCGTTATTACATCATGGTAACACATTTTTGATTATGCTCAGTATCGACGGACAAAACAAGCATTATGGGACACCCACTAATCCATTGGCTAAAGATCGGGTGCCAGGAGGATCATCAAGTGGGTCCGCTGTAGCCGTGGCTGCAAAGCTCGTTGACTTTGCGTTAGGTGAAAACTCCTTAATCTGAAGTTTGAGATATTTAAGGCAGGGGACTGTTTAGGCGTATATATGATGCAATCAGAGTGCAGGACCTAACGTTCCTGTGCCGAATTAGGATTTTTCCGGCTTAATCTTCACGGTCTTTATCCTGTTCAAGTAGATGCAGTAATGTGTTGCGAAATTCGTCCAGTAGAAAAGAGAAATGATAAATGCACCACTAACTATCGCTATGGGGTTTGTCTTGGTGATTTTTCCCCCTAATCGTATCATTAATCTTATAATTTCGGTTTATGGGAAGCATCATTATCATCCAATAAGAAGAGTTTCAATTTATTCAAGACTGGTCAACACTGTTGGAGAGTTTAACCGTTAGTACGTTTCAACTCATAGATCGACAAAGGATACTATGTAAGACTCTTTTCTTCAGGTACTGACACTGGTGGAAGTGTGAGAGTACCTGCATCTTACTGCGGAATTCTCGGCATTCGACCTTCACATGGAGTTGTTGACGCAGCTGGTGTTGTTCCAATGGCACAGAGCTTTGACACTGTTGGTGAGGATAAATAGAACGTTGAATCCACCTCTTAGTATCTCCTCCTCTTTCGGTAAATGCATCATAAACGGTCATGTATTGACATTTCTGTGTTTTATCTCGGCAAACTTTATTGATTCGCTGTTGCTGTTGTTTTGATCGTGTCCTCCTCAGACGAGAGAGTTTAAATATTTTATTTCATACACCGTGAAATCTTAATTGCTGATAATTACTAGAAAAGTCCCAAGTGAGAGGGATAAGTTGAATATTGTGCGATAAATAAAGGATTTTGTTGTTATAAATTAATAATATATGATTTCTCGTGTTCGTTTGACTTAATAATAATTTTGAAGCACGGTTTTCGTGTTTTCTGCAAAATAATTACAGGGTAAATATTAAAGTTCTAGCTAGAGGGATTGTTCCAAAATGTAAGCCTTTTCCGAAACTTGGCTGTTTTGGGTACTTTACTGATCCTTCCTAGAGTAGCTGGTTCTTGATCGATCCGATCTGTTCGCTACCCAAATTATTTTCCATAGAGTGTCAAAGAGGGCTTGGATCAACCAGTCTTTATTCAATTCAGATCGGGATGAACAATGGCTACTCTGTCTAAAAATCCAACCGAGGATTCAATGGTCTTGTCCCGGTTCTGATTCCATTTGTATTCAGATTATACTTGATGGTCGTCGAAAGAATCTATGACTGTTGCATGAGTCGAAATTTTTTAGTTCTTGTCAGTTTTTTCTGTACCTGATCAGAATCTGTCTTCACCATCCTGCCATGTCCTGTTCTGATTTTGTCCCAGTCTAGACAAACCTGTTTTAGCAATGTGTTCCTCACTAAATCACTTAATATTTCTCTAAAATTACTATTACCCAATAATCAATGAATTTCTCAAATGAATGAATGGTGCGGATTCGGTGACAGATTGGAGATGGTGATAAATTAATTTCGCAAATGGTTCTCCCTTTTACGAATTAATTGATATTTCAAATGAATGTCACCACACTAAATGGGCAGAGAAATTGAGAAGACAGTTCTTCCTAAGTTTTCCTTTTGGGACACCCACTTTCTGTCTATTGGAATCTTGTATTGATACGATTGTTTTCTATGCATCGATGTGAATTTACAGTGGGCCGAGTGATGTATACACCTATTGGTGGGATTATTTAGTGATAAAATTTTTATGACAGTTAGTTGTAACTCAGATTTATTCTACTCTTTCCCACGCTATCAGTTTGAACATTGTAATCACAAGTTGGATAGATAAATTCACATAAAATCAGTGCACTGTTGCATTATTTCCCCGCAATTATCGTCAGCACTTGATTTCTGATATCAGGGGATTTAGCCGCCACAGAGCCTGAGATAACTCCCTCAATAGCTGAAAGATTTATCCTATATTTATTCATTTTACTCAGACCTTTCTTTGTGTTTTTTTTTATGTTGTTTGTGTTCCAAGAACTGATATCATTTATTTATTTTGTTCTATCTTGATCAATATTATCTACATCTGTGGAAATATTTGACTAATATAGGGAATATTAGTCTTCTTGATGATCATTAACGGGTATTTGGTCTCAGGTTGGTTCTCTAGGGACCCTATGATCCTAGCTAGAGTAGGGGAGGTGGTGTTGCCACCTCATGTTTCAAACAGTGATCTGCCCAGTCGGGTTCTCATCCCCGATGACTGCTTTCAGCATCTGAGTTCTTCAGGCAGCAGACCATGCGAAATATTTACCGAATCCATAACTAAAGCAATTGGTCGTAAGTTCCTATCACATGTTTCATCACAAGGTAACATGTGATCGGTCAAGTAGCTGATATTTTACGTTTCATTATTTCAGATCTGATCCACTTAGATCTTGGTGAATATATCACGAATAATGTTCCCAGTTTACATTATTTTATGCACCGACTCTCGGACGCAAGCACTTCCAAGAATGCTGGAATACCAGTGTTTTCTGCTCTATCACATGCCATGCAAACACTTCAAAGGTAGCACCTTTTTTTTAACCGCTGCTTGGAATTGCTTGCAGTTATTCGTTAAATTATGATCCTCAAATCATCACTGGGGAGACCCGCAGGGATCCCCATCCCCCTTTTCCCTTCTGTGAGTGTTAACATCCATCTAAGAGAGAGAGAGAGAGAGAGAGAGAGAGAGAGAGAGAGAGAGAGAGAGAGAGAGAGAGAGAGAGAGAGAGAGAGAGAGAGAGAGAGAGAGAGATTCTGTTCCATGATGTCCTTTGGAAAGTATCTTAGCTTTTACCATCGGATTGGATCTAGTCTTAATGCCTTAAATCCTTGGCTCTGGCGTGTAGGTTTGAGTTTAAAAGTAACCATGGGGACTGGGTCAACGCTACCAGACCCGATTTAGGCCCAGGTATATTCGAACGAGTTTGGGAAGCTGTTAAGACCGTGGATGAAGACGCCATCCCTCACTGCTACTCTGTCAGGTCTGAACTCAGAGCTGCCCTCGATGAACTCCTGAAGGTACAACCGATAACTCCGGCTTACCCATCACACTTCATTGCTTCTACATCGAATCCTCACTAGTCTCTTTTACCCATTATCGCTGAAGGATAATGGGGCCCTTGTCCTCCCCACACTCCCTGGCCCTCCCCCCAAGCTGAACACCGACCCATCTCTGCTGAAAGACTTCCGTTCGAAGGCTTTCAGCTTGCTCTCTATTGCCGGCATGTCAGGACTTTGCCAGGTATTTTCATTCCTCCTCTCATGATTTCCACCTTTATCTGTGCCCATATACTTGCAAAGAAGCTGACTTGCAGCCTTCCAAATGCGGCAAATCGCAGGTTACCATACCTCTGGGCATGGATGACGACCTGCCCATGTCCATCTCCCTCTTAGCCAGGCACGGTGGAGATGGGTCTCTTCTTAATCTCGTGAAGACCCTGTACTGAAGTTCCTCGAGGGAGGGAGGGGAGGTAAATCGTGTTCTTGCGGCTTATTACTGATTGGACTGTCTCTCATCTGTCAATGCAGCTATGACAGAAATTTTTATCTGTTTACCCGTTGAAGCCGCCCTGAAAAATACTATTAATGGCTGTCTTCAGTGCGTTTCTTGGGTGTCACTCTTTGGTGAGATGGGTGCTTTTCATTCAGGCTGGTGAATGAGAATCGAACATCTTATTTCATGAGCGAGCGAGAGAGAGAGAGAGAGAGGTTTTAAAATGAAAATAATTTATGCCTAATTTTGATCTGGATGGGCAGATTGGCCCGCAATTCGATCCTATTTTTAGAAAAAAATTAGATGACTTTGCTCTTTTGGCGATCAGCGCTGAAGGGGAATGATGCCACTCTGTTTTAATGAATGCTCGCGCGGTAGTCCACATGGCCTGCCACATGGCCTCGCGACTGATTCTGGCTACCCATCGTTTTATCTAATTCTAGGGGCTTACACGCACACACACGCACGCACACGCACACATAAATAAATAAATTATATATATAGATACATATATATATATATATATATATATAGGGAGAGAGAGAGAGAGAGAGAGAGAGAGAGAGAGAGAGAGAGAGAGAGAGAGAGAGAGAGAGAGAGAGAGAGAGAGGTTTTTAAATAAAAGATAATTCATGCCTCATTTTGATCTGGACGGACCGAGCTTCGGCGAATTATGGGCCGGTATAAAAAAACACAACAGTCCACGTGTATTGTCCAGGCCTTCATCACATGGCGTCTCCCTCAATCCGGACGCCACGTCGCCAGGCTCTCTTGCCCCCAGCTGTCCGCATTCTCCCACCCACCACAGTTAAAACCTTGCCACCCCGTAGCTCTCTCATCCGCACTGTTCGACGCCCTCGCTTCCTTGAAGTCCTCTCGCCGCCTTCCCCTCCGCCGTTTCTCTGTCTCTCTGCAGAGAAAAGACCCCCAGAAGAGGAAATCTCGCATCCCGGAGGCTTAGACCCTCGGAGACGATGGCCACCGGCGAGCAATCGTTCCCCCCTCAGACTCAGGAGAAACAGCCCGGCAAGGAGCATCTCATGGAGCCCTCTCCTCAGGCTGCCGCTGGCGACTACAAGCCCGCCCACAAGCTCCGCGTAATCCCTCCGCCACTCTCCGGCTAGTTCCTTCCTTTCTCTTCTCGCCACAGCGTCTCTTTGTTCGCAGGGGAAGGTGGCGCTGGTCACCGGCGGCGACTCCGGGATCGGCCGCGCCGTGTGCTACTACTTCGCGCTGGAGGGAGCGACGGTGGCGTTCACTTACGTGAAGAACCAGGAGGACAAGGACGCAGCCGACACGCTGCAGATGCTCAGGCAGGCCACAGTGGAGGAAACGAGGGGCCCCATCGCCATCGCCGCCGATCTCGGCTACGAGGACGCCTGCAAGAAGGCGGTGGACGACGTGGTCGCCGCCTTCGGCCGCGTTGACGTCCTCGTCAACAACGCCGCCGAGCAGCACGTCGCCCCCGAGCTCCAGCAAGTTGACGAGGCCCGCCTGGAGAGGGTCTTCAGGACCAACTTCTTCTCCTACTTCTTCATGGCCAAGTAAGAGGGAGGAAGAAAGAGAGAGAAACCCGCCTCCCATATTATCGGGATATACGGGTCAACGGATGTCCTCTGTGGAACAGGTACTGTCTGGATCACATGAAGGCGGGGAGCGCCATCATCAACACGACGTCGGTCAACGCGTACAGGGGCCACCCGACGCTGATCGACTATACAGCGACGAAGGGGGCGATCGTGGCCTTCACGAGGGCTCTCCACGCGCAGGTCGTCGGCAGGGGAATCCGGGTCAACGCGGTGGCGCCGGGGCCAGTGTGGACGCCGCTGATCCCTTCCTCTTTCCCGGAGGAGAAGGTGGCCAACTTCGGCAAGAACGTTCCCATGGGCCGCGCCGGTCAACCCCACGAGATTGCCCCCTCCTTTGTCTTCCTCGCCTCCGATCAGGACTCTTCCTACATCGCCGGCCAGGTCCTCCACCCCAACGGTAAAATATCGCCGCCGCCCTCTCCGCCGCAACGTTCGATTTCCTCATCTCTGCTCCTCGCTTCTACCATGCAGGCGGCGTCGTCGTCAATGGCTGAGCACCTGGGTTCCCCCTCTCTCTCTCTTTCTCGCTCTATGTCTCAGTCTAGAACTGTGTACTCTGGGGTTGTGACGGTGGTCTGACTACCGTGTTGTGAATAGACAGTTTCTCTGCGTGTAATAATACAAGGGTTTACACGTTGGAATGAGTTTCCGGGGTTGAGCTAGAGTTGCACTCCGCACGTGCGGGAAGCCCCCATCAGAACGGCTTTATCTTCGTAACTATCGGGGATATCGCGTGTGTGGCTGAGGTGGCGGCTCAACTCGTGGGCCGGTTAAGTCCTTACTCAGCCCATTAGGATCGGCTGATTATGGGCATTTTACGGGGTGTATTAGTTACTAATCTTTGCTTAATTGGGGGAGGAATACTGGTCAGGGGAATATTCCAAACCCACGTGCCCACCACCTTGGGGTCCATTGTCCACGCTGGCAGTAGATGTTAGTTAGTGTGGTCCCCACCAGGCAGTTGGGTCCCGCGCAGACTTGAATTGGTGGATGCGCTTCGCGCCTGCGGATAACGTGGACGAAGGGGAAGAGGACGTTCGAATGAGCTCAGTGCGTCGTCCTCACTTACCGTCTCTGCGACTCCGGTGATCACCGCCGGCAGGAGCCGCCTTCTCTAGACTTCAACCTTCTTCCGCCATGGCGCTGCGGATGGAGGGAAGGATCACGCTGTCGGCGGCGCGCCTGGAGACGGAACGGGTTGGAAGCTTCCGGCGAGGGGAGCTGATGGGAGGGAAGATCAGGCGGGTGGGATTCTCCGACTCCGGCGATGGGAGGAGGGTGGTGAGGACTCTGCGTAGGTGTCTTCCGCGCATGTCCATCACCACCGAGTTGCCGGAAGAGATTGCGGTGCGTCGGCATTCTTCTCCTCCGTCGTCCTCTGTTTTTCTTTAATTTGGTCGTGCACTTCAGGTCTCTCCACCGAGGAGGTCCCTCCCCGTATCCATCATACGTGTGAGTGTCTCTCCCCTGAGGGAAAGGCTGCAAGTGCCGCGATGACGATGGAGTTGAATGGTAGGAAGGGACGTAGAATCGAGAAGGTTGGTCCACAAGGAGCAACGAATGGATTCACGATTACTCCTGAGTTTCGTGCATCCGAAATTCCTGTGTTATATAATTCACGTTGTAGATATATGTTTAAGCGATAATCTCTCTCTCTGTGCACAACGAAGAGCAGAAAATCAATAGTCAGGATTCTCGTAACGTAGCACCACAACCAGGGACAGCACCGAAACTCCGCCGCAGCGTCTTTCCTGATTCAATGGCTGTTCAATCTAGAAACAGTAATGAGATGGAATGAGGAGGATCAAAGAGTATCTAAGGAATCCTTCAAAACACTTCAGAAAGCTTTCAGATACTGACTATGAATGAAAAAATATTTTGCACTTAAGGAACCAGAATTTTAGACGATATTGTCTATTCATATCTTTCCATGCTTGTGTTCTATTTTCGGTGAAATCTCATCGACGATGTTTACTCATGCATAATATTTTAATCTATACTTTACAGTTGGAGTAATGGAATTATCGTTGAAGGTGTGCAGTTCAAAGATTTGGAAATGGAGAGGAGGAACCCTAGATCGGTTGTGGCGATCATCCTAGGAGGCGGCGCTGGAACGCGTCTCTTCCCGCTTACCAAGCAGAGGGCAAAGCCCGCCGTAAGTGCTTTCTCTATCAGTAGTAGCAATAGTGGAGATTGCGGTAGACAAGATGGGATATGACAATGGAATCAGAGATCTTCCTTTCTTGCTCTCTCTTATTTTTAATCTCTTATATATATATTTTTTATTCAGTCTCTTTTAAGCTCATATTTTTTCCATTGATGGTGTCCTTTCTTCTCTGTGTAGGTGCCGATAGGCGGTGCTTACAGGTTGATTGACGTCCCCATGAGCAACTGCATCAACAGTGGTCTCAACAAAGTGTACATCCTCACCCAGTTCAACTCCGCATCATTAAACCGGCACCTTGCAAGGACATACAACTTGGGCAACGGAGTAAACTTTGGAGATGGTTTTGTGGAGGTACGTGCCAAAATGGTCGATACTTGCATTTTCATTGGATCACTTGTTTCAGGAACTGATTATAGCGGAGAAATGTCCACTTTATTATTTGTTATCACAATCAGGGTTTCATTATATGCATTTAAAGAGAAGACATATTCTGGAAACTGTGGACTGTTTTGCGACTCCGCATTTGCTTCGAAGAAATAATTGTTTTAGTAGCTGTAGAACATTAGTGCTAATTGAAGAAGAAGGTAATTGTAAGGCTATCAAACTATTTTTTTTCACATTTCTTCTTCATGATTTTCCACTCAAGTTCTAGTCGTCCACTTTGGTTTACTGTCACTTGGACATTTAATCATCGCACATGAATTGAACGCATGCCACTGGCATAAAGACACAAAAAAAGGATATTCAACCTATTTTATGATTCACTTGTATACTAATCACTTCAAGAGCAATTGTCCACTAAGGAACATTGCACGACTGCAACACGAATCTAGGAACTTTCTTCTTGCACAATATTATTCGAAGAGATGTCTTCTAACAAAAAAAAAAGACCACTGAAATGCTATGCCCGTGGAATATCGGCATCTAGTTGCCCACAATATCTATTCCACTGTGTGTCGCAATATAGATGAGAATATAAAATGATAGATTCATATTCGGAATCTCCACCCTCTGCTCCGACACATCAAGGCCTTATTCTGGTCGGTCTACGTTCCAATCTTACGTCTAAGAATATGATCGTGGAGCATGCCTTTCAAGAGAACTGAAGGATTAATTGCCTTGTTTTTTATTAACCTGAGGATATCTAATCTGTCTTCCCCAAAAGGTTGGGCCTTTGGAATCTGTGAGTTTTTACGATATTGAAAATATGAGATGATTCCGTGTTGTTTTCGCGCGCGCTCCCCAAAGTGAATTAATGAAATCAGGTCTGAGTTCATCAGGAGGAATCGAGTAGTAAAAGAGTTATTCTTTTTTAGCCATTAATTAAGTTACCGCTATTCTACTGGGTTCTTGAACTTGATACATGGTGTAGAAACTGGTATTTTAGGACTGGATCGTCATCTACACATTGTAGCATATATATTCTTCCTTTTTCTAGAAAAGGTTTTCTCGATCCCAAGTCTCTCCTTTGACCAAAATACCCGGATAAAAACGCTGAAAAAATGTATCATCTTATGCTTGTGGGTACCTTAATTCCTAATTGTGTCATAATTCGCAGCCATGGCACCAGACTTAGTTAAGTTGGAATTATTTTTCCAGCATAATGAACAAATCAAAATGTTTTGGTTTATCGTCTCATTGAAAAATATACAACTAATTTTAATTGATTTCCCCCCAACATAACAGGTTCTTGCAGCAACCCAGACTCCAGGTGAAGCAGGCCAGAGATGGTTCCAAGGAACTGCCGATGCAGTTCGCCAGTTTCATTGGCTTTTTGAGGTACTTTGTACTTTATTTTTCTGGAAAAACACTATTTTATTTAACATTCATGTCTTTCTTTTCGAAGAAGGTTAGAAAAAGTTGGTGATTTACTTGAAACTCTAATGTTTTAAATATTTTAATCCAAAATATATCCCTATTAACAGTGCATATTGAAAATGATGAAAATGGAATGAGTTAGGCCTTCTACGTCTTGGGAAAGGATACTCTTTATTTTGTCTACGTGATCCTAAAATGCCAGAATTTTGGCCTCTTTCTCTCTCAATGTGGCCTCAAAGTAGTGAGTTTAATTTATTGTAATGGATGATGCTCGGATAAAAAATAAATATTAACCAAGTTTGCTTTAGGTCGCACATCATATGTAGGTGCATGCTAACAGAGAAATCATGGAAGCATTCTTTCAGTAAAAAAATATGAAAATTAATCTACGAGAAATGAGGACAGTAGAGAAACGTTACCTATCACTGTAAATAATTACTGATGAAAGCATAAGAACTACTAAAGGAGGGAATGGAGAACAGGACAGAGGGCAGTGATTGAGACGGGGGAGAATGATGTTTAGAAAGCGGAAGACGCTATTGATGCTTCGTTCTGTATGTGGAATAATAGGAATGCAAAGAAATATCAAGTCGGTGAAATCAGATTGCGTCCAGCACTGAATCATTCGTCCCTGTATGTGGGTGAGTTTAAATAAACGTGTTCACGGACAGAATCTGGAGATCGAGTTACTTCGTCAAATGGAGTATTAATTACTATCTTGTATGGGAAATTTCCCCGTTTTGATACTTCCATCACATTCTTTTAAATTTTTTATGGGAAGCTGAAGCTTCTGAACTATGCCTCATTCTCGTGGGGATTTGAGGAGGCAGAACCTTCCAAAACTGAAGTAATGGCTTTTACGTGGTATTTCAAAATTAACTGGAATAATATTTTTGATGTGGATGAAAAATTCAAAGATTTATAAATTGGCATTTTAGGTACATTAGACATATATATATATACAGGGAGATAAATACATATGCCACATACATTCATCTTTTCTACTGTCAGCTTTTGTATATGCTGATTTTTTTTGCTTATAGGATGCAAGAGCTAAAGATATTGAGGATGTATTGATTCTCTCTGGTGATCATCTTTATCGTATGGATTATATGGACTTTGTTCAGGTGAGATATTTGATTTGGCGTTTCTTCCGACTTTATTTCCCATTAGAATGCTAAATGTTCCTTGTTTCTTCCAGAGACATCGACAGAGTGGAGCTGATATCACCATTTCTTGTCTTCCTATGGATGACAGGTATTTTATAGTCTCATTACATAATTCACTGTGTTTTTATAAAATTAGGAATGTAAGATTTTTCCCAGGATAAACGAATTTGAACCATGAAATTAATCTTAAGAAGCGGCCTAAAAGAAGTCTGTCGATTAGTGGGAGGATAGTTCTGATTAGACTTGTCTGGGATAATGCTAAGTAGGCAAGGTTGGAACATTCTGGACGATAAATTGCGAGTCTAGGTTGTTAAAGAACTATCTTTTGAGCAGCGGACAAGATTTCTGGCTTTACCCAGGCCTATATTTCAACTCCCTCGTCGGTCAGTCTTTGAGGCTCGAGTCCTTTGTCCAAGCAAGAGTGAAGCGCGCCTACTGTCTGCAAACAAAAAAAAATTCAAGCATATTTTTTACTTTCCGAAAATTATTTTTTTGAGTATGAGAATGGTAAATTACCTATAATATTATTTTTTTCTACATGATGTATCAAATTACTGAATTTTTTCTGCGTTCTTCCTGACAGCCGTGCATCGGATTTTGGTTTAATGAAGATTGACAACAAAGGCAGGGTAATGTCTTTCAGTGAAAAACCTAAAGGAGACGAATTGAAGGCAATGGTGAGTTATATTTTTCCCAAAAATTTGTAGATCGTTACTGATTGCAGACATAATATGATTTAAAAAATACTTATGTCTACGTCTTCTTTAGGAGGTGGATACAACTGTACTGGGACTTTCCCGAGATGAAGCTAAAAAAAACCCATACATAGCCTCCATGGGCATATATGTGTTCAAGAAGGAGTTGCTTTTGAACCTATTAAGGTACATCATCACAGTTGTTCTAGTAGTTATATATAAAACCAATGAAGCTATTTTTTTGGTCATCTATCCTACTTTCAGGATGATTAGGTTTCTTATTTTTTAATTTATTTTTCATCATCTTGTCTCCAGCGGACATTCTTTCCGCTTTTTCTCTTTCTTGATTACACTTATTTTCAAATGCTAAATTATTTTAAATCAATGATTTATAGAATTTATTTCCCTGTGAATTGTCCTTCTAAACATTCGTTGTATCCTTTCTATGCATTTATACATCTGCATTCCCCGCAAGGGTGGGGTGGATATCTGAATAATATAGTAATGGCAGGTTTTTCCATTATAAGTAAGTTCCGTTACATAATCCTACTTGGGTTGAAATTTATATTCAATTTCCACTCTTTTTGTGCTAGTCACATCATTATTTATGAAATATGCTAATTGTGGACTGAATTTGCTCCAAACGGTCTTCTTATTGGTTATCTTGAAGATCTTGGTGTCCTTCATATTTAGGCCATTAATATACTTTTTTTTTAATAAATTATTTTTTATCCTGATATTAGCTATCTTGAAGAGACTGATGTATTACTGACAACTTCATTTTTTTTCTCTTATTTTTCGTCAGATGGCGTTTTCCTACTGCAAATGACTTCGGATCCGAAATTATCCCTGCATCTGCGAAGGAATTCTTTATTAAGGTGCGCACTAGAAGTCCACTGCATCAGACCAGTTCCCCACCTCCCCCCACCCTCCTCGGTTCTAGGTCGTCTAGTAGAAGACTTTTTATTTATCATCTTATATACATTAAATATTTTTAATTAACGAATTTTAGTAATGTTTTGAACTCAATGTTTCTGTTTATCCACAACAGCACAAAAATTTCATCTACGACTGAGATATTCACTTAATAGTTGTGGTAGTGATTTCCCCAAGTTATTAGAAGAGTTATGAGTGATACGACCCCAACAAGTAATCAGGTGCAACGTTTATGAGTGCCAGCCACCACCCTGTCCACCTTTAAAGTCCATTTGACGTCCTCTCACCAAAATTTAAAGGTTGTTAATTATTTTTCAATGTTTTTAGAGGAGTCCCGGAAGACAAGTCTTTTGGGATCATTCATATCGTTTAGTTCGCACAGCTGTGAAAACTTAGGTTCAGTCCCTCCAAAACATATCTCGTGGGCCTTTTTGATCAGTTGGTTTCCAATCGTCTCGTATTCAATACTTTTCTTCATTTTAAGTTTAAAACTATATGGGTCTATCACTTTTCTACGCTGGAATACTTTAAATATTATGTGACCCCTCGGAGAACAATAGAAGGTGCTCTCTTACCTTTATCATTTCTTATTTACCTGGTTAACCTGAGATGTCCGTTTCAGGCATACTTATTTAATGATTACTGGGAGGACATTGGAACGATCAAATCCTTCTTTGAAGCAAATCTCGCACTTACTGCACACGTAAGAGATTATTTATTTAGATTTATCCTTCTTCTTTGATGAGACATGTCATCATCTTATTGATAGTCTTCATCTGGTATTATCATTTCTTCTTATTTATGGTTAAGTGAGCACATAAGTAATATCATCAAACAAAAAAATTGTATAAAACTAATAGCATCAACATAACGCCATAGGTGACTGAAAACTAGCTTTTCACAGTACATGCGGTCATAATTTTTTTTCGGGGTAGGAGGTAATCGTAAGAACATATGGAGCCCATCATATTCTTCTGTAAATAGCATAAATGCTAAAGAGTAGGAAATTGAAAAACTTGGGGATTGGCCCAGAATTAGGCACTTAATTATGGAAAATCGTCCTGCAATAGTGGTATTCTTGATAAAAAAAATTATATAAAGTATATGTGCGATGAATTCTAGGTATCTGTCCAGGAAAAATAAAACCACGTAGGGTTTGTATGAGAACTGATGCAAGCGAATTCTGGAGGTGCTGACTGCATTAGCTGGAGAAATGACAACATACTTCACCCCCTTCCTGTAACTGTTCGTTTCTGGAATTGGCAGCCACCGCGGTTCAGCTTTTATGATGCAGCAAAGCCGATTTATACATCGAGGAGAAATCTCCCACCATCAAAGTTTGACAATAGCAAGGTTGGTTGCTGTTATTTATGAATTTAAAAATATTATATTCGTTTAAAGGCTCATTTTTCTGCATAGATGCGAAGGATATTACTTTAATTTAATTTCTGTTTTGTTTGTGCAATAACTAAACAAAAAAGGCCATGTAACTAATGAGAATATGCCACTTGAAATGCGACATATATTATCAGGAATTTAAATTCTTGTTCTTCTAAGTGAGAATATTTTTATTTCAATATTAGATTTATCTTTTGGAGAAAACTAAATTACTCAATGTTGCTTGGAATTGAGAAAATCGTGAATCTATCTACACGTCAAACAATGGAGCCTGGAAACTCAAACGCCAAACAATTGTCTTTCGATGAAAAATATTATGCCACATTGACTGTTGTACTGGATTTTTATTTATTTATTTATTTATTTTACCCTAAAGGTAATAACCACACCTTTAACGAAAGGTGTTCAAAATAGGCTCCAAGAAGTGCTTGGAGTCTTATCTCGTGAATTTTTTCTTGAAGCCTTGGAAACGAAGGATCGATCAAGCCAGAAATGATTAAATATAGTCTTATGCCTATTTTGGGAACGGAAATAATCAGTCAACGTCTTTCTGTCGGGCTTTCTTATGGCTTGGTTTCCAGACTGTAATCATCCTACAGGCACAATGTTCTGCGATAGGGATTACCGAGTTCCTTTGAAAGACCGAGGCAGCACTGGACTAGGTTGTTTTTAAACTAATATTCCTGGCATGCCGTCTAAAACAGACTAGGAAATATTAAAAAAAATTAAATATCCTAATCATCATATCTCTAGTTTCCTTGCTTGAAAAAGAAGAATGAATTAAGATTTTCTGTTTCGAACTGTTCTCAGCTGATCCTCCTCATCTTGTGCGGAGAAGAAATATTGAAGATTTCTTACACTTGGAATTGTATTTATTTTATTTCAAGATTGTGGACTCAATTGTATCCCACGGAAGCTTTCTAGACAATTGCACCGTAGAGCATAGTGTCGTCGGCATCCGCTCTCGCATCAACTCAAACGTTCACTTGAAGGTGCGTTGTATATGCGCTAACAAGTACTTCAGCCCTCCCTCGGCAAGCCCATGCTCAGAAAAAAATAGATAAACTCCTGGGACCGTATGCAGGACGCCGTTATGCTTGGTGCTGACTACTATGAGACGGAGGATGAAGTGGCCTCCTTGATCTCTGAAGGGAGGGTCCCCATTGGAATCGGAGAGAACTCAAAGATCAGGTCCTTCTCACCAGACCCACCCTGAACGCATTCTATCTATCCTCTAGTGTTCCTTGTGTTGTCTGACTATGATCACTCTTCACAGGAACTGTATCATCGACAAGAACGCACGGATCGGAAGAGACGTCAATATTTCTAATTCCGAGGTGCGCGCCCTTTCTGACCCCAATAAAACCCGTTGACTTATCCGGAGTTTTGGCTGATGATTGAAGAATATATATGTCTATAATTGACAGTAAACGAGACTATTATTCCATGAAATAACTGAATCGGTGTTGCTATAAATCTGAACTCGATTACTCTAATGATCGATGCTACCCACTCTCTTTTATTTGTTATTTTTTCTATATATTTTTTATTGTTGTTGTTGTTGTTGTACTCTTTTCTCTGAAAGGGTTTATTGATATTGTTTCTAACTGGTACTGTACGATTTCAGGGGATCCAGGAGGCCGACAGATCTTCTGAAGGGTTTTACATCCGATCCGGCATTACCGTAATATTAAAGAACTCAACGATTAAGGATGGCCTTGTTATATGAAAACTGTTTTTATTGAGCATGTGGATCGTTCGATGCCTTATTATTATTGATGTGATTCCATCCAAGGGTGGTCACCCTGCAGATTTGTAGAGGGAAAAAATATTCGGTATTCTGGAAATAAGCTCTTGCTTTCTTCCGGCAACTAGCCAAGACAGTCCCGGTGAGCTCCGCTGCCTCCCCCCTCCCCCTCCCTTTTTATTTTTTATTTTTTATTTTCATCTTTTGAAAGTGTGATGATGTTTGTTCATACACTCGGCCATTTGTGATCTCAAGACACGGATCCTTCACGCCCATCAATCACTTGATCAGATTCTCTGTCTTTGTGTCGTCTGGGCACAATTTCCTTTCTCAACAAATAAAAAAGAAAGAAAGAGAAGAGACGAGATTCTGACGGTTCATTGTTTTCATGATATTAGAATATATTCTGTGCTCTCCACAGAATATATTCTTTTCAATGTGAAACTGTTCTAGCATGTTTAGTCATCATAGGATTTGCACAACAAAAAAAAAGAAAAAAAGAAGAGGAGCAGTTCTTTTTTTATAAAAAAAAACAAAATTTATAAAAAAGTGGAAAGCTCTATCTACGGCAGAGAATGCAGTAGAATAGAGACGCAGTAGAACCCTAAACCGAAGGAATGATGAAAAGAAGAAGAAGAAGAAGGGCCTCTGGGGGGGTTATCGGCCCGATGATAATATTAGATGGGGTCAGGCAAAAAGAATCGGACAAAATTTCGCAGGAGATGCGGGCAAAAAGTCTGGGGCAAGACAACTAAGCTAGCTCTTGAACCTGATACTGCGGCTGACTCTCGTGTTGATTCCAGAGGCCTCTCCTCCGTACGGACCCGCTGGCTTCCGAATGTCTCGGACTTGCCCTTTCCGACGCACCACGGCTTTCTCGTGTTTGAGCTGGAAATCGGACCAAGAGGGGAGAGAAAATCACCAACTCATGAGAGAGAGAGAGAGAGAGAGAGAGAGAAGAGCAGCAGAGTTTTGGTGAGAAACCCAAGTAAAGAGAGTGAGAGAGAGAAAAGAGCAGCAGAGTTTTGGTGAGAAACCCAAGTAGAAAGAGAGAGAGGAGAGCAGACGAGTTTTTATGAGAAACCCAAGCAAACTTGCCTTGTATTTCTTTCGTGGGATCTTAGTGAGCTTCTTCCGTTTGCGCGTAAGCCCCTTGTTCTTCTCCATCTGGTCGACGAGAACAAGGATTAAAGGCAGCTCCAGGATCTAACCTCGTCAAGCAGGATTGGGGGCCGAGACCCACTCAAATCGCCTTAGAAACACTAACCTGATAGGTGATCTGCCGCTTGCCATCAGCTTCAGTCTCTATAGATGATGGAACCACTGGATCTCTGCGAGGTCAACGTAGAAACACAGTCAGAAGGAAAAGCCGCTTCGGTTATGAGGCAAAAAAAAAAAAAAAAAGGGGCACCCATTGGTCAGAGAATTAATTTTCCGCTGAATGCGTGCCTCGTGTATAGCGCAGCCTTTGCCGAGAGCTTCGTGAGCCTCTGCCTCTTCACTTCCTTGTAAAACTCGTCCTCTGATTCCACCTGTCCAAGGTCAGTCTCCGTATCATCATCAGTGCCCCGCGATCTGACGGCTCTGTCGTCATCATCCAGGGAGCCGGCTCCCGATCTGGCGAGGACCCGGTGGTCGTACTTTCTCCGCTTCTCTCCGATATTCTCCCTCTTGGGTAAGTCATCATCGCCAGAAGCCAGCTGGATCATAAAAATACAACCAGAAGAGGCATATCAATGCTCATGATCGTATGATGACTTTCGTAAATGGCAAACAAGATCACCCCTCAAAAGCGTGCCGATGACCAGAGATATTATAATCGGTGATCATGTGCAGGAAGATCAGGTAGGAGACGAACCGCGTGAGTTAGATGTATTCACTATGTTAAAAGAAAGTCTGCATAAAGCTAGAAACCGAAGCATGATCTGTATATACCAACGGATCTAACAATCGAGGCTTTTCACAGAATCATCAAAGTTCGGTGAACATGAAAAATGGCATACCGTGGGCCTCTTGACTTTCGTAGAAACATGCTTATTAAGTTTCCCGTTCTTTCCGTGGTCAACGCCACCGTCAGTAGCATCATCAAAGTCGGCCAATGTCTCCATTTGCCTGATGCAATTGGAGATTTGAAACAGATGAGCCTACTAACAAGGAAACAACTACTTTAAACAGGCAATAATTATGTGCGTGCACCTGTTCACACGTTTTGAAGCTTCATTCTGAATCCTGGCAGAATTTGCGGTAAAAGAATCAAAAATACCCTTTTCCTTCAACTTTTGCTCAAGAAGTGCCCTTACTTTAAGCATCTGCAAGCTTTGATGCCCCACTTGACCATCCTGCCAAACACATATAAAAGAACATGAGTTACTTCCACACAAGAGTTTGTTGGTGGCAAGATACCAATACTAATTATGAACCTGGTGTTTCTGATGGCCCTGTTTGGGGAGGCTGTCTTCCTTTGATGAGCCATTCTCTGTAGACTCACTCACGTCGGTGGCCTGCTGCAGTATCATCATTACACTTGAGTGCTGAATCATGTCGGAAATTGCTCCTTGGATAACATACATATGACAATACAGAAACCTCAACCTACCTCCAATGATTTAGGCGGGACAGTGAGAACAGCTGAGCCTAATGCTGGCTCATCTTTTTCTTCCTCCACACTTATCGCCGCGACCTTCCCATTGTCGTCCTTGGAAATTATCTCAACCAGGGGAGAAATAGTGATATCCATGTTTTTCACCTGTAGAGATTAAGAATATATTTTATTTTAACAGAATGACATAACCACCAGGCAAAATTGTCCGTCTAAAATTCAGCAGCACCCCCACAAAACGAATTCAGACAGAAAAAACGCGAGAAACTTCCTAGAAGCCGCGGGGTGGGCAGATTACTACAGAAAAGTGAAAAAAAGAAAAGCCTCGAGAGGAAAACCTTTTCCCACAAATTTTTTAGCTCAACAAGGTGAGCGATGACTGGATGGTCACGAACTGGATGCCCTTCAGTCTTGAGTAGGAGATAAAAGCTAATAGCTTGTATGTAGGCTAGGAGCAGCTTCTGTTTTGTCTCAAAATAGTTTAGTCCTTTCGTGTCCTTTGCCTTCAATATGGTAGAAAATCTGTGAGCTTCATACAATAGTTGAGAAGTTCTATAATAGATCTCCCTTGATCGGAAACCAAGAGACCATGAAAGAGGATTTTTCGGACCAAAATCATAACAACGCATTTCTCGCTGACAGTTTATATAAATAAAAGTCATGCTTTACATCAAAGAAAGAAAGACATGGGCATACTCACCCATCACCCAGATCTTGCGCTATAAGACATCAAAAGATCATGGGAAAAAACTTTTCGGGGGTCAAAATCATTACATTGAATTAACTTACTGATAGTTTACATCAAAGTTAACTTTACATCAAAGAAAGAAAGGCATGGTCACATTCACCGCTCACCTAACTTTAAAACTGTCGTTTGATAAGTAAGGTTCCAAAAATTACTTCCCAAAATGATACTGAAAACTGGGCATCGGGTAAGGAATAGGCCTAGAAAAAACAGAAACAATGCAACTCTTCCCAATCCCCTACCACAAGTTTCTATGAAACCCAGGCTAAATTTGGGAGAAGAAGCATGCGATTTTCAGAGCAAATTTCACAGATTCCGCATATCTATCGAAATTGAGGCTAATTCATCTAACATAAGTCAATGGACCATCTCTAAATAGAAATCGTTTTCATAATGTTATACAATGGAAAGCGTCTTTAGGATGCTATGTTTAAACCATCTTTATAATTCGTAAAGCTATGCTTTTCCGAGACAGAAAAGAGCCCAAATAATGTTTGTAAAAAAATAATTTGAGCCTACTTGGCATAGTGGAATATCAGATCATTTTCTAAAGGAAGTTTGTTTTATGCTTTCCATAAGGGCTTTTAGCGAACATACATTTCCTTTCCCAGTACAACTTTTGTGAAATGCGGTGATGTGAGGGTGATTAAGCTGTCTCCAACTGGGACTCACACAAGATAATTCTCCATTTACCAATTTGTTCAGTGGCCAAGGCGCAGAGAATTTGGCAGGTCTGTCCCCATTTAGCTAAATCCGCAGAGTGAGATTCATGTAACGTGTTTAGATGAGGAAAAGGAAGGAAGAAAAAAGAAAAAAAACGAAATATTAAACGAGAAAAAGAAGGGGCAGTCACCACATGCGATGCTGAATAGATGACGAAAGGAAAAAGCAGTAGGAAAAAAGGGCAACATTGACAGAACACGACTCCTGTTTCACACAAGAACATGAGGTGAATTTTGAGAGGTTGGGATCGTTATTTTTCTTCGTAAGTAGAATGAATGCCAAGTTCAAATACTCAAATCATGATTTCTAACATGCGAAAATCCTAGAATGCATGAGGCGTTAGACTTGGAAACGATCCTAGTTACCAACAAATTAAAGTGTGAAAATACAAAATTAGTACGTACAAAAGAGTTTTGGATTAAATTTCACTTTGGAACTCTACTTCTCATGACCTATCTCATATGACACACAACTGGTCAAAACATTCAGAATGCTACCTTGTGCAAGAGAGGCTTCAGTCTGTAAAATTGGTCCAGTGCTTCATTCAATTCTGACAGCAAACCAACCAGTTCAGGTGCAGAGCTGCCAAAAGAATAACTGGGATGAGCTCCAAGAGAAAACAGTACTGCTTCTAAAAAACATGAGAAACAAAGCTTGGTAGAGGATGATTAGCAAATGATTCAGTTAAAATTAGGATTAAATTATCAAGCAGAGACCCATTTTAATTAATGATATCAACTCACTCCGCTTTTTCTTTTTTCTTTTTTTTTTGGGGGTGTATGCAGAAGCGCGTGTGAAATTTGAAGGATAATCAATTTCAGCCAAACTCAGGAGCACAAAAGTGAAAGTCCAAACTCTAAAATAAACTGTCACCGGAGAATAGAGTATGATGATGGTACGGTATCATAAGCAAGTTAAAATACAGTTGCTTGAATCCAAGTGAATTCCAACAATAAAGACACTCTATTTTGAAAATAGTAGATCAACATTATAATCTAGCTGACCACACGCAAACTTAAAATGAACTAGAGTAAGATGAAAAATGTAATGCTCCTAAAATGAACTTCTGGAAAAAATCTTCATTAAGCTAACCAAGGACAAGGCACCTACAAGAAAGAACATAGACGGTGACAGATTTTATGAAAGCAAATGACATGCTGGCAGGTTTGCCAAAAATCTCTTTTTCGATTCGTGAAACTATCATGACTGGTATTTGGGAGACTATCGATTACTCCCAGGAAGAACAAGGATGTTACTGTTGGAACGTCACTTTCCTTGTTCTAGTGTCACGAAGAAAAGAAGACCAATTTCAAAGATGCCAACCAGGCCTTTCAAATAAGTACATGCAAAACCCGACATTCAAGTCAAAAGTCAAAATGACACAAAATGATCAATTGAGAATATTTTCACTGTTGAATGGGCTATGTCAATAAAAAAATTAATAGAAAAGAACCAATAAACTGAGATATTGAATTTACTTTAATGGAAACTTAAGATAAATTATTGCACATAGAGGGTCATATGCATGAAGTGTTGTATCAAAACAGCACATTTCACTGTCCTCATTGACAGGAAGCTGCAGGATGCTCCAACACCTTTAAGAATCGAAAGAAGAAAATCCCCAATCCTTCATGTTTTTCACTCTGCTTGACCTCATATCCTGGATGACAATGTTTAGCATTGCTAATAATGGGGTTTACCTAAGACATGATTCCTCTCAAGGCTCAATAAAGGAACTGAAAACGTTGAACGTGTTTCCTAAAGATACGATTTAGTTTTCTTGGAGGAAGCGCGATGACAATGGTAGGGAGTTCAGGAATAAATTATTTAAAGCCAGAATGCTAGAGAATTAGTAAAGGCAATGATAGTGAGCTGATTTTTCTCTACAAGTTCAAAATGAAGAGTTCTTGCTTCCTGAGTTCAGGAATCCTCCGGGATTTACCGTTATAACCATTGTTATCGCACACAGAGAGGTTTCAAGCCATAACTCAGGAGTTTCAGCGGTATTCTCATTGAAATCACGGATCCGCCGCCAAGCTTGATTAGAGAAGGTTTGCCTCTAATTGCACCTCACAGTGGGAAGTAATTATCGGAGTGTCTACCTCCTGTTGAGTATGTTTAAAAATCGTAAGCATTTCTATCCAAAGAACCTTCGACTGTTTTAAATTTAGTTATGCTCAGTCATACCCCTTTTAAAGGAAAATAAAGGAAACAGAAATCTTTCAGGACTGCCCCTTCAGAAAATTCCACTTGCATAACATCAGAACCAAAGCTGAGACTCCAATACATCTGAAAGATTTATGATGATCAAAACAGTTATCCAAGACGAATATGATGAAGTACCTGTATACGACATCCATTTGCTCCTCCTTAGTCAGTGCATTTATGTCCTTCTTAACCTCCTCATAACTCTCATAGGCCTCATCTTCGAGTGAACCAAAAACATCTGATTTGTCTCCAGGTCTCTTCCCAGCAAAAAAATTCTGCAAGCAGAAGGAAAAACCAAATCGAGTTGTAATTTTCAAGTACAAATGTTTAATCAGAATTCCACTCCAGCATATGATGACCACATTGGCATACGATTAGATGTATTTTTTTCAATGACTTTTCAGCAAAGTGACATGGGCTTACAGAATCCAAGGAGGAACTGATGTGTTAAAACAACCGTAATATTTCGTTACTAAAAAATAAAAAAAATCGAAAATAATCCTATTTATGGTCATCACTAATATTTCATGCGTTTAAAATCATTCCTACACAGAGAGCAGCCAGAAGCAAACTTAAGAGGTCGGTCATGCAAGTTGAGCACCTGAAGGGATTTCTCCTGATTATCATCATCACTTTCTTCCTCATCAACATCTTCAAGACCAAAGTCTTCCATTGAAAGAGACTTTGCCTTCTCCTTCTGCGACATCACAGCTATGGCCTCCTCTTCAGCGAGGTCCTCCTCATCTGATTGTATCTTAAATTTCACAAAAGAGAGGAACCGTAGCTATTCGTAAATCATTTGTAACAGGAAATTTGGGGAGAAAAATTCAGTCAGTATGCATCATTGACGTCAGTTTAGATACGAAATACCTCAAAATCGATGTTGTCAGCACCATATAAGAACTGTTTTCCCCGACCAAATGAAGCCTTACGTTTTTCCTCTTGTTCAGAATCATCAGACATATCATCCTCAACTCCTCCATATTTTTTCTGCAAAATCTTTTTCTGTTTTACCACTAGAAAAGAGCAGTGTGTGAGTATCAAGCATCCCACAGATAGTAAAAACCAGCTACAATGATACAAAATATGTTCTTTTTCATGGGAAATCATGGCTGGAACTCTACAGCAATTAGAGGGAAGCATATTCCTGATCTACCAGTCTCCTTGGTGAGAGATGGACTAGAAGAACAAACGATGTGTGTGTGTATATATATATATGCCTTCAGGTCAGTTTCTTTGTCAAAGAAGATTTCTGATGCTCTTGTAGTCAAACATATGTAACTGGTTTGGTCAGTTCTCAAATGAAGGGATACTACCAGATTCTTTGTCAAAGAAGATTTCTGATGCTCTTGTAGTCAAACATATGTAACTGGTTTGGTTAGTTCTCAAATGAAGGAATACTACCAGATTCTCTTGCTGATTACAAGGAAATCGGTTTTGTACATGGAAACAATAGTTTGAACGACAACCAGACATTGCTATATCCTGCAATGTGACGGAATGTAACTTTCCACATTCATGTAAACAAATTACAGTCTTTTAAACGCTCGTCATTACAGTTATCCAAGATTTTTGTGAAATACCAAACTACTAGTCAAAGATCACAGTTGTTAAGGTTTATAATCGCTTAAAAATGACATACAAGGCATACATTCCGTGATTAGATATCCTTACTTTTTTCATAGTCTTTGCCGTTCCTACCAATTTCATCATCATGACCACTGGCATCTCCATCACTAGCATCGGTATCATCACTGTCATCATGTAAACCCTAAATCCAAATGTGAACCTCATCAAGAAGGTGGAAATGTATGAAAATTTTGACAACGAAATGACAAAAAAATATTTTCCAAAGAGTGAGAAAATTAAACATAAACGTTTAGATAGCACGAATGAATGCACAACGTGTCACACTAGAAAGACTTGAAAGACCCACACACACTAAAAAATAAAAAGAATGGAAATCGTTAGAATAATCAACAAGTCCAATCACAGAAACAAAACTGGCATATGAAAGACAGTTCCTACAGAATTATAGATGAGAATCATCGTATGCTCATCTTCTCTTTTTATTTTAAAATTAACCAATATTACGGAAATATTTATCAGACATCAAATATGATGAATAGAATAAAGTTAATTCAAATTTCTGCCATCCATTGTTTGGTTGCTTTATTATGATCAACATATGAACACCAAACACGTTGGAAAAAGACATGAACCAACTCGAAGCCAAGTGCACCAACCTTTTATTTCACAAAAAATGGCAGGTAGAGAGAACATGACTGTTCAGAAATAATGAGCTCAAAAACAAAATTAACAGGTTCAGTTCGATTCGGCCAATTCCACATCAAACTGGTTGTCTTTTCAGAAAGCTAGCTCTCCGAATTAATTATTTCAATCTTTTTACTCAGTAAATATCCTGAGAAGGTACAAGACAACCCAGGGAAGTGAAAAATCCACGATCCACTCTCACGACTTCAAACCCAGAATAGTTTGAAAAAACAACCACTAATAAATAAGATAAGCTCTATGGACAAGGCAATATAAAATTACAAATATCACCAAATTACTTGTGAAAACGACGAAAGAAACTGAACTAAAAACAAAGGCGTCAAATTAACAAACCTCAAAGTCGAAGACTGGTTGTTCCTCATCTTCATCTAAAGCATGATCAGCATTCAACCAAACCCCCGAGAAACGGAAACAAAATACAAGTAAGAGACGGTTCAGTGAAGCGTGGTCAAGGACAAAGTTGTGTTAGCTCGATGACCTACCAGTGTCGTGGCTTTTGTCGAAGGGAATCATATCCCGCTGCTTGTGAACTGTTAAAATGATCAAAAAGCACGGTATAAAACGATCAAACATAAAAAAGAACTGCAGAAAAAGGCCATAAAATACGCGAGCAGTAAGAGGAAAAGGGAAAGAGGAATGCATTAGTTACAGGCGTCTATCTCGTCGTCCATGTTTTCTTCCCCAAAGGATATGTTCTTCTTCTGGACAGGTAGACGGTTGCTGAATTTGGAGTTTTTGATGCCTTTCTTCTGCCTACCCCCACCCCTAGCCATTGCCGCACGCGTCGCAGGAACTTGGGATGAGTGAAGATGCAAAGCGAATCAAGAGTTCAGGGCCAGTTCCCTCAAGACCACAGGCGGAGTGAAAAGTGCACGGGAAAAACTCTCAAGTTGAAGCACGGTCCGTGTAAAATGCCGCAGGTCGTGACCAAGAAGCAATCTATGGCCACTGGCCGCCTTCCTCCAGGGTCATGCGAGCAGCAGCGAAGACGAGTGAGCAAAGGGACGACGGCGATGACACACCGGCCTAGAAACCAACGCCGTAAGGCGAATTATCCCAACACCAATGGACCAAGAGATTCCTGGACGACGAGGGAGAGAGAGAGATAGAGAAACCCAAACCCCTCCCCTTCTCCGTCTCCGCCACCGCCACCGCCGCTTGCTCGTTTCCCGCCGCCGTCGCAAGGCCTTCCGGTTATCGTGAAAAGGGCGCCCTCGGCTTTTCGGTCCTCTTAACGGTTCTCAGTCGGGCACTTGAGACCCGACAAGAAACCGACAAGCACCAAGGAAATTTTAAAATATCTATACTAAGTACCAGAAATAAGTAATACTTAAATCGGTATATTTACAGTGTAGTACAACGATTTATAATATATTAATCATATGCCCTTTTTCGTAATTACGGGAAAGTGGAATTATTTTGCATACTCACTCTCGTTTTAAGAGGCGAGTGTTCCCTTCGAATCGCTTGGTTTGGAATCCTGGATTCGGAGACCACGTCTTTGGTGTGATGCGAGGAATCGCGCTTTTCTGAGGAGGAAGCTAGGCCACCTTCGCTCAGTTCGCCGAGCGGCGGCGGCGGCGATGACGACGGCGTCGCCCGCCGTCGTACCGATGTTCATGAGCCATGAAGAGGAGGACGATGATTTCGGGGAATTCGAGTTCGCAGCCTCCGCCTCCGCATCGCTGTCACCCAATCTCCCTCCCAACTACGGCATCTCTAACCAGGCGCAACGGGGGCCCGTGGCGGGGGAAGGAGATGACGACGATGAATGGAGTGGATTTTTGGAGAACCCGCTCCAGCCCGAGCTCTTTTGGAACCCTCGTCAGCCGGCGCCACCAACTACTCTGTCTTCTCATTCCTTTTTCTCCTTCGATCCGCTCCCAGGACTACAGGCCCCAACGCCGGATCTGACGCCGATCAGCTCCGAGACGACGGTTGGCGTGGAGAAAGAATGGCAGAAGCCGTCTGGTGCGCTCCCGCTTTCTTTGTTCGGGGGAGACGAGGAAGAAGACGCAGGGGAAGGATCGTCGAGTACCTTCGATCCTCCGTTTCCTGCCATCAGTGGTGGGCTTTTCGACTCCTCCGTGTCGCCAGTAAGCAACGGCTTAGCATCTGCTCCGAGCGGTGATCTGAAAGATCTGATTGCCGGTCTGTACGGCCGGCAAGACAATATTAGCCCTGCCGCTTCTGGAAATGCCAGCTTCGGCGGCGATAAGCTGCAGATTGATGGAGATAATGGGCACAATTCCAATTCTACGGATGGCGGTGGTGACGGGGAAGATGGTTTCGACGAGTGTTGCTGGGAGTTTAAAGATGCGGTTTCCAGTACTCCGGGTGGAGAGTTAATAGATTCTGCTTTGGTGAAGGTACTATAGCCGTAGACCAATTTCTATTTTCGTACCCAATTTCTGTTTGTGACTCTGATACTTATTTACTCTATTTTATTTCCTTTATTTTGAGTTAGAAGGAAGGCAACTTAGCTGATATTCCTCGAGTTGAAGAAGCGAAACCCGCTGATATTGGTAGCATATTCCAGGTTGGTTACAATCTAATCATCGGAGTCATTCTCTGTCTCTAAGTTGGTCAGTTTACTTTTCATTGTCAACCTCTGTTGAGCCTTTTTCTTTTTTTTCACAAACATTGCAGCTTTGGCATGTTCAAAGTCTCACAAAAGTTTCTTGCCATGGAAGTTGTATTTTCTGTGTTGATACTGCGTGAAATCCCCTGATTTGTGGTATTCCAAATTTTGAATATCACTGGAGAAGCAATATCTAAGGAATAGATGCTCCAACTATTCTGCTTCCTTGCATAAGCTTGATACAGTGCAGATACCACAACAATGGTTGCAATTGTTTTTTGTGCTAATGTCTGTGAGAATGTTTTGGTTTTCGACCCATTAGGCAATTCCTTGATGTTCTTGCTATAACTCTTTCAAACCTTTTTTCTCTCAATGATTCCCAAGTACCTTTCAGACTCCCCACCCTTTTTCAATTTAAGGTGAGACTAGTAACGAACTTCCCTCCTTTGTGGTTGGGTTTATTCATCAGTTTTGATCAAATAAGTGACCTGATTGACTGTCCATAGAAAATAAGCCAAGTCTTTCCTTCGTAGTTTTACGTGGCTTCCTAGTTCCATACTTCAAGGGTCACCTGTCTAGTATAAGTCGTGCAGAACCAGATAAAGTCATGGGAGTTCGTTCAAAAAATCACTCAAAAATATAATTTCATAAGAAATTCAATGCTACTCTGTTTTTCTAACACTGTACTGATCCACATTTATTCTTCAACTCTCAACAATAATTTTCTGCAAAAAAGGGAGATTAGTGCGAATTGGTTGCAGTTTTTTAACATTTTTTTTTCTATTTCCTTCCATCCAACCTTACACTCCACGTCCACTTTTTAATATGGACATTCCATCTGAGTATACTGTTGATCTCAAAATTACACGGGTCAATATTTTTTCCTTTTCCAATGGAGAAATTTTGCTAGTAATGTGATTATTGCTTTTTAATCTTTTTGCAGACTTCCGGCACTTTAATTTTGAAGGCCAGTGGTCAAGAACGGGAGGATATGCTGGGAACCAACCTCTTACCCATAGTCCTTAGTGATGAACAGCAATGGGAAGGAGCCCTTGTTTCAAATGATACGAAAACAAATGGTTTTGATTTTGCACCTTCTGGCAATGGCTATGGTTTTACCTCAATTTTTTGTCAAGGAGACGAGCATGCCAATATTGAGAATGGTTTGAATCCCAATGTAAATAACGGGGACATGAGTATTGATGACAATGTCTTGGACAAAGATCCATTTACCAGAATGGAAGTTCTGAATGGTTTTTCTGGACCAACGGTAATTTCGTGGGCTTTTTAACATAATTGAACAGCTTTACAAATCCTCATCGGCAACTTGCATTTTCTTTATCTTTGAACGCTGGAAATGCCAGATAATTTCTGTTATTCTATAAACCTGAACACACGAGGACTAGTTTCAAGTTGACTTTCATTTACCTTTTTCTTATCTTAATTTATCTTAGAGAGGAAGGTAAATGACAGTCTCATTTGATTAGAACTTTATCTAAATTTCATGGAAGTTTCATGTTATCTTGAGGAATGAAATGCTAGCTTTTCATAGGGGGTTTAATTGCTAAGAAAATGAAGGCTAGGACTAAAACCCTTCTTAAGTAATGGCATACCTTCATTTTCAAAAATGATACACTTTCTCATTTGCTGCAATTGTCTTCTTACATATTTTTTCTTATTGTAGGAGGATCTTTAACTGTGAATAGTTGCGAGCTCATCGTTTGTTTGGTGTCATTTACCATCAGGAAAAAAAGCAAAAGATCAATATTGATTGGCATCCTAGTAAACCTAGGAACAAAAGGGTTCCTTTTAGGCTGTCATGTGAAAGGTGGAGGTGAACTTGTGTAGTTCTTTATTGAGAGAAGGCATTCTTGTAAGGAAGAAAGTTTCCCTGACAACGTCTATTGTGGAAGCTCAAGAGATAAATTGACATTCATATGGCACTGATACAATGGCTTCATTCGCCTGTTCTAAATATTAATTGAAACCATGATTTTCTGGCTCAGTCCGTTTTATAGGACTACGAATGAATTTATCTCCCAAATCCTGGCCAACATTGGGTTCTACTTGTAGTCTTGGACTGTTAGTATCCTTTTTCAGTCACAAATATAAGCAAAACCTTGGAGAACTGAAAATTCGCATTTTATTTATTTAACTTTTTAAGAATGTAGTCCATATCATCTACGAAGTCAGCCTGACTTGATCATATGACTGGACCCAGTTTTTTAGGACTCCCGAATCTGAGCACCACAAGAATTAATTGAGACACAACAGTAAAAACTATGATTGCTTGAATACCATAAAAAAATTAATAGTTCTCTCTTTGGACACAGCCGAAAGTGAGTGGAATTTTATCATGTACCTTCCTTAGATGAAAAGAAGTTCATGTACCATAGAGAGGAAATTATTTCTTATTCATTTCAGTGCTTCTGGATATTTCTTTTTTTATTTGGTTTTTTTTCCTGTTTAGTGCACAGGTACTACAGGAACTTTCCATATCAATGGTTTTAAGTGATATCCGTATGTGGTTTTGCCTATGCAGAGTAACGGCCAAAATGAAAACCTAGAAGATCTGTATGTATCCGCTTGGAAAACTGAAAGTGTTGATAATGGAACGAAAGCCCTTAAAGATGCATCAGTCATCAGTCTTAATGATCTCATATCCAATGTGAATATTGATGCTTGGAATATACCCTCTGCTTACTCTGGGCAGATAACTGGAGGTGAGAATTTAGCAATATCAGCTGTGGCACATGAGGCTCTAAACAGCACTGGTGCCAAGAATTCTGGCCAACAAAATAACAAGATCAAAGACAAGGATTTTGCATCCAAAAACACATATGGTAACATTTCCCTGGAGCCAATGATACTTCTAGATTTCTATTCAAGACTCAAACAAAAATCATGCACGTTGGCTCTTCGTCATATTGATAATCTTAAACTCAGGGTAAAATTAGTTCTTGTTTTGCGATAATTTTTTTCATAAAAATATTATCTGGTCTTTTCGCTAAATCTGTGAATGATTGACATCAGAAAAACAATGAGAGGGGTGTACCTGACGAAGAACCGAAGTTGGTGGTCTCGGATGATGAAATTGAGGTAAGTGATTCAGTTGTATGACTTCAATGTTACAAGTTCATTACATTCAGGCTTTGGCGTATTTCTGAGTTTCAGTACATTTTATTTTGAGAAATAAAATGCTGCAATTGCATATACAGAGGTCATTGTAGGAGCAGAAAATGTAATATTTAAGCACATGGTAATAATTCTGGAAAATGAACTGTGATCACGTCATTTACTTGGGTTGGTATTTAAGCTAATTTCCTGATCGGGGGCTCCATTAAGATTTCAGAAAAAGTCTTATCGAATGCTTCTTAGCCCTTTTTTAATTTGTTTCAAATAGTTGTATCACCATTAATTCTTGGAGCTCCAATTTTTTTTTCTTTTAGGCGGCTTTTATCACGCTTGGAATTTCAGATTCCAATCGTGACCACGTGGACAGGAGCCCACAAGATGAGTTGTCTGTCAATGAGCTACTTGAATTCATGAAGGATTCAGGCCTCCAAGCCTTTAACATTGAATATTGCTTGTCGGAGAAAGTACCACCAGTATGTCCTTCATCATTTATTAAGATTTCTGTTTGATATTTTCTCTGCTATTCTTAGAGCACCTGTATTCTGAATATCAGGATGTTTCTATGGACTGTTTTGTGGTCACAGCAATCAGACAAATTCACTGATTGAGGACACTCTAACTCAGTCTAATGGATGATAATCATTCCTGATGATCTAAACTCTTGTAGTTCATTAAAATACCTTTTTCTTTGAATTAGAATTTCTCATCTTTGTGAATTATCCTGCTAAATTCACGTTACTTTTCATACTATTTTATTCGTGCTTGATGCTTTCATAATGTGCGCTGTACTTCTTATTTTAATCAACAACAACAGCATGGAATTTTTGGTGAGCATTCAAGGAAACCACATTACTTGTGACTATGAACTCTCATGTGTTAAAGTCTCTGATTTTTCACGGAATAATTCAGCACGTTTACTTGTAGTATTTTTGTCCGTATTTTTTTTTTGAACGAGGCTTTTTCTTCTTCTTTTAAATTAACGAGGGATTGCGGTTCAACAATAGTCAATCTTGCTTCATCATTCACGGCCCATTGTTCTTGTCTTGCTCAAAATGTACATGAGCCATCGCCCATTGAGCTGCGTTGGTCTGTGCCTCCCATCTAAGTTGCCTAGTTATGCGTGAGATCACATTCTGACTAATTTATGTCCGCTTATTGTAGCAGAAGCAGACCTGGAAACTTATTGTCCTCACCCAGCATGTCGGTTTTCTAACTATGATTATCTCTTGTTGATACTGGAATATTTTTAAACAGTCTTTGGCACTTACGAAAGCTACAGTTCCGTTGAATAAAGATGGTCTTTTCCCCCCCTTTTAGCATATATCTTCTTCGGACCATTTTGGGTCTCTTAATTGTGACTTTCTATTATTGTAATTTGCTAAAATTGCTATACTATGCTCCCGGCCTGATGTTACGAAGCTGAACCTGGTGATCTGGTGAATAGGCAGAGAAGGACTTGAGCTCAGCTATGTGGCTTTTCGAGCATGCTTCCTCGATCCTTAGTATCTTGACACTGTCTTCCTTCAAGGAACAGCACTCTTATATCAGTTCATGGTCTAAGATGGCGTCTGCATGTGAACTAGAGTTACAGCGCGGTGCAATGATCTGGGCACAAGCAGTCTCTGCTAATGTTCAGACAGAGTTACTGCTTAATTTCCAAGGTAATAAATGAACTCTCCTCATGGGGTTTAATTAGGGAACTCGACTTTTTTGTGGATGAAACCATAAGTTCCTGATTAGGGAACTTGACTTTTTTATATAAAACCTCGAACCTGCTTTTATCCATTCTGAATGTTTTAGGCGTCGAGATAGGGGTTTTCTTCCTTGGCCAAGCTCACCATAGTAACCGTCCAGTGGCTGGCAGCAGGCCCAAATAACCACATAGTTTTGTGTTCTGCAGCTCAACAGTATTTTCTTGCCCTCGGAGAGATCTACCGGGTTGTGGAAATCTTGAGCGCCTCAGCAAGATTATACAAGCCTTGGATACTAGTAAATCTGGCAGATTCCAAGGACATTCTGCGCAACATTGACACCTCTGCTGTGGTCTGGAGAGATTCTGGACTGAAACAGGCTCTTGAGGTTATCTCCAGCAACAGCATCGAATTAAAGGTGGCCTCTGAAGAACTTCTTGAATCAATAAACTCCATTTCCAACCTTGGCGCGCAAGCTCTGCATGGACATATTTCTGGTGATGGGGTGCAGATTTGCAGACTATCTTTATTACCTCTGGAATTTCTCCCGGGTTTGTAGTCCAACGGCGCATTGCTTATTTAACCATGGATATTGAACTCTTCATGTCACCATTGCCTTACATTTTTCTCAATTTTCTCATATGAAGCAGATATTATGCCGGTGATCTGGCATGACAACCAATATTTCAGCAAGGTAGCAAACCTGTGGGCAAACAGGGTGTCTCATGAGTCTCCACAGCTAACCACAGTTGATGGTTAGTTTCTGGGCAAGACTGAGTAAGCACCAAGATCTGCACCGAAATGTTTCATTACCAGTGCTTGCGCCGGGCATCAATGGGTTTGAAAGAATTCGCGTCTTGGCACGCCAATGCTCGAGGTTCACATGGCATCAATCCCAGGTAGACCCCTTCAAATCATCTATGATGGCATCTGTCTTGCTCCATCAAGCATTCTTCTGGGGTTGTTCATTGTGTCTCATCAAGTGGAATGATGTTCTTTGTAATTATATTTTTTTATCTGTTATTACTATTCATTCATTCTGTGTGATTCATAGACGGCGTTCTATTGAAAATAAATCAACTGTTGTAATGTCACCATTATGGGCCACATGGCTTCAGAACATGAACACTGCAGTAGGCCCACGTCGTCATCGGAGTTTCCCATAGAAGGATTCATCTTTATAACAAACGTGCAGAATACTGACACCATTAAATGGGGATATTTAGGGTTCTCCCTATTATGAACTGTACTTTCTCCTTCTTGTATAGATTCATCTTCAGAGTGTAGGAACGTCTTTCATGGTTTCTCTATTCTTGCCGAGGCCTAGACGCACTACCCACTGAATGTTGGACAGAATAAGAAAAATATTCCGTTGTATTGTACAACCAATACAATTGAACTACAGAGGCAAGGAATAATCCAGCATTAGGTTCATAACCACGCCCAGATTTAAATTTATTTGAAAATCAAGTCTTTGCTGTGGGATTTTAATTACTAATTCTTGAAGAATGAGAACCCCTTTGCAAATGATTCGCCCAAACCTGAGTTACTATATAAAGATAAGAAAAGTTTTAAATTTGCAGTCAGGTCAACTCCCAAGCACAAACTCACCATTAACAGTGAAGACTGGTGAAAAGATACCAGTTAAAAGGTAATTATATTGTTAATTCATGCCCACTGCCCTATGCATGAACAAATGGCCATGAAAGTTTGAGTTTGCCGCAACAATCGGCATGAATAAAGTCTGATTGTTTTCCATCTGGTTCCTGCATTAATTTAGCCGCCCTTCATCGTGGCCCAAAGCTAATCTTGCAACTGATATCATGGTAGCTCTGCTCTTTACAAAGAACTCCATGGACCATTTGAAAAGTTCTCCATTGCATTCTTGTCAGCCACCCACCAAACATGAACACACTATGAATGGTGAAGACCAGCGAAAGAAGATCAGTTGCAAATCTTAACTGATGCTTGAATTGCAACGGAGAAACAATTATTGTGTTGATTCGCTGCCAAGAAACCTATGCATGAACAACTAGTAAGCAACTAGTGAGTGAAAAGAGCTATAAAAGCTTGTATTAGCTGCTTACATTGATGCGAATTGCCTGACCGTTTCCCATCTGGTTCCTGCATTGATTCTGAGAGCCTTGAGCAAGGCTCTCCAAGAATCAGCGACAAAACCAGAAGACAATCAAGAAATCAAGGCGGATACTTTGCCGACACAGAGCCGGCTGGTTGCCTTTATTAGATACCGGGTCTCCTCGTCCAGCTGGACACCATCCTTCTCCATCCTCTCCAACACCACCAGCGGCATCCTGCCCGCCCTGGCGTAAGTCCGAAGCACCGAATTATACACCCCTGTGGTCACGTAACCCACATTCCGAAGCATAACTAAGAACTCTTCAGCCCCCTCCACATCCCCCAAGAGCTCGAGTCTGTCGAAAACAGCCTTCACTATCCCTTCATCGGGATCCCATTTCTTCAGCTTCGAGAGGGCCCTCTTCAGGCACTCCAGAGCCCTGTCCGCTCTCTCCTCGCCCAGGTACACATATGCCATAATGCACCAGGTACTATAACTGGGTTTGATTCCCTTCTTCAGCAGGCGTTGAAGGAAGATCTTCGCCTTTTCCATCGAGCCCTTCTTGATGAAGGATTCGAGGATTTTGTTAGGAATCTTGGGGTCTCCTGTGCCGGAGACCGACTCCCATTCTTCGTACATCCTCTCTGCCTCTTCATCTGACGCTAACTTGACCAATGAGGAGATCATGCAAGCATACTCTGCGTCGCTCATCTTTCGGAAGGTCGACCTCATCTTCTCCCATACTCTACAGATAGCGGTCTTATCAGAGAGGGCCGCGTGAAGAGTAATCAGGGAGCAATACCCAGCTCTGTCCTTCCTGGAGATGTTCTCCTCCATCTCCCCAAGAGCCCATCTTACCTTCTGAAGGAGACCCCCTGCAGTGTATGTCTTCGCCAGAGTACTGAAGGTCACCCAGTCCGGGGATATTCCTCTTTGGCGCATTTCTTCAAACACTTTACCTGCGCCTTCCGGATCACCTGCGCAGGCACTCAGCCATAGGTTGAAGGTGAACAGATCCGGAGAGGTGTTCTTCTTCAGCTCGCGGATGACTACGGGCACTTTCTCCAGCTCCCCACTAGATATGTAGAGGTGAAGCATGTGGTTGTAAGGGACGGCGCAGCTGATGAGACCATGGTCGGACATCTCCTTGAAGAGGGACTCTGCCTTGGAGGAGAGGCCGCTCTGGACGAAGGTGTGGAGGAGGGCGGTGCAGGTTGACTGCTGCCCTTTGATTCTCCCGGGGAGGTCCTCGAAGAACTTCTCCGCACTGGCCAGGCCGCGGACTTTCGCCACCAAGTCCAAGTGCACAGCGTAGTCCCCCGGCAGCAGCTTGAAACCCTCTTGGATCGTCATCCATTCGCATATCTGCAAGTCCGCAGAGAATGAATTCCGGCGTCAGCAACCAAAAGTCAACCCCTCGAGGGTATCTATGTCCGTCCAGTGATGCCCACCTCGAGAGCGTGCTTGTAGCGCTTGTGCTTGCGGAGCTCGCGGACAACGCGGTTCAGCTGGTACTTCTGGATGGGTTTGCCTTCCTCAGTCCACCGGCGAAGGACCACCACGGCGCTGCGTTTAGGGTATATCAAGCGCAGGAGGCGGCGGCCGAGAGTGTCACTGCCGCCGGCGGGATCCGAGGAGAGAAGACGCGCGGGCGACGCCGCTCCGTGTGCGAGGCGGCGCACGGCGGCACCGAGCGCTTCCCGCAGCCGCCGGGCGGACTGCATCGGGGCTCAGCGTCTCCCTGTTCCTGGCACCAATGCCAATGCTGGGCGGCGCTGTTCGGCCTCTGCTGCTCTCTCTCCACCCGGCGCGCGCATCTGTACCGCCCAGAATCCAAGTCATAATGGGTTTTCAAAAACATTTTCCTACGCCGTCCTATTTGAAGACATTCTCTTGAAATCACTTCATCTCCTGAACATTACCAATTTGTGAACCGTAAATCAGCGGATGGAAAGGTAGAATCTTTTGCCCTTGCTCCCCACAACCAGGATTTTATTTTTTTTTTGTAAAAATAAGAAATTGATCTGTTTATATAGTTTTTTCAACCACTTTTGATATTGGGGGTACCTAGTTTTGTTCAGGAAAAATTTGAGATTTATATAGTAAAGTGATTAAGGATACCATTTATGAATAGTTAGTACTATGGCTATAAGTTTTTGCTCATAAACTGATTTTAACTTATTATCTTCGAAGAGAGATTGATTGGAATGTACAATTGGCATGATCTTGTATTTAAATGGGTCTAAGTACATAATTAGAGGTGTCAATTTATAATACAAAGGGTTTGGGATAATTAGACATGACAAGAAGTAGTGTCATCTTCATTGTTGGGTTAAATCATTCAAATTCTTTGTGTTGTCTCCTTCTATGTGAATGATTCTTTTTTTAGTTGGTGTCAAGGGTCATACTAACTCTCCATAACATACCATAAATTGATCATAATTACATGTCAATCTCATAAAACCTCTTTTAAATCATGTAAGTTAGTTGGTTTCAATTAGTTAGTCATCACTACAATTTTATATTTGTTAATTGTTACCTCTTCTATTGAAATTGAGTGGCCCAAGTTTTTCAAGCACTCTTGTTGTATTATGTGGAAAGAAAAATGAGGGGGAGAGGGGGTATCTATATGGCAGTCTAATATTGTACATTGTTATAGTAGGACCCCTTAGGTTTATAGGTAATAGACCCTACTCTTTGGGTTCAATGAGCTCCTCAATAGGTTGTCCCCTTCCAAGGGAAGAATGTAGAAATATATTCACTCCCCTTCAGAGGCTTTTTTCAGGGTCTACTTGTAGATTTGCTGGTTCAATCCCAACAAGCCTTGACCAAATGTGCATTTATTTAAGGTAACATAGAATTGATTTTTAAATAATATATTGAAAAAATCTGGTAAATATGATGTTTATACTCTTTAGTAATATTGTTGAAAATCAAAATATCATCAAAATTTATGAAGACGACTTTATAAATGAGATGATACAATATCTAGTTTATTAATATTTTAAAGGTGGCCAAGGCATTGGTTGATTTAAATAACATAACTAAGAATTCATAGTTGCATTGATGGGTATAGAAAGTAGTCAATACATATATTTCTTCTTCATCCTTTCTTGATGATAATGTAATTAGAGGTCTAGCTTATGATGATGGTTATTTCATAGAGTTCATCGAGAAGCTCTTTCTTTCAAAATATCATTAGGAATAATGGTCTTGTTCAATACTATGTAATTAACCCAAAATTGTCAACTCATCTTTTTTTTTTCTCTAACCTTACAGTGTAGGGCTTGCAAAAATATTTTTAGAAAGCCAAATAATTTCATGTTGAAACAAATTTTGACGTGAATAACCTAATCATTCATACTAGTCATGTTGAAGGTGAGAATATTATGTCAACAAATCAATTTCTTATTCTCCACCCTTTGGTCTTGTTCTGCTAAATGTGCTAGAAACCATGATATCATGAGGCCCCATTTTTGTTGATGATTAAAAAGAATTGTTATGTTGCATGTCTTGTCATTACATCTAGGTGGATCTCTGTTTTTCTTCGATATGCTCCACTCCTCCACCATGTTCATATGTTAGAAACTCTTCCAGCAACATAACAATTCTTTTTATTTCGTGATTAAATAGGATATTAAATAAATGAAAAAAAAAGTCTTCCCACAAACTTCTGCAACTCTTCTTTGATGCTTTGTATGTTAACCTTGAACCCTTTCATTTAGTTCTCAATCAACTCTATGTGGTTGTTAGTGATTTCCAATGTCATGAGTTCCAAATCACCTAATATGATACTCCAACAAGAGGATGTAGACCAGAATCAAAAAGTACACAAAATAAATAAAAATGAAGAGTAACTCATTGTAACCAATGGTGGTTCTATAGAACCCTAACCACACCTAGAGAAGCTTTTGAGAGGACCCAACCCTTGTAGACTACAATTCACTCTATGCAAAATAATCTATTTCTCTATCCTAAGAAGTGCCTTAATAGCAACACCTTTATAGCTATTGAATTACTCCTCCCACCATCCTTACTCTCTTCAGAAAATTCTACCTTTTTCTCTACTTATGGTACATGATGATCGATGATATTTCATATATTTGTATCATTGTAAAATTACTAAAATATCATTCTATGTATGTAGTTGTCATCAAAATTTTGAGGAGGTGCTCTTCTAAATACTTTTTCATGCTAATGAAGTCATCGACCTGAGTTGCATGCATACATATGATGTATGTGTTGCGTTGTCATCATACTATATACACGTCAGTACATGCTTCAATTGAAAGGTTCATAAACAACTTATGTGAATTTTATTCTAACCTAATAATCCTATTTACTTGAGTTGCGAGTTCATATGAACATTCATTGCTTGCGGATACCATATTATAATGCCTTGTGGCTCTACGTCGATCTTTTATATATGTTATGGCATGCCGACATCATGGTGACATATCCTCTATGTATGTTCTGACACATCATGGTGTCTACCTAAACAATTGTGACCTTATGCCCTTAATGAGGTTCTACTCTAAAAACTTAGCTTATCTAAGGGGTGCCACAAGTGGCCCTTGGGCCCCCCAAAAGTGAGTTAGGTTAGTTGACTTATTGAATTATACTTCTCAGAGTCAACGAGATTAGACTGGGTTTTATGAAGTTCTCAAGTATCCAGATATAAGAACGATAATTAATAGAATTATTTGGGCTAGAATCGAAATATGGAGTAAAATCCTTGTCAATGAATGAAAATTTTCCTTGTTTGACAAGAAGGCCCAACTTATTTAGAGATGCCCACCGCCGCCCGCCCCCTGCGCGGCAAGAGCTGGCTTTGTCTGCCTGTCTCTCTGTCTGTCCCGCCCTCTCTCTCAGTCACTCGATGAAGCCCTCAGGAACTTTGTCGTTCTGACGCGGCGGTAGTGGCGGCTTGCGGAGGGATCCGATTGTGGCATCATCGCAACAGCCATCTGCTAGGGTTTGCCTGATGAGATCATATCTGGAAGACGGGACCCTGGTGTTGTGAAGAGTCTGGTTACCGGGATGATGATGCGGTTAGATCCCACCGATCCTGGCCTTCCCTCCGCCGCCGCCGTCGGCGGGGTGGATCAAGGCAACTTCAAGCGTGTCGCTGACCGATACCTCAAGCGCGAGGTACTCGGTGAGGGTACATATGGTGTCGTCTTCAAGGCCGTCGACACTAAGGTCGGTCTGTAGTACTGGCTGCTTCCCCAAATCCACCAGTACTTTCTTTTTCCTCATCTTTCTGCGTCTCTTTCTGGACGATGGATTTTAATGCCTTTCCCTCCTTCGACCATGATGAGAGGTTTTGATTCCTTTTGCGCATTCAGTTTCTTTATTCGGTAGATTGGTACAACGGCGACGTGTATGATAATTGACGTTTTGTAGATCCCTTTCCCATAGTTTTCCCTGTACAGAGGAATGATTTTCTATTTCAATTACCTCTGACTATGGGAACATTCAAGAAAGCCGATCCACCTGTGCAGCCACTGGATCACCCGTTTTCATGGGTCCTTGTTATCATGTTTTTATTTATTTATTTATTTATTGCAAGTTTACTGACTCTATAAGAGACATTAAAACTCAATAACCGTGGAATGATGTTTCGGAGAAAGAGAAATTTTAATACCGTTACCTTGTTTAGTAGAATGTTAAATGGGGAAATCTCTTGATGCTCAGATTGGTGAAGATTATAGTGCAAAATATTGTGTTGCTGTGAAAGCCTCTGAGGCGGAGATATCTTGTAACTGTAAATTTTTCTGGGTTTTTTCCTTGAGAATACCATGCCTCACCTGAGAGATTATTAAACGTTATATGGAACGGTAAATACGTGTCTCCACCTCTAGGGAGAGGAGATTTAGTGCTTGATACTAAGCCTTATGCATTTAAAAGCACGTAAATCACTTGTAGTTCACATAATTTACATGAACGTTATTAGGAACTTTGTAATCTGAAAGTGAAACTGTATGATATTACCTTCTGTTAATGTCTTTAATATTTTTGGAATTATTAATTATTCCTTACAATCAATGTCTTATGCATCAAGGAGAGGAAGAAAATATGCATTTTCCACGTGTAGTTGGTAACACTACTTTTTATTCTAAGTGAAGCACATTCACTTGCCAAAGACGTACATGTGTTGCTGCTCTGAGGGGCATACCTTCAGAGAGATATCATCTATCCTGTTGTTGGTATATTACACAGGGCCTTAGGCCCCAAGATCCGCGTATTGCAAGAATTTTTTTTGAGTTTTCAAATTTTGGAAAACTGATCATCTACGGAAGAGTCAACGATATGAAGGGATATCACTCATTTCTATCAAGAAGCGTGAGGCCGTAATTTTTACGGTTACTGTGGCCAGTTACACTTGAGGGTTATTTGGTTGAAGTGATTTTTATTTTGATGTTATTTAGTGTCCGATACAGAAGATATCACTGGATATATAAAAACGCAGCATCTGAATGTACATATTTAAGTGAATTTCTCCACAAGCTTATGGATGTGTTTTTACTGCAATGCAGTTCATGCCTTGGTACTTCGTATAACGCTCAGCATTCCTAGAAAATACTATTATAAGCCCTAATGTTTGGAGTCATTTTGCATTGAAGACGTAATTTTTTGTTTTTTTCCCGAAAAATCTTATTTGAGCATGCTTGTGACCATAAATTTAAGTCCAGAGCTTGTATTTTTTTTCTCATCATCCGTTCACGTGGTTATGCTTTTTTTTTTTGCATTTATATCCTTGTTTCATAAATATTCTAAGCTCCTAGATTCCTTGTTTAATTAAAAATTTCCCTTTTCTAGAAAATTACTTTCTGTGCCCACTGTGCTGTTAAGTTTTAGCAAGGCGATACATTTAGCTCTGCATTTTGTTTTCCTTAGATCACATTCTAAACGTGGCTAAGGATATCTTTCATAAACCTGGCTAAATTTTCAGTTTCATTTGCATTTGTTGATGATTTGAGTTTTGTTTTATTTCTTAAGAATAGTAGGTAGGTTGATGAAAATGAAAGTCATTGCAGCTATTTTTCCTTCTTTTTGTTTTGGTGCTCAGAGATTTCGCTTTTTAATGTCGTCTTGATTAGAAATCTATAACAGTTTCACCTTATCTTAAAAATTTATTTACAGCAGTTCCTTTTACAATGATTTCTGCTTATAAACGTTAGGATATGTGCAGACTGGACAGATAGTTGCAATTAAGAAGATTAGACTTGGAGCACAAAAGGAGGGCATAAATTTTACTGCTCTCAGGGAAATAAAGCTGCTGAAGGAACTCAAGGATCCCAATATAATAGAACTGATAGATGCTTTCCCTCACAAAGGAAACTTGCATCTTGTGTTTGAGTTCATGGAAAGTGACTTAGAGGCAGTTATTCGTGACCGGAATATTGTTCTTTCTCCAGCAGATATCAAATCCTTCCTACAAATGACCTTAAGAGGTCTTGTATTTTGTCATAGGAAATGGGTCCTCCATAGGTACGTTAATATAAAAAAATTCAAATAGAAACTCTCTTTTAAGCTATCGTTATTTCACTAATATGAGTTTGTGTTGTAGGGACATGAAGCCCAACAACCTACTTATTGCTGCCGATGGTCAACTTAAGCTTGCAGATTTTGGTTTAGCTCGCATTTTTGGAAGTCCGGATCGCAGATTCACTCACCAAGTACCTCCTCTGCTACTGCGTTTCCTTGACATCTTGCGTTTTATTAGATGTGCCATCTTTCTGTCCATTCGAGATCTCACTTGTGAATGGTGGTAGTATGTTGCAGTAAACTTGGTGTGCATTTAGTTCTCCAATATATGCTTGCTTCATAGTTGGCAGCATTATACACGAAGAGGCTGAACTGTTGTGTTGGATTGTAAGTTATTAAGGAATCGATCAATCATCAGTTATCAGTTTTTTGCATAGTACATGGGAAGCATTGGTGTCATTTGTTAGAAGAGCTATGTCGGAAAACTGCTATAAAGTATTTTTTTTCCAATCCTGGCATATCTGGGATATCTACGATCCTTAACTAAGATTGTCCTGCTGCTAGAAGAAACAGATTCCTATATTTAGATAATGTATGGTATTCTGCTGTTAAAGGCCTTGCATCAATTTTGTGGTGCAAATAAATTTCTATCATATTATTTGATCATTTATTATTAAAATCCATATTTCGTTTGTTTTGACTATTTTGTGAAATGCCGAATGCAAAATATCTTGAAGTTGCACACCGTGATGTAGAATAATAATTCAGAAAATGTGTGTACGCAGTATATTAAAGGGATGAGACCTTTCTAAAATAATACTATTTTCTTTGGGCTGCTCTTTTTATCATTCTTGTTAGGAATTGACTATCATTGTTAGAGGCAATCTGAAGATAACTCCCTAGACTTTTTCTTAAGAAAAAGATCTAGATTATGGCATTGTAAGTCTTCTAATCTGTTTCTAGAAATGTGGTATGATTACTCTAATGCTGCTTTTCAAAAGGCACTGAACATTTCCTATGGAATCTTGCATGAATTTTTAAATGAATAAACTATTTGAATGTCTACTGATCATTATCACGCGGCTTCCTATGAAACACCCTGAAACTGCCCCGGGAGCTTCCGGTTCCGCCATTCATACATCATACGTGGTGAAAGATACATTTCGAGAAGGTCGAAAATTTTCCATGGATTTAAACCTGGAAATCAGTAAAGAATTGGCCTTAATCCCAATCCCACTTTGGCCCTGGAAACTGTCAGATACCAAGCAGTGTCTTCTTCCTCTTAAATCATACTCTTCGTGTCTTCTGTACTGCTTTATGTTGGTCGTGGATGGGTCTCTATCCCTGCAATGGCCAATTACCTTATAAGGCGCTGCTATGTATCTCTATCTTTGACAGGTTGATTCCTCTCATTTAATGAGATGCTCCTCACCTGTCTCCTTTCCCTTCTTTCTTAGATATTTCCAACAAGTTCCCTTTCCCGGTATCTCAACCAGTTCCTCATGGGAAAGCAACGTTCTCACCTATTCGGAATATCTTACCAATTTCTCAACGGTTTTATTTTTACTATTATTCATAGTCAAATTTAAACTGTTTGAAATTCTCTCTTGGATTCTTCTTATCATCTTTTTCATCAATTTCTTTATTCAGCCCGGAGTTCAAGTCCATAAAGGCTTCTCCTTTCTCTCTGTATCTGTCTTCTATTCTACTCCGCAGGTTTTTGCTCGGTGGTACAGAGCACCCGAGTTGCTCTTTGGTGCGAAGCAGTATGGACCGGGGGTCGATGTGTGGGCAGCTGGCTGCATCTTTGCTGAGCTCCTCCTCCGTCGGCCTTTTCTGCAGGTATTCACTCTTCATCTCTTCCTGTCTCCCTCCTCCTGTGCTCTGGTTTTTTCGTCAATTCCAAGGTCCCTTAGCTGCCCTGATGCACCTATTAAAAAATAAAATAATTCTTCTCGTATTTATCTTCTTGAGAAAATATGCAGCCCCGAGAACTAAATCTGCAGCCACTTAAATGTGATCACTATATATGAAGGTCAATTTTCATTTAGTAGCCCCGAGAACTCTGTTTATTCCTCCTAGATTATCATTTCCAGAAGACTCGAACTTCTCGCGGTCAATTTATCCACATATCTTGTGCTTTACCCTCTTGAAAAACCAGGGTGGTGGGAACTATGTAACACTCTATGCAGCTTTCCGCTCATCTCCAGTGCATGAATTTTTCGATTCTTTTGCATAATCCGGGGGCCGGACGGTTTTCTTTGCCCCAGCTTGGCGAATCGCATCCCCGCGCAACGACATTGTCGCCCCTTACCATTCTTTGACCTCTCAAGAGTGTTGTCTCAAGAGCGTAGTAGTCATATGGGGAGTGGTTGACCTCAAAACAGCCCAGTGGGGGCAGACTAGTTTAGTCTTCATACTATACAAATGGCCAATGTTCATCACTCTACAATTTTCCTCTTAAGATGTTTTTCATTTCCAGGGAACTGATCCTTCTGGTGGTCAATTTATCCCCGATCCTCCTCTTTCTTCCCCTCGGTGAAAAAAATTAAAATGTCCGAGATCCACATGAAGCGTTGAACTCATCTTCTCTCTCTCTCTCTCTCGCTCTGAGTCTCTCTCAGTTGTTCTTACTGTGTGCTGAATGGAATGGAATCCCTTCTTGGCTTTGACTCGACAGGGTGTGAGCGACATCGACCAGCTTGGGAAGATCTTTGCGGCCCTTGGGACCCCAACGCCGGCCCAGTGGCCCGACATGGTCCACCTCCCCGACTACGTCGAGTACCAGTTTGTCCCCCCGCCGCCTCTCCGCTCGCTCTTCCCCAACACCAGCGACGACGCCCTCGACCTCCTCTCAAAGATGCTCGCCTACGACCCCAAGACCCGAATCTCCGCCCACCAGGCCCTTGATCACAGGTCCCCCCCCATTCATACGTAATTGACATATATTTATCCAAATTCACTTACACATGTAGATTGACAGATAGAGATAGGGAGTTAGAGAGAGAGTATAAGTCTTGATTCTGCATGCAGGTACTTCACGTCGGTCCCGGCCCCGACAAAGCCGGCTCTGTTGCCGAGGCCCGCTCCAAAAGGGGAGTCTTTGAGCCGCCGGCTGCCGGACTTGAATGTGCAGAAGGGCCCGGTGGTGCTGTCGCCGCCGAGGAAGTCAAGGAGAGTGATGCTGCCAAAAGAGGCGGAGGGGAACCCCCTGGAGGCGGAGGACCGGGGCGGCGGTGGCGGCGGCCCGAGTGGGCACATGCCGATGTCGATTGACCTGGCGGCGGCCTTCGGGTCAAAGCCAATCCCCCGGCCGAAGCTTAACAGGTTAGATATCTGTTGACTTTCTAGTTGAGACCGCCCTGGATGGGGTTGACTTTCTGGATGAGGAGTCTAATGCGGTCGCTTATGCCCGAGTTTTGCAGCGTGGACAGGTCCCATCTGAAGAGGAAGCTGGATCTGGATGCAGAGTTTGGGTGATCGTCCCTCCGCCCCCTGTAGTCTGGTTGTTGTGAGGGGAATTTCTGATTTTTTTTTCTTTTAAATTTTACGGATGGTATCATTGAATTTTGTTTATTTTCCCGCGATATTATTGTATATGAATATCCCGTGTAAAGATCCGATTGCTGGTCGACGCGATTGACTTTCTATTCTTTCAAATGTCTGCATGCTGGCGTGGGGTTTGAACTACGGCAGTCAGAGAAGCAAGGGCCGGTAAGGATTGTTGACTTTGGTGGTCAACTTTGACGCCTGGCTCGGACAAAGATGTGGGTCTTCGAAGGAACCCGAACGGTCAAACTCGATCGGCACCGGCCAGAACCAGGACGCGGTCTCCACTCGGCCCGGCAGCAGATCGAACCGGGCGTCTCCGTGGTCCCCATCGGAGTTATTTCCACGTGGAAATCGGATCGCACGCATCCGGGGGCCTAACGCATCCCCCCGTCACCCGTCACCTCGAGTAGGGAGACGTAGAAAGAGAGAGAGAGAGAGAGGGGGGGGGGGGTTGGGGTTAGAGAGAGTTCCGTTCTTGTCGCGGGGTTGGAGAGGAGAGATAAAAAGGTCGAGGGGCGCGAGACGGATCCGTTTGTTCAGCACACGCTTCCACCAGCTTTCGCATCTAGACGGCGGGATTTGGTTGGCGTCGCCGCTGACATCACCGTCTTCCTCCTCTTCTGCTCCCTCCGATCATCCCCCCTTCGCCATCTCTTTCTCTCTTCTCCCCTTGTTTGGGTTTGTGTGAGTTGTAAATTATAAGGTCCCTGCCGGAGTAGACTGTTTCAGAAGAGGATACTACTATCTTCTGCTTACAGTTATACCGGGAGAGGCGAAGGGAGATGATCTGAGTTGTGATTGAGAGATCTCCCTGCCTTGCTTCGTCGGCCAGTCTTTGAGAATTCTTGGTTATTTAGTGTCGTTTGGAGGTGAGGAGGAGGAGGGGGGAAGAGTGTTGGAGAGCGGCGAAGGCAGAGGATGGGTATGGACTGGGAATCGCTGACGGAGGCAACTTCGGGTGCGGTGGGAGCCCTGGTGAGCACCACCGCGCTCTATCCGCTTGACACCTGTAAGACCAAGTACCAGGCGGAGATCCGATCCTACGACGACGACGGTCATGGGCGGCCCCCTAAGTACAGGTTTGTGGGGATTTTGAAGGGTTTATCGTCTTTTTCGTATGTTGTTTCCTTTTTTTCTACTGTTTTTCGATCTTCCTCTGGTATGCATTAGCATACTAATATAAGGCGATCGCGGTTGATTTTGTGCTCGTCTTTCGACTTCGTTATGAGCGGGACCGAACATCTGCTACTTGTTTTACTCGAGAAACTTGGTAAAATATATTTCCTGTTGATGGTATGTTTGATCTCATCCCTTTTCGTACATGGTTCTGGGGCGGCCTGGAATGGTCGGATCTATACGTTTCTAGAGATCGTTGCGGATCTATACGTGACTTTTTGGACAGCATCCTAGGAGTTCTGGTTTTGGAAAGCAATTGTTTCGAGCACTAGTGTTCTCTGCTTTCTGTACCTTTTTATTTGAACGTCTGGCACATACATGCTCCAGATCTAGTTATCATCACCATGGAAGTTGAACCCTTGGAAATTGATATGCTTCGTCATTTTCTTTGTTTATTTCTGCTCTTGTATCATTGTCGATACGTAGGATGAAACTAAACTTGGGTTTTTTTCCCCATTCCGAGAGATGATATTCTGACAATGATCATGAATATCAGAGACATGAGGTGTTTCTGAGGAATCGCACATCTACTGACATAGGCTAATTATCTGTATTGATCAACTTTTTGCTCTCCACTGAGGTGACAACTGTCCCATGCTATTCCAGCGGAAATAATGACGAATTATTGAGAAGACGAGGATCATGATGGGAATGATGGTTGCAGCCTGTGGGAAGGATGCCGCTGCCAGGGAGCTGAGAAGGGAAATCTGGAGCCTGCAGTCACAACCTAACCTAATCTTTCCATTCAGAAAAACTGTAGGTAGCGGAGGGTGTCTGTGAGACTAGTTCATACATAGGAGCAGCCGTTTGTCTGTGTGGGGAAGATGGCATGTGCAAAAAGACGGGATGTATGAAAGGAGAGTGGAGTTTGACATCTTTAGTTTTTTCTTTTCTTGGATTAGTTCATAGATTTTTTTTGGAATTTGATGCAATTCTAATAGAGAAAACTGCTAGTGGGGTTAAACATTTGGGTACATAGGTGATTCACAGAATTTTTTTTTATCACATGCAATTCTATGAGGGTAGTTAAGGAAACGCCATTTTTATTTCTCAGGAAACACGGATTTAAATATGAGTCAAATACTTTGAATAATTGCCATCTTTTCTTATATTTATTAAAAAAAATCACAATTTGATGTTATTTTTAAAAAAGAAACTTTATAAAAATACCTCAGGAGATGGGTAAAAATCTTCTAATCGTGTTTTGATCTGTACGTGTTTTTTGCTAGCATAACAACGATCTCTCGGTGCAACTACTAAGAGCTTAATCCCCTTTTATGCTTACTTTCACCAACTATTTTTTCCTTATATATTCCCAAACTTGTAATATGAATTAGTTCAATTGGGGTTAATATTACGCACTTCTCATCTCACAGAAAAGTTGGGCCGGGGTTTTTGAGTTATTGTTCTATAGGAACTGAACGATCTTCATCAATCCTTCGAAATTGGGTTGGTGAATGGAATTCTCTACTTAAAACTCCATGAGTTTTCTGCTGGCTTCTTGCTGGGAAGAATCGGACTTGCTTCTTGAGGTGCACAGGTGTTGACTTGAAACTCGTTGTAACTTGCCGGTTAGTTTTTTTTTTTTCCCCTGACTGATGGTGCTGCAGAGAGGTCTGTGTTGGGGTAGGTTCGTTCTGTCTGATCTTGAATCACTCTAGGCTCCAGCAATGTCTTCCAGGCTCAGTCACTCCTACAAAGCAGGCAACAGTCCCCTGCGTGGATTACGTTTTGCAAATATTAATTTCTGAAAGGACGTAACACTTCAGCTCATCCATCCATGCCTTAGGATCATTGATGCATTCTCATTCTCATGGTTCGTTTCTAGAGGACAAGAGCTTCTGATCAAGTTTCATTGATCCATTTTGCTGGTCATATTGAATTGCATTTTTAAATAAATAAAGCCTCAACCAGTAGTTATGTGTTAAGTCTTGCTGTACCATTTGGTGTGACGTAGAAGTGATTACCTTAAAGGATTTGCCACATTCCTGGCCGAAGGTATTTATTTATTAGGGAAAATAACATTCTCATTAACTTCCTTTAAAAAATTCCTGCTTTATTGGACCGGGCTTTATAAGGGAATTTCTTATCATTCATTGATCATAAGCTGAATCAGAAGAAGCTATCTTATGCAAGTTAAATCGCTGGTTTCTTCCTTGTGGATCCTGAGCATTATCACGTTTGCTTAATGCCTGGTTTCTTCGAAGAGAATATCCTGAGCAATATTATATTCTATCTTATCTTGTCCAGGAACTTGTCTGACGTTTTATGGGAAGCAGTTTCGTCTCGCCAGATCTTGTCACTGTACCAGGGGATTGGAACTAAAAATCTGCAGTCATTCATATCCCAGTTTGTCTATTTCTATGGCTATAGCTATTTTAAGAGGCTCTATCTGGAGAAGAGCGGATTTAAATCCATAGGAACAAAGGCGAATCTGGTGGTGGCCGCTGCCGCTGGTGCTTGCACTGCCATTGTTACACAGGTATACCAATCAGGAATAGAGGGAGCGTCGTTGAACATATATATAATATGATGAGGCCTCGAATTAAAATTTTCGGTGCTAACTTCTTCCACCTTGCAGCCACTGGACACCGCCTCGTCTAGAATGCAAACAAGTGAATTTGGGAAATCAAGGGGTCTGTGGGAAACTCTCTCGGATGGTTCATGGAGTGAGGCATTTGATGGATTGGGGATTTCGCTTCTCCTCACATCAAATCCCGCTATTCAGGTATATACTATTCCGTGATTTTAATCGTTGACCTTGACGCTTATCGGCTTCCTCTTATCATCACAAGACCCTCTCTGTAATTACAAGTAAAGAGAGTATTTTTTGGCATCATGCGACCAGCTCTCCTCTGTTCCCCACTTTTGATTCCCCCATTGAATGTCTTAACCGAAGGATAAAATATTTTTTTCTTGTTTGGGAAATTATCAAGCCATGATTTGACTGCTTCTTTTTGCCTAGAGACCACGAGCATCTTGATCACAATTTCCTTGTTCTACGCACCGCTCGGACGGTCAAAATGTGGAGCGCCGTTGTGCGATGATAATTTTGACCCCTCAGTTCTTGATTCCTCGCCTTGAAAAACTTTGCAGTACACAGTGTTTGACCAGCTTAAACTGAGGCTTCTGAAAGGACGGCCAGGGGACAAGGCAGGGTCAACAGCAGAAGCTTCCCCAGAGACTCTGTCCGCGTTCTCTGCATTCGTGCTGGGCGCTGTTTCCAAGAGCATCGCCACCATTCTGACTTATCCAGCCATCAGGTACTCAGACCCGTTGACTTCCATTTATTTTGATAATCATTCATGGTATTCTGAATGCTATGACGCTTTCCTCTACCTTGGGAGCTCACCGTTCATCCCCGAACCCTCTCTCCTCTCTTTTACCTTTGTCTCGGGCTTCCCAAGCCTTGCCCCAATTACCAGGCCGTTGGGTCTCTCTCTCTCTCTCTCTCCGCCCCCGCAATTCTTGGGTTCATCTAATTCTGTCTCTGTGAATAACCTAAACCCAAGGATTCTGGGGGTTTGCCGGGCCACAGCCATTTCCCCTCTTCGTAAGCCTCCTCACAATTGCTGGCCTATTGGTTCTCACATTCTTGAGTTTATCTTTCTCTCTCTATCTATCTAAGTAAGCCCAAAAACCCATGGATTCCATGGGTTTCCCGGCCGAGAGCCCTCTCTCCTCTCGTCTCCGGTTCCCAACCGTCGTCTGTTTCTCTCTCTCTCTCTCTCTCTCTCTCTCTATTCATTCATGGATGTCTTGGGATCTTGTCTTTGGACAGGTGCAAGGTGATGATCCAGGCGTCGAACGGGAGAGAGAAGGAGGCGGAGGCGGAGGAGAAGGCAGGAGGAGGAGGAGGAGGAGGAAGAGGGGGGCGGCCCAAGTCCCCCCCGAAGGCGTTCGCGGGGGCGCTGTCGGCCATCTGGCGGAGCGAGGGCGCCCCGGGCTTCTTCAAGGGGCTGCAGGCTCAGATCCTGAAGACCGTACTCAGCTCCGCCCTCCTCCTCATGATCAAGGAGAAGATCTCCCGCACCACCTGGGTCTTGATGCTCGCCCTCCGCCGCCTCTTGCTCTCCTCCCCAAGGCTCAAGTCCCCGTCCGCCTCCTCCTGACTCCATCTTCTTCCTCCTCTTCCTCCCTCTGGGTAGAAAGGAAGACGCCGATTCTTCAATTCTTTCCGTTCCCTGCTGAGCATAATGTTTCCCCCGCTCCCCGAACAACGAAGATTAAAACGTAGTCTTGGGCATTTTGATCCTCTTTCCCTCTCTACTGATTCTCTCTCTCTCTCTCTCTCTCTATATATATATATATGTAATATTAAATGATGGATTTGCTTTCGCTCTGGGCCGGATGGAAGTGCTGAAAGAGATTCAGGGTTTGACCCAGCTTATGGGCACAGTAGAGAGAGAGAGAGAGAGAGAGAGAGAGGTGTTGTCAAGGTGACGACGGGGGCTACGGGGACGACGAAGACGCCTCAACGGTGGTGACGTCGAGCTGGAGGGCACCACGCCGCCGGCGAAAGCTCTGCTCCGTCTGCCTTTTCTCGCTCTCGACGGCCGTGGATTTACCAGGTGGGCTGCGATGATTCAAGTCCAATCCCAGAACCCACCTCATACTCCACTCTCTCTCTCTCTGGTTTCTTGTTGGCTGTGCCGCGTGGGCAGCAGAGTGAAGCTTGGATAAATCCGAGGAGAAAAAGAGAGCGAGAGGACCCCGTTTGTTGCGCTGTCCTTCTGGGTTTGGAGACCCACCAGAGAGAGAGAGAGAGAGATGCGTCGTCGGTGAGAAGGACCTCCAGTACTCCGCGTAAGCGGAAGGAGAAAGAAGCAAAAGAAGATGGAGAGCTGGCATAGCGTGATAGCTGCATCCTTCAACCTCGCACGTTAACGCCTTGCCCAGCTGGCACCATAACCGGGTAGAGAGAGAGAGAGAGAGAGAGAGAGAGAGAGAGAGAGACGGTAATCTGGTAATTGTAGCTCGCCACATTAGTTGGAACGGGTTAACCAAACACGTCCACATCCAATGTTTTAATGTTATCATAACCACTAAAATCATATGAAATTAAATCTCTGTTTAGCAGGGTTGCGTCTCCTTGTTCTTACAGCCTGATGGCTGATCTGTTTCCATGTCCCAACATTCCCAGATCTTCATTGTCAGCAATGGGGAGAGAGAGAGAGGGAGAGGGAGAGGGAGAGAGAGAGAATTTTGTGGGGGCATTTGATCTGATGAACCATTGATCCGGATGATAAGGAAATTCGATAGGGGTTGCAGAAGATGTAGAAATCGTGATAATTATCTATAAATGGGTTTTTAAGAACTGTTTCCTGGTGATTTGTCCGGAATCCGTCGGCGGGAGAATCAAAGGGGCTTCCTTCCGACAGCGCGTTCCCGAACGCCTCCCCCGCCGTCACCGGTGCCGGTTTTAGCTTCCCTTCTTCCGAGATGGACGTAAAAGTAATACCAACCTAAGTTAGAGAGAGAGAGAGGGAGGGAGGGAGAGAGGAGGGGAGAGAGTGTATTTATTTTTAGTTTTGGAGCCGGCAGCACAGTGGGAGAGGATGATTTGACTGGTAGTCTCAAGAGAGGAATCGAGGGAGTCCTCGTCGGGAAACGGGGTAGCCGGCAGTCATAGAGAGAGAGAGAGAGAGAGAGAGAGAGAGAGAGAGAGAGAGAGAGAGAGAGAGAGAGAGAGAGAGAGAGAGAGAGAGAGAGAGAGAGAGAGAGATAAGAGAGAAGAGAGAGAAGGGGAGCCGACCACCGTCATCAACTGTAGGGGCGGGGGGGAAGCAGTCGAAAGAAGACAGAGGACAGAGCATTTCCTCTCACTGCCGCCAGCTCAGAGGCGGGGCGATGCACGTGACCGGGTACCTTCTCCTCCGCCGGCCAGCTCCCCTGCCGGTGGATGTCCATTCGTACCTCCGCCGCGCCGCCCACCACCCAAAATATAAAAAAGTTGGAGCCTTTTACTTTATTCTGGAGCCACCACCCCTCGAGGAACAGGAGTGGCCCCCCCCGAGCCGGAGGTTGGAGGGCAGCAGCTCTCTGGGACCCTCTCTCTCTCTCTCTCTTCCTCTCTTTCTCTTCTTATCTACTCGTCGTCCTCCTCCCGCGGCCTGGTACGGCCGGAGCAGCGGCGTCCTGAGGGAAAAGGTGTTCCGAAGCAACCACGGATAGGGGTGGTTAGAGAGAGAGAGAGAGAGAGGGAGAGAGGGAGGGAGGAGCTATGAAGGAGCTGGAGTCTGATTCGGAAGAGGACGTTCCCACGCGCTTCTGAAGAAAACTGGGAAGATCTTGGGAAGCCCCGTCTCAGCTTCTCGAGGGTAAGCAGGCAGCCGCCGAGCTTTATTCCACTCTTGGCGGTGATCTTTCTCCTATTGCTCGAACACTCTCTCTCTCTCTCTCTCTCTCTCTCTCTCCTATGCTGCTTGCTCGCTTCTCCTTCTTGCCTCCTCCCCATGGGAATCTCTTGCATTCTCTTCATTTCGATTCTTCTTCTCTCCCAGCTTCATGAGCCTTTACCCCAATCTCTCTCTCTCTCTCTCTCTTTTTCTCTCTCGCTCGCTCTTGCCTGAGATGTCTGGGAACTCCTCTCAGCTCATGGTTTCCGCCTGCATCTTTCGATCTCTTTCGTTCTAACAGCAGGGCTCCGCGAGGAGGAATAAACTGGCCGCTGGGCGGGTGATGGAGACATTGTGTGCTCATCGGGAACGGCGGCGATCTGGGCCTCTCCCATATTATTCATGTGCTCTTCCCGAGCTTCATCCGGAAGAGCCATCCGAGGACCTGGTTTTCATCCTGCATAAATTCGGATCTTTCCGAAAGGCTTCCAGTAATCCGGGAGAGAGAGGGAGTGAGAGCGATTTAACGTGTGATGCGAGATTGCGCACAGATAAATCTAAGAACAGAAAATCGATATTTTCATCTTCTGTTGAGGATCATTTCTTACCGTGAATATCGGAAGCTTTTGATACCAATCGCGCCATTGTCACTGAATGATCCCGGCCATTCTCTTAGATCAGACTGATAAATCCATGCTCCCACTGAATCATCTTGTTCTTAATGAACGATGCAGTCATCGGACGATGAATTCGCCGGCGCCGGCCGCCGCGGAGGTGGAGCTCTACTCGTCGCTGGGGCTGAGCTGGGCCGGCAAGGAGACCCCCGCCGCCCCGCGGGTGCTGTCCCTCCTCTCTTCCTTCCTCGAGAGGGCGATTCAGAAGAACGACAAGCCTATCGAGGAGAAGAACAGGGAGAAGAAGGGCTCCACCACCATCTTCCATGGCCTGAGAGCCCCCAATCTCACCATAAACAGCTACTTGGAGCGGATCTTCAAGTACTCGAGGTGCAGCCCCTCCTGCTTCGTCCTCGCCGAGATCTACATCGACAGGTTTCTCCAGCGGCCAGGATCCCATCTCACCTCTCTCAATGTCCACCGCCTGCTGATGACCAGTGTCGTTGTGGCGGCGAAGTTCATCGATGATGGGTAGGTTCAAGATTTCTTTTATTTTAGTTTTTTTTAAGAATTAATTTTCCAATTCATTCTTTTTTTCTCCTAATTTTCGTATTCATCGTAAGCTCTCAAGACTACACGATATTTTTTTTGGGATTTCAGGAAATTCCCACGTATTTTTCTACCAGTTTTCTTGATCTTCTCCGACTTCCCTGGCTCTTCCAGTTTTATTTTTTTCTTTTTTTCCTTTCCTCTGAATAAATTTAAATAATTAATTTCCCGATTTTTATCTTGTTTGGGGGATTTCAGGATTTATTTCTGCTTTTTTTTTCGTATTTTAAAATGATGACTCTTCCGCTCCCTTTTCCTCCTTTTTTTCCTACCATTTTTTCCCTTGCTCTCGCATTTCCCTTTTCTCTAACTTAATTTAATAATTAAATACCCAAATTCCAGCTGTCACCACCATCTGGTTTTCCGTCTCTGGGTTCCTAACTTATTTTTTCCCTGGTTTTTTCACCTATCCATCTGCAGGTTCTTCAACAACGCGTACTACGCCAAGGTGGGCGGCGTCAGCACGGGGGAGATGAACAGACTGGAGATGAGCCTCCTCTTCTCCCTTGACTTCCGGCTCCACGTCACGGTCGCGGCCTTTGACCGCCACTGCCGCCTCCTGGAAACGGAGGCCGCTGCCACCGCCGCCCTGGCGGCGGTCGAGCGGCCACTCAGCACCTGCGGGCTCACCGCCTCCGCCTGCGTCACCAAGGAGGAGTTCCAGGGCAAAGAAGCCGTCCGGAGCTTCAGCTGCGGTGCCAGCTGAAGGAACTAAACCACCCTCCCCCAGTTCCTATATTTAGGTAGATGATAGATATACCAGAGAGAGCTCGAATCAGTGGATCACCTGGGACTTTCCTAATTGGGAAAGTCAACCTCCCCTCTCTGGGGCTCTGCTCTGAAAGCCTTCCCTTTGTAGTAACGTGATGTCTGATGAATGGAAGCTATGGATTCTTCTCTCCCTTTCTCTGACTACTTTCGGAAAAATTTGGGGTTGACCTACTGTTAAAAAAAACCTGCTTTGTAACACTTCCAGAGATCGATCAGGCCAATGGGGAAGATCTTGAAGCTTTTTATCATGGATTGAACAAAAATTGCAGTTCATAGAGCAGAAGCTGATGGCCGAGAACACAGTTTCAGAGAGAAAGAAGAAAAAAGGGATGGATCTATCTCTTCAAGAGATGCGACATGGCGGAGGGCTGTTGAAGCTCAAGCGGCAGGTGAGGGGGTGTACCAGCCGTGGTGGATCTCCACGGTCTTCTTCCTCCGCGCCAGGCGGGACTTGCGGCGGGCGCCAGTGTTCCTGTGCAGCGAGCCCGCCTTCACCGCCTTGTCGATCGCCGAGTACGCCTCCGCAACCAGCTTCTCCACCGGGAGGAGCTCCTCGGCCTGCGCCTCCGCCTTCTTCTTAAGCTCGTCCAATGCTTCGAAAACCTGGTGTGGGAGGATGATTTAGGGTTGGCTCCATGATTTAGGATTGGGAGGAAAAAAATGCACACACAGAGATACATATATATATATATATGTATATGGTATTGCAAAATGAAATACTATGTATGCAATGCTGATTGAAATAAATCATAAATATAGAAAGAAATTCTGAACCGAAGTGAAATACGTGGGTTAGGATAGATTGAGTGAGGGAGCTGAGAGCAGAGAGTTTCTTGAGACTCTTCTTCACTAATTTTCGAAAGGAAAAATATGACCTACCAAAATAATGTACGATGTATGTAATGCTGATTTGAATAAAATCATAAGAATAGAAAGAAATTCCAACCCTAAATGAGCATCCAAGTTGAGAAAAGATTAGCGGGGAATTGAGATGAGGCTACTGAAGCAGCTGATTGTTTGAGTGGCTCGCTAGAAGTTGACTCTTCTTCATCACTGTAAACAGATTTCCAGTAAAAAATAATTATATCCTCCATTTAATTGCTTATATGGGCAATGCAGGCTGGGCTAATCCTTGAGGAAGAACACAACAACCTCCGTCTTCATTTTTTCTTTCCCAACTCAACTTCTGATTCAACAGTTCTTGGGTCAGTGCCTTCCCCGCCATCGCCAATGAACTATTAAGGCAGTATTCTACAATTTCCCATCGCACAAAGCATGTGTTATTTAATTTCTAGGACTGTGGAGATTAGTCTCAAAGATCAAAAATATACATCACAAACACCGGGGCAGTGTTTGATCGTTTATGGTATCCCTGAACGGAAGTTCTGAAATAATAAAGATAAAAAACATAATTCATGAAATAAAAGAATAATAATAAAAAAAATTGGAATAGTGTGACGCCCCTCGCATACAGACAGTAGGATCAGACGACCGTTGCCCTGCTCGGACGGTCTGACCATGATCCAATTTCACCCAACTGTATTTCAGATATGAAAGGGATGATACAAAAAAATTGAGGGAATTTATTGGGAGACGCCACGCTTCGAAGAACATCTTTCACGCTCATGTCGCAAGCTCGGGCATTAAAATGGAGCAGTGACAATTTCTGTGCTGAACTACTTTTTGTGCGCTGTTCTACAGCGGATATGAAGCTGGCATTTGATTAAATGTCGCCTACTCTTAGGGATAGAGTTGGGCCAGGAAAATAAAATAAAAATCAAATGAATCAGCTAATGCTACCAGGAAGAGCGGATTCGTAGGTCCACATCTTAGCAACATAAACTAGTTTCTGTCAGGAGCTAACGTCATTAAATTACTTTTCAACATAATCTCGCGATGATCTTTCCGTTGATTAATGATGACTTATCCAGATCCAAAACAAGACCGGAACCCAAAATAAATTCAGACTAAGCGCAATTTAGTTGACCGAGGCTTAAACTGAAACGGTGTTGACCTGGCAGAAACAACGAATTTCTTCCGAAGCAGAGAACACGACGTGATTAACGATTAGCACATGATATTGACGCTTAAAATTATGATAAAACAGGGTGACAATCGGATTACAGGGATAGTGAGAGACTAAGTTAAACTCCGACCCCTGAGATTGAAGAACAACGGAACCCTACGGTCAACAATACTGGCTGATTTCTTCTCTCGGAACTCACAGCAGAGAAATTCATTTCCAGATTGCTTATTACGAGGGTAAGAGATTCTGAATTGATACCCCTGCGAGATTATATCACCAAATGTTTTCAGATCATTTTTTATTCAATCTGAATTCTCGTGACAGACACCGACATCACAAAATGCCCCAGATTTATAGAAAGAAAGCACACCTATACACTTTAATTTCAACGTGACGAGGCCGTAGAACTAACCTTCTTCATTCGGGTTTTCATTTCCGATTTCTTGGACTTGTTATATATCCGCCTCTTCTCGGCCTGGCGAGCTCTCTTAGCAGCCGAGTCCGCCTTCTTTGTAGTGGCCTCGCAGACGACAGACAGACCTCGGCGAGGGCTTCCCTTTTCCACAGCTCTCATCGACATCCCCGCTGGAACAGGAAGGAAACATTCACAAAACTAACAAAGAACGATCGAAAAAATTCCCTGTACACGATCATTTCCCCCAAAAAAAAGAAAAACCCAAGCTCACCTTTCGGTAGCGCCGTCACCACCACATTCGTGGAGAACGCCAAGGATTTAAGAGGCTGAGGGCGAGCATGAGCGCTGTTACTCCCGCAGCTTATCGACAAGGATTTCAGTCTCTGGGAAAGCGATAAGCAGGACGACGAAGAGGATAAACAATGAAGAGCCATGGCCTTGTCCAGCTCCTCAACTTCTGCCGCAGCCCTCCACTCCCCTCCAGAACTCTCCGTCCCCAACCTCTCCGTATCTCACCACTTTATCCGGAAGAGGAGGAAGACGATAGGGAGGTGAGGGGCATATCCACAAGAGACCCGATTAATTCCGGGTCGGTTCATAAGGCCCAATAACGTATGGCTCATTAATGAAAAGCCCAATTAAGCAGTGGACCAATCGTCTTCCCCCCCACTCACCGTCCGCTGGTTTCTCTCCCCTCAGCTCTCTTTCCACCTCCGTCGCCCTCCGCCGCCCTGCGACCATTGATCGCCATGGTAAGCTTGTTTTCTTCCTGTGCTGGTTTCAAAATTGAATCTCCTGCGACTCACCTTCATCTGCATCTTTGCATACGCGGAAAAGGTCGATGGTAATCTGGTCGGAAGATGAGCTAAAAAATATGCCCCGCGGTCGGGCGTACCTTTGGCGTAGAGTTCGATGCCTGTCACGACGACTACAACGACCGGAACTTGATGCTATAAATTGAATCGACAGATTCAGCGGATTAGAAATTTCTGGGCGGGTGAAACTGTGACAACTGAGGCTGCCGACTAGTTTACAACGGTAAACTGAGTCAGGAGGAGGGTTCTCGCTCCCTTGGAGCATCCGCAGAAACGGTGTTCTTCATCCTGGTGAGTGTAAAAAGCTTGGCAATCCTTGTATTACAGATATTTATTTTACAATCTTTTCATTCGTTTCTAGACCTTGGGGATAATTTGCATCCCCGAGATCTTTCATTCGAAAAGTTTTTCATCGAATTTTTGTTAACTTTCAGAATTCCTGTGATCTTAACGGCAGCTACCTACCTAGGTAATGCAGCACTATACGATGGTTGTCCCAGGAATGAAGAATAGTCTTGTTTTTTCTCATGCTTATAGCCTGATCCTGATCCTACTAGCCGTAATCTTCGGAATATGATGGTCGATGGGAGATTCGTTGAATGGATTCAAAATAGAATGGGAGATATCTGGGGTTCAAAGACAAGGATAGAAGATAACTGGGGTTTCTTTTTTATCCTATAGGGATGACCTGATCCGCAAGGAACCTGATTGGTAATGATCAGTGCGTCTTTCTCAGAGGAAGAGGCGAAACGTAATCAACATGAATTAGGGGCAGCCATTCGAAATCATAGGGAAATACTCGATTTGCTTTTCGTGAAAAGAGACCAATTGAAGGGAGGATTTCTTCAGACAACAGGGAGCTGAAGCAACTGTGCAATCAATTGATGCTTCGAGCGAGTTCCATCTCTTTTTCTTCTCAAGAAATGAGCGGGCTGTTTCTTTGCAAAATTGTGTGCAATTCCATACGTCGTGATTCTGCCTATAAATGAATTTTCCTGTTCCGTTTTGTTCACCTGGAATTCTCCGCTTGTTCTTTAAGAATTATTCTCTTTCCATCACACTTTAGGGGAACTTGTTATGAATATATCATTAAATAAAAATCTTAAATCACGCAGCAACCTCATGAATAAAAGAATCAGCTCATAAACAGTTTATTCCCGCTAGTAACCTTCATCAATTGTCTGCGAGAATGTTCCGCAGAGTAAGTGTAGGATCTTTTCATGCACTTGCTAGTAATTGTAGAATATTTTGAAGGAATGTCAGCCGGAGTCTGGAATTCAGAACAATCTAGGAAAATGATTGCAATTCGTTATCTGTAGTGGATCAGCAGGGGGAGCCTGGTGACTAAAGTTTCTTCAGGTCTCGGGGGCTTGGGAGAGTGATGAGATGTGGAGATCAGTGGTCGAGGCTGCTGTGTGAGACCCGGACTGGATTTCAGGATCTGTAACATGGATGAGAAGAGAGCGTGGAGAGATTAAGAATGCCAAATACTTGTAGTGTTGTGAGTAATCTGCGGGCATGAACTGCTGGTCTTGCTCTAGACAGTGGATTGTGACATTTATCTATTTGTCTTACGGTCGTATAATAATAGGAAGCGTTTCGTAAGTGGATGGATCGGAGGATTTGTTGCAGAGGAAACAGCTTTTTCAACCTCCATGAGAATCATGCTGGAGATCCAGGAAATTACCGCAGAGTATTCAAGGAAAAAAAAAAACTGGGAATTCTGGCCTGGTGAATCATATTTATTTCTACATATGTATCTGTATCTATATCTATATCAGATTTTTGATCCGATCTCCATCTTCCATGCTGGCTCAGGGATGTTTGTTGTAGACCCTTCCGAATGTATAAACCCCATAGAAATCCTGCTTCCAGCACTATGTATGATCTTGTCAAGCATGAACAGGCCAACCCAGATTTGAGCCAGATCCCAGATTCAGTTGTTGATTCATCCACCTCCTTCGAGGTGGATGAACACTTTGTGGCTTTCTATGAAACGAGAACATTTCCAGAAACAGAATGCCCTGTATTTTATGTTGAAACCTTGGTTTACCGAGCATTTTTATGAAGGCTGCATTGCGATCCTTGAGATGAGTGCTGGCGGAGCTTTCGGCGGCAACCGGGGGCTGCGGCCGGTGCCACCGGAGAAGGGCGTCTTCCCTCTGGATCACCAGCACCAGTGCGACGTGGAGAAGAAGGAGTACCTCGCCTGCCTCAAGACCTCCGGCTACCTCTCCGAGAGGTGCAGGCAATTCTCCAAGAAGTACCTGGAGTGCCGGATGGAGAAGAACTTGATGGCCAGGCAGGACCTGTCCGAGCTAGGGTTCTTGAAGGATTCTGGGGCTCGGATTGACCCTCCTGAGGATTCCAAGGAGAATGGGGCCGCTATTACCCAAGACTGATTTTTTTTAAAATATTTTTGCCTGTGTTTTTTCTTTATGATCCCACTGTTGAAGAGATCGTTACCTGTTGCAGTCTAGATGGGTTGTGGAGACTAGTATCTCTCTCTCCTCTCTCCTCTCTCTTCTCTTCTCTTCTCGTCTCCGGTATCTGTTGTACCTGCTGCAGTCTAGATGGGCTGTGCAGATCAGAATCTCCCTTCTGTCTGTGTCTGTCTGTCTGTCTGTCTCTCTCTCTCTCTCTCTCTTAAATTTATGTTGGGATGGCTTAGTTTGGTAAGTCTTGGGAGTTGACCTGACCCATGTCTGCCCGGGTAAAAGTGAAGTGGGATAGAAATATTAAGTTAAAGTCTAATCCACTGGTGGGCTGACTTTCCGGACCGATGAATCTTAGCTGTACGTAAAAAATCCAATCCCTTGGGGCCTGGGTCAGGGGATAAGACGGCGCCGCCCAAGCCGTGTTCTAGTCCGACAAGAAATCTTCCTTTACCTTCACCCCGGTGAGAACCCTAATTCAGAAACAAATCCACCGACGCGGGTTGGCCGCGGCCAAAAACAGGTTGCCTTGTCAACGCCACCGCTATCCCCCCCCTCCTCCAACATTGGACGTCAGTCGATGTGGATTATTAGACCCGCCGGAGGAGAAGAAGACAAGCAACCATGTGCTCCACCTACTTGGTGGAATCAGACCTGGAATTCTTCCCCCTTCTTCCTCTTACCTCCACAGAGAGCGATCTAGAGAGAGAGAGACAGAGAGATAGATGATGGCACTGCCAAGGAGAATCATCCTGGTGCGGCACGGGGAGAGCATGGGGAACCTCGATATGGCCGCCTACAGCACGACGCCGGATTATCGCATCCCCCTGACGCCGCTCGGGGTTCAGCAGGCGCGCGCCGCCGGGATGAACATCCGGGATCTCCTCTCCTCCGCCTCCGTCGGCGACTGGAAGGTGTACTTCTACGTGTCCCCTTACGAGCGCACCCGCTCGACGCTGCGCGAGCTGGGGCGGGCCTTCCCCCGCCGCCGCGTCGTCGGCGTCCGCGAGGAGTGCCGCATCCGCGAGCAGGACTTCGGCAACTTCCAGGTGGAGGAGCGCATGCGAGCCATCAAGGAGACCCGCCAGCGCTTCGGCCGCTTCTTCTTCCGCTTCCCCGAGGGCGAATCCGCCGCCGACGTCTTCGACCGCGTCGCCAGTAGGAACCCTGGAAACCGTCGCCATGAATATTCGCTCGCTCATTGTTTTCAGTGGGGGGGTTGACTTTGAGCTCGGGAGTTGCAGGTTTCATGGAGACGCTGTGGAGGGACATCCACATGAGGCGGCTGAACCAGGAGGAAGGGCGGGAGATGAACCTGGTGATCGTTTCCCACGGGTTGACCTCACGGGTGTTCTTGATGAAGTGGTTCAAGTGGACGGTGGAGGAGTTCGAGAGGCTAAACAATCCCGGCAACTGCGATGTAAGGGTGATGGAGCTCGGCCCCTGCGGGACCGAGTACAGCCTCGCAGTCCACCACTCCACCGAGGAGCTCGAGAGCTGGGGACTCTCGCCGGAGATGATCGCCGACCAGCGGTGGCGCGCCGCCGCTTGCCGCGGTCCCTGGTCTGATGATTGTCCCTCCTACTTGGACGGCTTCCTCGACCTTCTCGACGACGACGACGACGAAGGTGGCGGCGACGAGGACGAAGGCGGCGCCGCCAGAGAGGGGTGCCGCCCCATCGAGAGCTCTTCCTCGGGTTGACTATATTCTCTGGGTCTCGCCGCCACACCTCGGAGAAATTCGTGAAAGTAGATTTGATCCCCTGACTTCTTGTACTTCTTCTTGGCACGAATGCCTTGATTGGACACACAAATATATTCATGGGAAAAAATAAATCAGACTATCTTCATGTCAGAGCAATATAAATAAGTAAACACCTCTTCAAGAATATAGTCTGGTTCTCTCTAGACCCCAATTATCGCTTTCATTGCAGAAGAATATAAAACAAAAAATAAAAATGATAACTTTGACAAACCCACCATCACGGTGGCGGCGAATTCTGCCCGAAGAAGCAACCCACATCAACGATTCAACAGAATTGGCTACTTATGCACCAACAAGCGATCAAATTGTGCAGACATTGCAACAACGACCCCAGTTATCGCTTTAATAGCAGAAAAAAATAAAATAAAAATGACAACTTTGACAAAGCCAACTTCTTGAAGAAACAACCCACATGTATGATCCAAAGAAATACCTTCTTATACCAGCGACTGACATAAATGCGCAGTGACACGAGGGGTAGAGAGAGAAAGGAAGCCCTCCAGTCATCAAGAAGACACTGAGTGGAAACCATAAACTTATATCTGTTCTTGGAGGTGGAGAGGGAGGGGGGGGACTACTCAGCGGGGGTGAACTTGAGCGAAATGCTATTCACGCAGTGGCGCTCATTCGTGGGCGTTGGGAAGCCTTCACCTTTAAAGACGTGACCCAGATGGCCCCCGCAGGCTGCGCACGTGATCTCGATCCTCCTTCCATCAGGATCCGGCTGCAACAGACACACCTCATATTATGATGTTCATTAAAAGGATTTCAAGATGAACCAGGAAGAAAATGAGTGAGGAAAGGAAAGGAACGGAGAGGATTGTACCGTGCGCTTTATTGCCCCAGGAAGCCCCTCGTAGAACGCCGGCCAGCCACAGCCGGAGTCAAATTTCGTCGTGGATTTATACAGTGGGGTTCCACAACCTGTACAGTTGTATACACCCTCTTCATAAAACTTGTTATACTCTCCGGTGCCCGGATACCTACACGAGCACAGCAATATCTGATGAACGTGTCCATCTGACAACCAGAAGATGATCAAGACCTTAAATTGCCAAAAAAGGAAAAAAAAAACTACGACATCTTTTTCCACCCACAAAGATGGGGAGAGGGAACTTAACCACGTCCCTGTAGAGTCAGATGGAAAGCAGGTTTATTTTTCCTCCATTGAGGATGTTTTTTGGCACTTGGAAGCCAGAAGAGGAAAATGCAACAATGGCACATAATTACTGAATACTAGACGCCGACCGTTGACTCAATCTGGTGTTGATAGGAGTGCCATTTAATCACCCCTTATCTTTGATCAAGAAAACAGATTGATAGCCCTGTTGCACCAGCGGAGATCCACAGAATGAAATTGTCAGAGTAATTGGGCCATGCAATTCAACACCAATTGGGCAATCAGAGAGAGGAGTATGCCCACCTTTTTAATCACAGCCTCAGGCTCCTTTCTATTACAATCAATATTAGGATATTCTTAAGAGAACTGACAGAGGCTTCAGCTCTTGATGTAAGATTCAAAGATCCCTTAGTTTTAATCTTGGATTCCACTAGCAACGGATTTCTCATATTTACCTACTTATACGTACCTAACCTCCAGGACTATATAAGTATGCAATATTGTTGCATCATACCAAAGATTGACGATATTTTCCCATCTATCAATCAATGAATTGGTGGATTTCATATCCATAGCTCTTATAGTATTCAAGTGTCCTGACCCAGTCAGCCAAAGTCGTCACTTTCTTCCCCATCTTTCTTCTTTTATGTTTTTATATCTGAGGCATGCTCCCTAGCAACGTGATAGGTATGGATAGAGTTTTGTTTTTATTTATTTTTTATATATTTTGAATCAGAACTCAGAGGGCCATAGTGGTGATCCTGCATTTCTTTCTTCCACCTGTTTCGGAGATTTTAAACCTTCGCACATACAGTTTCTCTTATATCTTAAATCAGAGAGCAATTTCGTTCCAGAAGAGAGTCAATGTACTGCTCAAGAAATGAAGAAAAGAATTCCGTGGGCTTGTTCATGCACCCCAGTCTTGCTTCATTTGATGAAATTTTAATCCCCGAAAAAAAAAAAGAAAAATGATATCCATTCCAGGTTGATGAAAATTCCGGCCATGATACGTCGATTAGCATGCAAGGGTTTCTTTTAATAATATTATGGATACTTTCAAGAAATAATTATGGAGATTGGAAAAGAAAAAAACATAGCGATTTTGCTTTCAGGGGGAGCAGACGATCGAAAACGCAAGCAAAACGATGCAACTTCGGAATTCAGTGACCATACTCGGTCCCCTTCTGGCGGAGGATGTAGAACTGCTCCGGGCTGAGGATTGCCCTCCACTCTTCCTCGGACTTCTGCACAGAGTTCTCGGAATAGACCATGGCAGCTACGCCTCTTCTCCCCTTGCCGCCACCGCTCATGCGAGGGAGCCCAAAGCCCGTCGTTCCCTGAGGGGAGTTCGACAGAGACAGGGACGCGCGGGCCTGAGGTACGCTAGCGAAGGACCTGGAAGGGCGAACGAGGGTGGCCGCTGCTGCGAGAGTTGCCGTCCTCGTGGTCTGGAAGGATGCGATGCCGGTCCCGGCCTTCAAAAGCTGCACGCCCATCTCTCTCTCTCTCTCACCTCCGTCCTCTCCCGAGGCTTCCTGAAAAATTTCAGCTTTTCTTCACCCCATCCAATATCCTGTTATAAATTATAATATCCTTATATATATGGAAATAATTTCCATGGGCCCAATTTTTTTAATCTTGAAACTATAATTATAAGTTTTAACATAGGAATTTATTAATGAAATCGACGCATATGGTTTTGCCTGCCATTTTTAGAAAGGAAAACGAGGAGAGGCGTCGCTGGCCTGCCCTCAGGAGCTGCACTCCCATCTCTCTCCGTCCCTTCTCCGCTCTCCCGGGCTTCCTGAACAATTTCAGCTCATTCCCATTTGATATCCTATTTTGAAATTATAAATAATATCCGAATATATAATTAAAATAATTATCCTTAGTCCGAAATTTTAAATTGAAATAAATTATATCTAAAAATAAAAAGCGGGAGTGTATGAATAAAATTGAGGCAGTTTGTATGTCGTTCTATAATTTTTGCCAGGCATTTTTTTGGGAAAAACAAAAAACGGAGATCGTCGGCAACTCGCCCGGTTCGCCCCGGTCCGAGTCGCGGCTCGGGTTTGTGACTCGGGCCCTTTTATTCTCAGTATGGGGCTTCTTCGCTCTATGGGGGCGCGGGATTTCCTCCCAGCAGGCGGAGGAGCTGGCATGTGGAGTGGTACCTCAGCGGCAAGCTATCGGAGAGCTTCGGGTCTGTGCCTGCACTTTGCCTCCTCCGCAGTCTTGGCTCCCCCTGCCCATCGCTCTCCGCTCTCTCCGTCATGGATCTTGGGCAGCGATTCGGTCGGGGTTTTGGCCCGGGGGAAGGTTCCAAGGGCGGCGGCGTGTCTCTCCTCTTCGGAAGTATGTCGGCAAGCCCTGCCGCAACTTCTACGGCAACCCCTACGGCAGCCCCCTTCAGGAGCCCCATACCCTCAGGCGGGGCGCCGGAGCCGCAACTCCCGCCGTCCATTCCGCACCGACCGGCGGAGCAACCACGGAGGTATGCAAACCAATGTCTTTGTTTTCCGAGTCTTTTCTTTCTTGCCCTTCCCTATTAGATAGTTTCTTTTCACCACCCTAGGGCTTGCCTGCTGATGTTTGAGTTCGTGTCTTAGTCATTTCTACTTCTTTTTCGTTCTTTGCTTCCTTTGGGAATAAAGAATGAGGATCGTGTCTGGTGCATGATCATTCGTAAAGGAGGAGTTATATGTTGGCTTTATGTAGCTGAATAGTTATGTTGGGACAATTATGATGAATGGTCTTTCTTTTGTTAAATATGCATCAGTTGATAGTTCATATGTATCTTTCTTGTTCTTAATATGTGGATGTATAATCAGTTGCGACTTCGTCTAGTTTTATTCTGATAACATTTAGATTTGTATCTAGAAAACACTATTTGTCCCCTTGGAGAAGATATTTTTTCTGGTGCTAAACTTCGCACACATCCACACAGATGCCACTGCATCCTAGGACCTGCTTAGAGGTTTCGAATCGACTATTTTTATCAATTAATCAGAGTTTTTTTAGAGTGGACCTTAGGGTGAGACCCGGCAATCTTTTCCAACTGATATGATATACATAGATATTTCAACAATATTGACTGTGGAAAACATCGAGGGAAGATTATTTGATGGATTTTTTTTTTTTTTAAGAGTAGCTTCTTATCTAATGGATATCTGTATAAAGGTTTGTGGATCATATAGTTCGTGAGGCGAATGTTATGGGAATTGGATTACAAATAGACTTAAGGTATGTTAGAACTTTGGAGTTGGATGAGGGATTTTTTACCTCCCAAAGCTATGGCCGCGTGACAGTGAAAGAGTTGTCGTGGTGTCAGTAAAATGTTTTTCAGCAGTTTCGACAGGATTATATTGGGATCCTCAATTGTGAAATATTACTGATAAATAGTTTGATTTATGTAATGGGATGTTACCTGTTATCACTTCACTTCACTTCATTCTATTTTGGGAAACATTTGGATAATGAAATGGTAAAAAATAGTCTTTTATGGCTGATAGAACCAGGACTGGAGTAAAACGCATGTGAATAATTTGATCTTCTATGTGCTGGTTGAAATCAGTTTTGATAATCTTTTTCCATCTTTCTTGAACAGTTGGTGAAGCAACTTATAACAAGAAACCAGAAATTTATTATATAATTGAGATTCCGTATGACATTCCATATAATTGAGCCTTTCAAGAAATATCTTTTTTGGAGGCTCAGAAGTTACAGTTGGCATTTGCATACCATGCAGAGTGATAAATCTCGGCCAGAATGACAAGGATTTTAAATTAGAAACTGAAAGTAAAATTCCGGATTGATTACAAACAAAAATCCCACTACATTAAACGGTAGTAGGTTTCAACTGTGGTGGACGGATGCACAAGAAATTCGGGGGAAAAAACAGAATCAATTGGTTCTTTCCAGAGCCTTCATAGAATCAATTGGTAATATTTTTAAAAATATTACCTGCTTTGTTTCTGTCACAAAAAGAAAAATCAACAATAAATTTTCAGAGGGATAAGTTGTTATCATGGCCACCTCAGACTGTTGAAGTTTACAACTTATGCATTCCACGACCATGATTTGGAATTGTTGACGCAAGTTTACCAAGTAATTGATCCCCAAGTGTACTGGGATCAAGTAGATTATGAACCAGGCGAGATTCCATGTTGACTCCGAGAAAATGCTTAGTCCAGGATGGAGATTCTGTGTGTTCGACTGGGAAGAAAAGAGGGAGAGGCGATCCACTTATCCACATATTTGAAACCTGTTATATTTACCTGTTATATTTGCACTGGAAACCAAATGGAGACATGATCCATATGTTTGAAACCTAGAATTAAACTGGACGCAATTAACGTAGTTGTGTTTTAGTGATTCAATACTTTATCTGGAGTAATGAAATGTCTTTAGTAAATATGGTTGCCATGATTCAGTTTTTGCTCTTGTTTGCTGGAAATTAAAGTGATACAATGATCACCAACATGGATTTATCTTGCAAGGTATTTATCAGCACTTTATTTTGCAATGTATCTGACTTAACATGGATCACCTCAAGATGACCAACGAAGCATTGCAGAAGTTTATCTGACTGTCAGTGACTCATGAACTGGTAATCTATTCTTCAGGGATGATGCGTTTCGATTTGATAGTCGCCAGAGATCTCCCATTGATTCAACGCAAAAATTAATGTCTGACGCTTCTCATGCTCTTGCAAATGCTGGTGGAACCTCCTCTTCGCGAATTCCTGCCCAATTTCAGGGTCCCAAAAGGACCAGATCACCTCCTTTACCATCTGCTGCTGCTTCTTTAAATATTCCACACTCCACTGAGCTGGATTCCGAGAGGTGATTCCATTTGGCATTTCACTTCTTCTAACTGTGATTATTCCCAATAATTGTTCTGCATCCATCTGATTTATTTTTCAACTGAAGGGAGATGGAGGCTAAAGCAAAAAGATTGGCACGATTTCATGTAGAACTAAGCAAAACAGAAGAACAGTCGTTTGAATTTTCGAGGAAAGTTTCTGGAAATAAAACCAGTCAAGTTCAACCGCAGGCAGTAAAGCTTCCCATTGGGGACTCTAACAGGAAACCAGATTCATTAAACGGGGGCCTTCTGCCTGATAATGAAGGCCTGGAGTCATACACGCCAATACACGGTGTATGTCCAGATATGTGTCCAGGTATACTTTTCATCTTTGTCACTGGAAGCTTTTCTGTGTTATGACTCCCTGTGGGATATGCTTTTCTTCTGGTTGACAAGATATGTGTTCATTTTAAAGAAAAATAATCAGGGTACAATGCAAAAAGTATCTGGTTATTTTATTAACATTGCCTTACTCTTTAGAATCCGAAAGGGGAGAGCGTGAGAGGAAAGGAGATCTTGACAAATATGAGCGTTTGGATGGAGACAGGAACCATACAAGCATATCTCTCGCAGTGAAAAAGGTATCTAATTGCTGCGTTTAAGGGGTTCTTATGTAAGCTAGGATTTATTCTGAAGTCAGGTTTATATAACAGGAAGCATGATGGAAGTTATTTTCTAATTCATACAGTATACTAGGACGGCAGAACGTCATGCAGAGGTGATAAGGCCGTTGCCAGTATTGAGAAGGACGGTTGATTATCTTCTGGGTTTATTGAAACACCCTTATGATGATCAGTTTCTTAGCCTCTATAATTTCCTTTGGGATAGAATGAGAGCTGTCCGCATGGACCTAAGGATGCAGCACATTTTTAACCAGGATGCAATTGATATGCTTGAGCAGATGGTCTCTTTCTCCACCTGGCATCCTAATTACTCAATTTCTTAATATGGTGGATGCCGCTAATTGGCTTTTCTGATTCATGATTCTAGATAAGACTTCACATCATTGCTATGCATGAGCTTTCCGAGCACCAGAAAGGAGAGGGCTTCTCAGAGGGTTTTGATGCACATCTGAACATAGAGCAGATGAACAAAACGTCTGTGGAGTTATTTCAGATGTACGATGACCATAGAAAACAAGGAAGCGGAATCCAGACAGAGAAAGAGTTTCGGGGTTATTATGCACTTCTTAAACTGGATAAACATCCAGGTTATAAGGTAAATCAGCCTCACGCTTGCAAGCTTTATCTTCTTTCTGTTGTGGACTTGATTAAATATTATGAGTTGTCATCCTAGGTTGAGCCTGCTGAGCTCTCGCTGGATCTTGCAAAGATGCCACCAGAGATACGGCACACTCCTGAAATTGGTTTTGCCCGTGATGTGGCAAGGTAATATTCCTCTTCTTATATCTTGCCAAATGTGTGTAATAGCTTTGAAATAGGCTAATAGCTCGAGTGATTATCAATTTCAGAGCCTGCAGAACCGGTAACTTTATTGCCTTCTTCAAGCTCGCAAGAAAAGCAACTTATCTTCAAGCATGCCTCATGCATGCTCACTTTTCCAAGGTACTGGACATTCATTTTCTCATAGCAGAGTTGTATGGCATCAAGACAGTTTCTTTCATGGAAGGCTCGCTGTTATTTGGTTATTTATGGGCATACTGGCATATTGCTTCGTCAAAGAAGTTGAAGAGTTATGAGAGAATTTTATTGCTGACTGTTAATCATATCAGATGATTTAGATCTCGCTTTTTGAAACTCTCTGCTTCCCACTAAAATATTGGAACTTCTTATCCTGGAGTAGTGTTGATATCTGGGATGCAATCCAACTGCCATATTTTAAAGCTAGTGATTCGGCTCAGTTATATGAAGTTAAGGTGAAGACAATTGTCACAAAACAGAGAAGTAAAATAGTTATGGAATATTTTTATCAGTTGAAAGCTTAATGACGACACGTGACCATTATAGGTTGATTAAAACAAATGTCCTGAGGATTTCATTGACCAAGATTGAGTTATGATTTTCCCTCTGTGCTTAAACCATAATTTGGTCGAGTAAGAATTCAGATTCGTACTCAATGAAATAATCAAGACGCTCGAGGTTTCATGCCTTAATGAGGCAGTGGCACTGATTCGAGGAGAGTAAACAGACGAGGCGTGGTGCTTGAACCACAAATAATGTACAGCTCGACTCTGGTGGCTAGAGGTGGCTATGATTCAGCCCAAATGGGAGAAAGCACAAGGTGCTGAGGGTGACCATAAAGATAGCCTATGATGCATTTGCTGTAAGAAGCCATACCATGCTCACGAATTGTGTTGAAAGGTCCATGGAAAACCTCTGAGTCAGGGAAAGGGACAGAGAAGATAGCGGTCAGGGAACAATGGTAAGGCTCATGTCCGGACAACAGAGCAGCACCAAATGCGTATGGCAGTCTCAGCCAAAAAGAGGTTGAGAGGGTGATATCCTGCATTGACAATTTTGACGAACTCACAGATTCTTGTTCATTGCCGTCTTTAATTGAATTTCCATCCTCTATTGAATTAAAGGTCGTAGGTATAACCTTTGCTGACTCCTCAATAATTGCTTCAGGAGCTACAGATCATATGACCCACTCGACAGATTTCTTTTCCACATTCTCTTCTTGTCCAAGCAGTAGGAAAAATAACCCTAGATGGTTCTTTTCCACATACTTACCAGATGGCTCTTTGACTACTACAGCAGGTGTACGAAATGTTAAAATACACCCTTCATTGACTTTAAAAAAAATTCTTAATGCCCCTAGATTGTCCAAAAAGCTTGTGTCTATCCAAAAGCTGGCCCAAGATTTATACTGCAAAGTAGTTTTTCATCATAGTCAATCATGTATTTTTTCACAAGGATTCGTGAATGATGATAGGATATGATAGAAAATGGGATGGACTCTACTGGCTTGAAGCACCGAGCCAGAAAAACGTTGTAAAAGGGAAAATTACCTTATTCTCGTGAGCTTTGTCCATCCAAGAAGGAGAGAGTTCGGCTTAACCATCGACTTGGGCATCTGTCATTTATGGTTATTAGAATTCTGTTTCCTTCTTATTAAAGGTCAAAGTGGTAAAGATTTTAATTGTAACATATACTAACTTGGTAAAAACAAACAAGTCACTTTTTCAGCTAGTAATAAAAGTTGTATTCTTTTTTATCTTATTCATCTTGATTTCTGGGTCCTACAGTTTTTAATATTTTTGGGGCTAGATTGTTTTTGCTATTCATTGATGATTTTATTCATGTTACTTCGATTTCTCTGCTGAACTAGAAATCTGATGTCAGTACTGTTCTCCAAGATCTTTGCTCCATGATCAAGAATCAATTTGAGGTCAATGTAAGAAGGTTTGATTTCAGATAATGATGAGGACTATTTCTTATCTTAGCTCCATACTTTCAAAAAGAAGGGATATCATTATTCTATCCAAACCTACACACTGTAAATAATCTTGTCCTTTGGATATTTGAATGTGTATCATTTATTCATGTTCATGGTCAACAACATGGAAATTAGATCCAAGGGTGTTGAATTGTCTCTCTGAGGCTACTCTCTAACTCAGAAAGCGTATGTGTTATGACCCTCCATCAAAGGATGCCACTTTCAACGAACATGAGTCCTTCACCAAACCCTATGTTCAGAGGGGAGGTCAATCATTGAAGATAATGATGGGAATTTTTTTGTCTACCATCACTTCTTATTTCCTTGAATATTCCTCTGTCTGAACCCATATCTAGGTCTATGAGAAAGCTGAATCTGAAACTCTAGAAAACCTTCAAGAAAGTTCAAACTCTGCCTCTGAAAATGTGAGATTTGGTAAAGGTGAGTTGTTCTCAAGGAAGAAGACGGTTGTTTCTGAATCTATACAGGCTCGAAAATCTAACCTAGATTATGAGAATGAGGTAACAATTTACAGTCCTCCATCGCTAGCTGAATCTGAATGTCATATGGGCAATAATTGGGATTATGCCATGATACTCCCCCATGGTGCTTGTTTGAATTTCTAGGCTGGGCACAAGTAAGTTAAATGCCTATGAGAATGAAGTTTACTCTTTTTGATTTCTTCAAGAAGATTAATTTTGTCACATTTATCAGGTGTTGTATTTAGTTCAAGTTTAACACTTCTATTTGCAATAGAGGTTACAGTTATAGAATATGGTTGCTTTTCTGTGAACTTTCTTGCATTATCCAATTGTCAGTGAAAATTTTGTCCCTAGTCTGACAGCAGACGTGATACATTTTATGCAGTTACGGACACAGGCACTTGCATCGCTCCATTGTGGCCTTCAAAGCAATCAAGGAATTCCAGTTGGACATGTTGTGAAATGGCTTGCCATGGAGGTACTCTATGAGACCTACTCACTATTTTGTTTTCATAGTGTACGTTGGTTAATAAAGTTGTCACTGTGATTGTTAATTGTTGCAAGTAATTGGTGATTGAACTACACCTTGTCAATACCCTGCAGGATTGTCAATTAGTTGAATCTGTATCAACAGAAACCTTATCAAATCGTTAATAATATTAAAGGTCGATATTGATCAGATGAATCACAATATGTGCAGTAATAAGAGTATTGACCGTAAATTATTCTTGTACTTCAAGGAGAAAATGTGTGCAAACGGGATGATGCTAGGTATCTTGGAAGAAATTACTAGCTTTTCAACTAGACAATTAGAAAGGCATAGTTGTGGAGTTTCATGACGAGAGAAAAGAAATGGACAGGCCAGCTATGGTCGTAGGTTTTGAGACAGGAAATTGGTACTGCAACTTACCTCTAATTCGGAAAAGTTTGATTGCAGAATAGGTGGATAGAAGGAAACTTCTGTCAGTTGCATGTAGACTCATTTTGCATACGACTGTCCTATTTGTCGAACTTACTCTCTCTCTCCCCCTCTCTTTGTTCAGGATCCCCGGATCAGTAGCTAAGAAGATAGTAGCTGTTCACCTCAGGATACATCATATTTTTGTGCTATAGGATTAAATCCATAGACCCACATTGTTATACTGGTTTCAGTATTTAGCCGTACAAGTTCTTAATTGGTCTGCTAGGCATAACACCTGTTATTTCTCTTTTCGTTCTCTTTAGGGAGAAGATATTGATAGCCTCTTAGAATATTATGGATTCTCAACGAGGAGATTTGAGGAACCGTACATGGTGAAAGGAGGGCCGTTCCTTAATAGTGAGGTGGACTACCCAACAAACTGCTCACAACTGGTCAAGTTGAAACGGTCAAACAATATTTTCGATGATGTCTGCAATAATCAGGATCTTTTAAGCCCCGATGAACTTTTATCCAGTGATATTGAAGTGGAAGAGAAATGGAAGAGATTTGATGAAAGAGAAATGGAAGTTCCTCTTCCTGAAGCCTATATTGAAGTAGCTGACAAAACAATGCCTGATTTTATTGCTGATCATTGCTCCGAAGAGGTAATGGAACCTCAAATGATGCCTGAGGAGCCGTCCCCCGTCAGTTTTAAAAGTGCTGTTGAAAGTGAAACGGATGATGTCCAGATAGGGATGCCACATGACACGCTAGTAATTGAGTCTTTATGTATCCCAACGCTCTCCAGAGATGACGAGCTACTCTCTGAGCCATGCGGAGAGAGTACGTTGGATGAAATCGACTCATCTCATCAGATTGGACTGCCCATACAAGCTGAAGAACCAGAAAGTCCAAAGTTAGCACTGAGAGTCGAGAAGTACCCTTTGGATGAGCAAGCGGCAGAGTCTGTACGTCAGAAAGAAGTTACTGCGAGGCTCAAGAGGATTTTAAGGTCAGTTATCATTGGGGTCTTGTGTCCTCTCAGGATTTGCTCGACATAGGATGAATGTTCACTTTACTCTCCCTTTTTCTGTGGCTAGGACATGGAAGCGACACTCCTCAAAAAAGAGAGAAATGAGAGAGCGAAGACAGTCATTATCATATGCTGCTTTAAGTTCGCTACCATTGGGACCACCTGTTCGGCAAACTGTGATGGTAAGTAGTCTCCAAAGCTCTGCAATCTCTACTTGTTTTTTTCTTTTTTTAGGACCTTTCTTATTCGTTGACACTTCCGTCTCATGTTATTTACATTTTATCTAAACAGGAGAGCCATCCAAGTGCGAGTCTGAACATCGATCATGTTGCAATGGAGCGATATTGTAATTATCAAAGGTCATGGTGCAGGTTTAATGTTTCAGAGGTGATTGCTCCAATTCTAAGAGCGAGAAATCCGCTTGCAAAATGCCTGGTCTGGAAATTGGCCGTTTGCCTGCAAATAGACAACAGTGGGGGTAAAGATAATCAAATGTTCTTGTCGTGGTTCCTCTGGAAGCTCATGGGCTCCGGAACAGAGGAGGATGACGGGTGTGTTCTCTCTTCTCCCACCTTATCAATCTGGAGGATGCTTGCGAACAATCCTGCTGAGATCGGTCCTCCAAAGCCTTGCTGCTACTCTGTTGTTAGGAGGGTGGGATCTGAGGACTGCACCATGGCTGGCTTGTCTGCTGTTATATTTCTTGTGTCAGAAGGCATCCCATGGGCAACTCAGAGAGGTCAGCTCGATAATGTTTTGAGTTCAATCCCATCTGGGTCTACTCTGCCTCTTCTGATCTTGAGCTGCTACAATCCGCACGGGGGTGGTTCTGATCCTCAGTCCGTGATCATCGACGGCCTGGGACTGAGGCGCTTGAACAGGGCAGTTATAAGCAGCTACCGTGTTTTCTTCTTTGACAATGGGAACCTTACCAAGGGCTTCTTCAGTGATGATCATCTCAAAAGCTGTCTACATTGGCTGGCGGCAAATTCACCTCTCCAACCCCGTCTTCACCGGGTTGGGGTGCGTGATTTGGTCGTGGGCTTCTTGAATTCTTTGCTGGCTGCCCTGGAGAATTTGGAGCCCTCTGAGGTTAGCCCGGGCCATTGTGTTGGCATCTTTAACAAGGCGTTGGATCGTTCTGCAGAGGAAATCCGTGCAGCAGTGGATATGAACAGAAATGGCTGGCCGGGACCAGAGATCGACCTGCTGAGGGACTTACCCTATGATTCTCAGGTCATCCATATGTTGCCGAGAGTAGACTGGAGCAGTGATGCAAGAATTGAGCCGCTTATCACGGCCATAAAGAGATGTAGGCTGCCGATCTTCCCTGATGATTTAATGTGGTTGACCCAAGGTTGCATTGGATTTGATGATATTGCCAGGCAGAAGGCAGCGCTGGAGCTTTCCTTATTCAGCTACCTCAACCACAGCGTTGGACTTCCATGCGAGAGTCTGGCTTCCTTGGAGGCAAGAGTCATGGTGCAGAAGGGAGCTTGTCTCGAACGCCGGGGTTCCCGCCACTTCATCATCCCAGGATGGGTCATGATCTTTCGTCGGATCTATAATTGGCGCCTGGTAGGTTTGTCCGGCTGGAAATTCACGGATGCCTATGTGATGGAGAAGAGACTTCCTGCAATGGAGCCGGCTCAGTACAACACTCTTCCCTGGGCTCCCCAGTTGGCGCGTTCCTCGCCTCGGATCCGCCTGGAGGAGTGGGTGGACACTGCCGGCAACGTTCTTTCGGCCCAGCCGTCCGAATCGATTGAGCCCAATGGACGGCAAGACTCCAGAGTTTCTAATGGCGCAGTTGATCTTGTTCTTGGTACTGGCAGTGGTGCTCCCCCTCGGGAGAGCTGTGCTGACTATGTGGCTCCAAATGGGAAGGTTGCACTCGTTAATGGAGAAAAGTTGGGAGTGGATAAGTTGGCAGCAATGCTTGAAAAATGTAATAGATTGCAGGACTCCATCGGTCAGAAGCTTGCTGTTTATTTCTAATGGAATGGATGTGTCTTCTGCCTCTCTTGCGGAATTCTTTCTCTGTTCTCGTTGTTTGTTGTTTCTGCCCTCCAGGGTTTTTGTTCTCAGAGAGTCGGTTCTGTGTCGGAGATCAACTGTGGTGTAAGCCATGATAAGCGGATTGTGCTCCCCGATGGGGTGGGGTGGGGTGGGGGGATTGCCTCCCTTGTCCTGCGTTAAGATTTCTTTTATCCGGAAACGATACAAATTTTCAACTTATATTTGATAATACGAGTTTTAGCAACATAATGTTCATGCATCAGCAGCCTGCTTTGAAGTTATGCTCTGTTGACCCCAAGTTAGTGTAGAGATAAAGCATTGAAAAAAATATTTCAGTAGGTCCTAACTTATCCTTCTCATGAACAAAGTCTACTTTAATGTTTTTACATACACAAAGGTAAATACAAAATTTCATGATGACATTCAAAATTCCATGTCCTTTTTTTGTATACATTCAACATTTATAACTAGAAGTATCAGTCACTAGATGTTTGAGAATTTCTAACACTGCTTAAAAATAATATTCAATCAAACCATACATATCTAAATGAATATAATTCAACACATAACCTGTCTCATGCTTCACCACTTTAAATGTCACTCTATATTATTTTTTTATGACATAATACTTATACAAATTCAATTTGTAAGTTTTCACATTAGGTAACAATCTTCATACATGTAACTTTTGTATATCTATCTCACTCATATGATTAAATTGTAATTGTCATAAAAGAGTATCATCAATAATAGAATTATTTGATGTTGCAATACAAGCTCCACCTAAAATAATATTTTTCTCATATTTATAAATATTTATTCATTAACATCTTCTTTTTATCACAACAAGTAATTATTTGATAATTCTAAAGATTCTATTCTCACTTTTGAAGCAACATTAATTCATCTCCAAAACTCTAAGCGAAATTAAATTCTAGTATAATACTGAAACATGATGAACATTTACAAACTCTCAAATTACCTTGTCAAACATTCAAACCTTTATCAAACTAATGTCAACTACTTTACAAGTTGTATTATTTCTCATAGAATTAACTCTCATTACACTCTATAAGAATCAAATCAATCAACATTAAGACACATGATAAGAACAACTAATATCAAGAATCTATGTGTTTAACAACTCATCAACTACAACAAGACTAGAATAGATTTCATCATTTTTATTTCAACCTTTGCAATGTTAATCTAACTAGATTCACTTCTTGTAGTCTTATTATTTTAATTTTTTAGATAATCTCTCTACAACTATTCCTTCTTATGACACTTGCAATAAGTTTTACTTTTTCAACTAATTTATTCATGACTTGGACCGACTCTTTTTCTCTGCTAACAATTTATTCTCATTTTGTTTTCCAAATTCTCTTCCACCCTCACATACAAACCTTTACTATATGTCTCACCAACATCTTTCTTCTAATAGTAATATTTCATCAATAAATCAATAACACTTTTAAGAACAAATGATGTGATGTCATGTAACAAGGTCATAAGAAGATGATCATATGAATCAAGAAAGAGAAATAAATAGAATAATAATTTTAATCTCATTAGAAAAAAAGGTTTTATAAGAAGTTATTTAATAATTGACTGAAATAATCAAATATGAAATATCAAATTATCTCCTTCTAACATACACAATCTAAATAACTTTCTCTTCAATGTCCATTAACCCATCATCGACTTTGGTATATATCAGCTCTATAACTTTTTCTAGAGTTAATTATGATTATATTCAATTAGACAAATATGTACAAATAAAACCTTCAGCCTTCTTCTCTATTATCTCTACTCTAGAAATTAAAATTAGATGACTTATCCAACTTCTAGATATCAATATGTACTTTATAAGTCATAGTTAGTCTATAAATAATCAAACTAATATTATGATATCAGTTGTAATAAAAAATATGCAAGTAGAGAATCACAATAAGAACATAAATTCAAGTTTAGAAGAGAAATCACAAAATTATGAGAAATCTTAATGAGAACAAACCTTTCTCTAACACCTCTAACCCATTCCTAACACCCTTAAGATGACTAACACAATATTGGGTTAGTAATACTCTTATCTCCTTCTATAAATACTTGGCCTGCAATAGAATGAAGAAAAGAGATCAAGAAAGTGCAAGAAATTGGATGAAGAGAGAGAATATAATAAAAAGAGGGAGAGATCTAACAAGAAAATTTATTCTTCATTTGTCGTGATCGTCAAAAAAAAAAAGTTTTATTTATAGAAATGTAAAAGGTAATCGCCCCCTCAAAAAGAGACATTCTAGACCTATGTGGGAGAAAACTCCTTGCACGTCTCCCGAGTGAGTTAGACGTGATGGGCTGACACCGCCAACAAAGCAACACCGACAACCATGTGATATGCTTCTGAGGGGTAATTCAAGGGCATCAGGCACATGGGCGACCTGCAATTCATTAATCAATGTCTGGTCAAAGAGCTGAACCTACCTCTGCTGAGACGAACCAGTGTCGCGTGGCCACAGGCACCAGAGAAGGTGGTCGGCTCCGAGATGTGACATGGGCTCATTGCCAACTTCTCAAATGATTTCCTACTTTTTTCACTCGTGTCCATCGACGTCATCTTAGGAATGCGTTGGGTCAAAAGCTGTAGTCGGCTCGAGCTAGACTTGGAGGTTACACTGTCGTTTCCGCAGAACTTGCGGAACCTGTCTCTGACCTCCGACTTAAAGACATTGGAGGAGAGCGACGACCATCTGGCCACCGAGGAGCATCGACAAGTCCCATAGGTGTTTCAAGGCATCACCAACCTCCCTCTACTGTGGGGTCAAGAGCTCTGTTGTTTTGCAGGTGAATGACCGCAGTAGTGTCACAAGTGGCTCATGGGGGTGGGATTCTAGTTCAACACAAGATACAACCGCTCCACCGGAACTACTCCATTCCATATCATGTACAGGAGACCTCCCCCCACCTCAGTCAGTTTTGCCGGAGATCTTGAGCAACTGCTGCAGGAATGCGGCGCAGCTTTCCAACAGCTCAAACAACATGTGCGGCGCGCACAAATCCGGATGAAGCAGTTCGCAGATCGCCACCGCCACGAGCTGGAATTTACGGAAGGGGACTGGGTATATCGTATTGTCAGACCATGGTAGCAAGACAGCCATTCGTAAAGCTCACCCCAACGGTTCTACAGACCCTTCAAGATCGCAAAGTGGGTTGGGTCAGTTGCGTATCAGCTGGAGTTACCGTTCACGGCCCATATCCGCCTGGCATTTCATATAGCTTAAATGGGCAGAACAGCGACCGCCACCAGTGACGATCCCCGTCCTTCCAGTGGATGACAATATGTGCTGGACAGGATAACCCGGTGTTGGATATTTCTGTTTTGTGGGTTGCACATACCATTATTGTGCATAATGGTTATTGCAACAGCTGTTTTGAGGCATTATGGAATGGAGTATGGAGGAAGATCGTGTAGAAACCGGTCGACAGTTTCAATCCATTGATGAAAGGGATTGAAACTGTCGAGCCTCTTTTCGAGGCTATAAATTCAAGGGTTTGGTCCCTGCTTCATCACCGTCGGAGTCCTCAAGGTCCCCATCTGCTTGAGGAAAAATTCCCCAGTGATTGAAGTAAAAGGCCATCCCGTGTCATGGATTCTGGCGGTTTGCTTCCGCAACTTCGTTCCTATCAATTGGTATCAGATTTCATGGTCATCGATGAAATTTTTTCCCATTTCGTCGTGCTATCCGACAATTGAATTTTTCTGTTTTAAGTTGCCGTTTTCGGCGTCCTGACGTCGCCGGAAATAGCCGTGCAATGGCGCGGGGAGGCCTGACAGCGTCTCCGAAGGCCGCGCAACACGCAACGCGGCATTGCGGCCTTTGAAGGCCATGCGCCATCGCGGCGTCGCCCTGAGGGTTTTGCGGCGCTTGCCGTCGTTTCCGGCAATTCCCGGATAGCGCGCGGGCGTCGCCACGCTGCACCATCGCGGCGTCGCCTGAGGGTTTTGCGGCGTTGCCGTTGTTTCCGGCGATTGCTGGATAGCGCGGGGGCGTCGCCGCGAAACACCATCGCGGCGTCGCCTGAGGCTGTTGCGGCGCCTGCCGACGTTTCCGGCGATTGCCGGATTGCGCGCGGGCATCTCCACGCAGCGCCTCCCAGCGTCTGTTGGACCCCGGTCCTGGGCGCTCACTGGCCCAGTCCACTGGGTCCGCCCAGTGATATGGGCTCAGGCCTGGCAGCGGCCAACTAGACCGCTCGGCCTGTGTGCGAGCTGGGCCCTTTTTTGGGGTTGCCCACTAGGACCGCCGAGCCAGGCGCAGCTCACTAGGTCTGCCGCGCAAGGCGCCGGCTCACAAGGCCGCCCTGCCAAGTCAGGCCCAACAGGTTTTTTAAAGGGAAAATTTGCCCATTTTTATTATCTCATTACTATTTTTGCAATTTATTTTATTAATTCACTTTATTGGAAATTCATTTATTTTTTTTGAAAATTTTTGAGCAATTCTCAATATTTTTATTCAATTCATTTATTTTTGGTTCATACATCATAAAATCACATGCATTAAATTCATGCAAACATTTGTTGGCCCAAAGGAAAATAAATGTTTGGCCGAATTTAATGCATGTATGAAAATTCAAACATATGTATTTGTCGAGTATTTTGTTTTAAGTGGACGTTAGTAATCAATATGTTGATATATCAACCTCTATTGTTAAAAGTGTCCATTTCAAAACACTATCATAACTATGTGATGTTATTTATGCAAACACTTGTTGGCCCAAAGGAAAATGAGTGTTTGGCCAAATAATAATTATATCAATGCCAGTAAACTTTACAATTATTGACGTAGATGAAAAGAAACATTAAGTCAGCCCAAAAGAAGACTTTTTGTTTGTGATCTTTTATCGTTTAACTATTTTGACTAGCATGCCAAGATGATAACTTGCAAATTAAAATATCATCCAAAGATGAATATTAATGTTGT